TGAGCTGGTTTAGAATTCGTGGCTTACGAAATTATTGATTACGTAATAAATAATGCATATTTTGTTTTTGAAATACGTCAACGATAGATATAACGACTTGAAAATTAAAAATAGAGAAGGCAGAGACTCTGTGAAAATATTTAACCAAATTTTATGTATTTGTTAGCGAACAGACAAGTGTATGAAAAACGAGCGATTTCATTGGAACATTTCAATAATTACAAATACGCTTATAGCTGTGCATGAAGCCGATCTTAATAAAATTGAGATAACTTCATTTCAACATGATTTACCGATAAATATACTGCCAGTTAAAAACGAGGGNCTTAATAAAATTGAGATAACTTCATTTCAACATGATAATTGTGTTATAAATTGTCCGCACAGAGAACGCACTTGAACACCGTACAATAGTAATTGCCGCCGTCTTCTGACTTGTGCGTCAGCATGACACTCGGGGTGGCCTTATTCATAAATCACAGTGGGCGCGCGTGCACCACACGTTTGTTTTTATAGCCGCCAAACGGTAGGTAGCAATGCGCGCATACAGTTAAACGCGACCGAACGGCATTTTTCGTCCATCTATTTGTAGATACAAATCGTTGTAAATTACAATCAGACTCTGAGACGAAACTTTGTGCCGCACTAAATAACGCCAACTACCGTTGCCGTGACACGTGTTTGTTGTTAACCCCAATATTCTCGGAAGTTACCTATTATAAATTATATTAATGTTTAAATACCTATGAAAAAATATTCAAGCAAATTGATACGCGCGTAAATAGACTTTTTACGTTATCAAGTAGTTGATGTATTTATGTCGGTTGGAAAAAAGTAACAACGCGTTATTCATGGTAAATGGTTATAAATAATAAAGAAACCAATTAAATCGTACGAAAATTGTTGTCACTGTCATACGATCGCGTTTATTAAAAATATTATGCCTGCGGATCATTTGGGTGGGGCAGTAACGAGGGGGTTACGACATAGTAAACCGTTATCCATCTGAAATAAATAGTTATGTTTAAACTTTTCAGTGGCACGCGATATGTTTTAGTAATGCAGCGAAAAAATGTTTGATGGAAAAAAAAAAAAAAAAGTCATAAAATTTATAAGAACTCGCTTCTATGAAAAGTTTCTGGTTTCTCTACTGGATATTAATAAAGTGATTGCCAACTAGTTTAATATAATATATTATATGTTATTAATATTAGTGGTAAACTATAAAATTTCGTGTTCATTAAAAAATTTAAAACCTTTTCAAATGTTTGCTCGTCCTAAAAAAATTGAAAAGGCTTTTTATCATGATTTAAAATAGTTGCTTTTAATTTAACTAACAATTAAATTTGCTTAATTCAAAAATATTTAATAATTATATAAAATAGAAAATCAAATCATTTAAAATAAATTTTTAGTTTAATATCCTTACCCAAAAAACACAGCATTGAATTTAATATCTAATTTCTGGGCAACAAATTTTTAGTAATTTACAATTTGGTTACTTATTATAATTGATAATTAATAAATGAATTTTCATAGAGACGTCTCCAATCAAAAGATTTTGGACGGCAGTGCGTCCCAACTGTTTTTAAACAAAGTACGTGAAAATGTATATTGTAAAAATGTTACAGTACATATGCCAAAATCGTTCCGTTAAAGACTGTAAATTGTGTGTCACTTTTGTGCAGACGCTCACGGTATGGACAGTTATAGATAATATTGGCATTTTTATAGTTTCAGTTATCGCACATATTGTCTTAGGCTATGGTCTATTGAAGTTTTTAAATACAAAATATAGTTGTCCATAAAAATTCTTTTGAAGTATTTTTTATGTGTCATGGTTGAGTCTACGACAGTTCTTACAGGGGTACACTTCACTTTATGTAATTTCGTTATGTTTGAACGCAGATAACTTGAGTGTTAAACGGTAACTAGTGCCCGAATGAGATTTTTAAAAACTAATCTTAGAAATTTTATATGATTGTGAAAGTGTTCCTTTAAAAACACATAATCTGCTGTAAAGTATCATGAAAATTTTTTATGTAATATTTACTGAGAATTTATGGTTTATGTATTAATAGAATAGAATTTTTAGCTAGTGTTCAAGTTTTAAATTAAATGTCTTTTTTTTTATTAAGGAAGAACTAAAATATGAAATATAAAACTCGGGTAGATAACACAAACATTTCGTTCGTAAGAACTATTGTTACATAAAATTAAGCTTTTTCTTTTTCTGTTAACACATCAACATTTCATATACTAATAATAAAATAGAGTGAACAAAATCAAATTTATTTTCCATTTACAGTAGAACTCCAATTATCCGAATTAATGGGGACCGGGACCCATTCANTTTTTTTTTATTAAGGAAGAACTAAAATATGAAATATAAAACTCGGGTAGATAACACAAACATTTCGTTCGTAAGAACTATTGTTACATAAAATTAAGCTTTTTTTTTTTCTGTTAACACATCAACATTTCATATACTAATAATAAAATAGAGTGAACAAAATCAAATTTATTTTCCATATACAGTAGAACTCCAATTATCCGAATTAATGGGGACCGGGACCCATTCACTGACTAATCAAAATAAACAATGACAGGTGACTGCAATGCGCCGGAACTGGAGTGGGAACTCTTACCACGTGTTGTGCCTACACTGACGCCGCGGACTTTGGACAAATTTTTTTCTGATTTTTTCTGAAAGTGATTCGGATAATCGGCGATTCGGATGTTCGGAGTTCGGATAATTGGAGTTCTACTGNATAAAATAGAGTGAACAAAATCAAATTTATTTTCCATATATCTTCACAGAATAATCCAGTTGTATATAAAAACAGAAATAAAAAGAAGTTTTTACTGTAAATATCATAAATCATTGTATTTGCATTAAAAATAATGTTCACATTGTATTACTTGTGCTTACATTTTCGATTTAACAGGTCTTCATAAATAACGATTAAAAAAAAAACTTAATTTTTAACAACGTGTAAAATAAATTAATTGTATTTAATGTAATTGGAGACTCGCTTTTTTATGTTCATCGATTATTTTTAGGAATTATGATTTTAAATAACAATAAAAATAATATATAATATCGAAATGTTCTTTGTTATAAAAAAGTGAATTATCAAATCTGATTTGTAATCTAAACACTTTCTTTTCATTAGTGTTTTATCAAATTTTACATATTAGTATCAAAACAAGGCAATTTTTTGGAGGACTGAAATTTCTGGGTTAACCCTTCCCCGTAAATAAGTCTATAGAGGCGTTTGAACTTTTGCACATTTAACATTGAGATCACCCATTCAATTTTCCCCCTAAAATGTGATGGATTGTGAACAAAAATATTATTGGGGCGGCACAATTCCTAAATGCGGCCTTGTGGAGGAAACGCCAAGTGAATGATATTTGTAAGCAGTTGCGTATAAGATTCATCCCTTTAATGGGAAATATATGGAAACACCAGGGTGGTACCAAGAAACCATAGGCACACGCGACCTCTGCACCCACCCTCGATTATTCATTTGAACACAGACGCTGAGAGGATGTTTTAAGAAGGGAGGTGTAGGACACCCTGAGTGTTTCTTATGACATCTAATACGTTACTTTTTCTTGGGTATCACGTGACACACGCAGTGAAATTACTGTGTTTACTATACGGACACTCTACTGTCGAATGTATAAACACAATGATTTATTATTAATTTGTTTTTGTGTTTTTTTTGTCAAATTTGCCAGATTCAATGCATCTATATTATATTTCAATATAACACAACAATCTTAAAATTAATAATGGAATTATACGGTTTATCCAAGTGTGTAAATTAATGTTATTTTAAACATTTTAGAGCAGCAATACTAATTTACCTTCAATTTAGAAAAACTTAATATCCTCTTTTTAATTAATAAAGGTGCTTAAGTGATGGATGCATCCCCTCATTAACAAAGCCAAACCAAAAACTTTTTCTAAATCAGTTTTAATTTTTTCAAGTTGAAGAATATCAAATTTTGTTGTTAGGTAATTCTAAATCAAAAGAAATAAATAACGGTAGCACAATGAGGTCCTGGCACAGTATGGACTTGGCATAGTTGATACAAGTATAGGTTATATTTGACAGTGATTAAAATCACTATCATAAGAAATGCTTCGATGCAAATCTGTAAATAGTGTTTAATTTTAAGAAATTAATAGATTATTCCAAAAGCAAAATTAATTCCTTTTTTTTTGTTCAACTTTGTCTGCCATTTGCACATGTCGCCAGAACAAATTTTTTATTCAAATTATAGCACGTTACATAAGCTTTAATTTAACATATTTAAAAAAACGCAGTATTACTGGAACATTTTCAAAAGTCAAGTAGAAAAAGTTGACTTTTGTAAAAAGTCACTATTTTGAATCCCCCCCTATAAGCAGGTTAAGTGTCATTTTTTTAAATGTTTGATATCAAATAAAAGTGAAATATCTAAGGATTCTATACAAAAAAAATTATTTCGATTCGTTCATTTTTCAATAAGTTATGGAAATTTTTAGAAAAAAAATTGAAAAAATATCTAAAATTAGCGATTTTTAAATTTGTAATTTTTTGGAAGATTTTCACCATTAACGGGGAACTAGGAAAAATGTTTTAATTTTTGAGGCTAATGTCTTCGACTAGATACAATTTGTGATCTTTTGACATATCGTTGAGAAAAATCAGTCCAGTGAGAGCTGAGAATAGTAGTGACAGACACAAAAATAAACACATCATGGTAAAATTAATACTTTCTCAGCTTCGCATCGAAGCTAATGTCAGTGTACTGATAGGTATTTCTGTGCTATGATTATCGAGGCCCTGAGTCAGTTATAAGCGCATGAAATCTAATTAAGTTTGTTGTACAAATAACTAAAAAACTTTTAATATGCGGGTTTTGGGCATATGACTGGCCGGCCTTAAAATGATAAAACGTATAATGTACGAAAAACAAATTTATATTGAAAAATTTTACCAATAAAAAATATATTTTTTAACATTTTTATTAATCTTTAGGTTAAAACTAATTATTATGTATAAGTATACGAGTATCACAAATTTTTACAATATTTACATTATTAACAATGTATAAAAAAAAAATAGCATCGATGTCCTGCGTGAATGAGTAAATAATTATTTTTTCTTTATTGACTAGGTGTTTTGTTTCATCTAGGCACATAATCATTTTGCACAAATGTGTTTGCTATTTTTTGGGTACTATGAAACGTTGGATGCCTGTGGTGATAATGATGTTGGTAAGGCATGTGGTATCCGGTTGCTACTTCTGGCCCAGTATTTTTTTGGTGTAATCTATACAAAAATTATATATTTATTAAATTACAGTTGTTGAAACTTTAAGAGGATTTTAAAGGCTTTTTGTATGATTTTTTTTTTTAATTTGTACCTATCGTATCCATGAAACGGAGAGTAGTTATGATGAGCATAAGCGGGCGAAGCGAATATCGGTCCGTAGTTGCACATTTGACCCAGATAAGGTGTTGTTGGGACGGAAGGTGCAGCCGCGGTTGACACGTGAGATTGACTGTGCATTGTCACGGCCGCGGTTAGGTGAGATGGTGATGCAGACGCTGTTGACGATGACGACGACGAGCTGTCGCTGTTGTACGTGCTGTCCACACCTGAAAAAAATAACAACTTAACGTACTTCAACTCATTCAAAGTCGGTAAAGTTCGTTTTACTTTGTCAGGGGAGTTAATTAGACACTTGGCAAACAATAAATCCAAAATACTTAAATAGAGTTTATTACATAAAAAGTCAACTATGAAAACTCTTTCGTTAATTTAGAACTAATTGAAACGCTTAGACGATTTAAAAATCCATTTTAGAGAAAAATTTTAAGACAAATTTTCAGGGATAATCTAATGGTTTTTCTCATTTATGCATTACGAATTCAGAACATCTGAAATAAAAAGGTCTACAACTTATAAAAATATAATTTAACATTACCGAAAACATTACAAGATATTTTCTATTGGACAAACAAATTTACTAACTACGACAAACATCGTTATACAAAGTGAATTTTGCTTTAGTTTATAACTTTATTTGTGTTCAGTTTTTTTTATCAAAGTTTAAATTTTGACCATAGACAAACATACATCCGTAAACTTTGTTTGGCGTCTTATTTTATTTTAAATATACTAGACATAAAAGCTTAAAAAATACGACATTGACCTATTACATTAATTTATTGTATAGTGAAGTACTTACAAAATAATTACATTATTGGAAAATCTACTGAAAGTAGCGCATTTATTTGACGTGTTAAGTAATTTATAGTGTAGTCCGCGGGACCAGTAAGCATATACTTAGTATAGATATTGAGTTTATGTTGAAAACCACTTGAAATTATGGACATTAATAATACACAACATATTTGAAATAACTTGTGGGAAAATATCTATTAAAATAACATATTAATATACGGTTTTTAACAGTTTTTTATTTTGAGTGTAATGATTTATTAATAGAAAAAAATTAAAGATTTTGTCGTGTGTAATTGAATTTCTTAAGATGATAATTGATAATTACTGAATCAGTAAATTTATTTGTTAATCTGATTTACAGAATTTAAAAAAACCTGAATTTTAAATTGTATTAGAATTATTTGTAAATAATAATATTTTTTATTATAATAACAAATAAAATTAAACTTATAGTTAATAATAAATTTGTCACTTATATAGTATCGTTTTAATTATGCTTTTAAAAATACCTACTTTTAAAACATGACTATTTTTCAGTTAACGAGATGTAATTAGGATGTTTTAGTTGTTTTATGAATCTTTTTCTTAAACGGTAGCTTAATGCACAGTAATTTTCGTCGTGGTGTGGCCGTTAAGATTAGTGTCGTAACATCATCCATCATTTTAATGGGAATTTTTGACAATAAATTACTTTATGTAAAAAAATATGCACAACCGATAGTTGAAATTAAGATGTTTTATGTGTTATTAATTTGTATGATTGAAACGCTTCATACTGAAGCTTTACTTTTTCAGCACAACAAGAAAATGCTATTTGAAAGCGCAAAAGTATTGAAAAACTCGGTTTTGAACAATTTCATTGAATGCAACTAGCTCATAATTTCGGTCTGTATATTTTACGATAAACAAGTAATATGAGTATGTAGAAGGAGTCGCGGCGATGAAACACGAAATCGTTCATAGTTGTAGCTAATAAAACAAAGAATCCGTTTACGGTGTATAAATAATATAATATTAAATTCAACAGTGTCTACTGTAATGCCTCTGTGAAAAATGTTTAATATTGTAAAATTAAACATTGTGATATGAGAAGCAATAGGGTTGCACAATTGAGGACTGTCACGTCGGAAACGCCAACGGTACAAACGTCATTTACATAGCTTGACATAAATGTCGGCCGGCTACTCGGTTTACAAAGATATTTTTATTTATAAGCTGTGATATTTGTTCGGTTTATTTCACTTTATAGTTGTATGTGTTTGTCTAAACGCTCATGTCTCGCAGCAATATATTAGCCGAGATGCACGTAACAGTGACGACTTTACTCAAATTTATAATTAATTTGTCTCGATGTCATTGGAGTACATGGATGTGTCATATAATGTACTATACAGTGCGCATCTATCTTGGCAATCAATGTAATGCGCGAGGAAAAAAATGTTGTTGTTCAAAACTATAACGATTATTTATAGAGATCCCAATGTTTAAACGCTGAATTATTCGGACAAAACGTTATTGTAAGTGAATGTATTTTTTCATTGACGTAGTGTGAATAATCGTGTCGCCTCTGATGGCAAAGCGCGTTAAAAAATTAGTAAGCTCTAGTGGATGAAAAATCGGAATTTTATTTAGCAAACTAGTGTGGTACTGATGTTCCACGAGTACTTCTATTTTCATCGCCGCGAGACTTTTAATTGTCTTGTTTAAAGAGACACGGACGAGAGACTGCTAATGCGGTGGAACGCGACGATGCAGCTTGTCTATTTAACATTTCCCGAAAATATTATGATTAATGACTGTCATGGACAACGCTGGTAATTAATGACGTCCTTAGAGCAGTTCACAAACGGTGTATTTCGTATTTGAACTGATGCTCCGGTCTAATACGTGTGCAGAAACACTTCTTTGTCGTTATTTTCACATTTTTTTATACACTTGAAAGATTTAAATAGTAGTTGTAGAAAACTCTTGGACTCCGTGTCATAGTACTCGTGTAATTAACTCAGTTATTATTGTTTTAATTAGCAGATCATTAATATCAAGATATATTATGTATTAGGTTCTAATAATGAACACAACGTTTTTGTAATGATAAGTTTACAAATTGATTTTGCCTATGAACTTTTTAAAAGTTCATACTTGTTTATTGTTTAGAATAAAGTGATATACGATAAATTTTTGTGTACAGTATCGATATAAATAATTTATACCTAAAAGAAAATGTATCAGAATTATAAATATTCAAAAACCACATGGATTCTGTCTTTGATCATCACCAGACGTATCACGTTCGTACGTAAATATTTATACCGACACAACGCCAGATTTTATTAGTATAGGCTAACTACGTTTAATCTTATGAAGTATTTTTAATTACTTATAAAAAAATAAATCCAATAACTTACCCAAACTTCCGGTCGTTTCTTTATTCGGGAACTGAATACAGTTATTGTTATTGTGTATGCCAGTAACATTTTTTTTGCATTGCGGTTTATTATTATTATTATTAGCAGTTTGCGTGTCGCCGTCTAAGGCCATTGAGCCGCTGTAAAAGGAAAAAAAAACTAACAATTATAATTATTTCGACTTCCTTAAATACACGCACTCTTATAAAAATAAAAAATATATTAGATTTAGAGTACACACATGTTTGGTATATATAACGTAGCACATCTATAAAAAAAATATGTCTTTTTGAAATACGCGGGTAGCCGAGACGTTTATTGCGATTTATGTGCCAATTCATTCTGTCGTTAGGCACCTACTATGTTAAATAACCCCAGTGCACATGAATTTTTATTTGTAATGAGTAGTAATTTTTCACTTAACCGGTTTCTTTTTTCGAGAAAACTATTATGTTTGTCGTTGACGGTCTAGTTGAAATGTAATGAACCAATGTCTAATTATATTTACACGTTAATTAATCGTTAATGTAATAAATTATTAAAAAAAAAAATTATGTATATGTCATTTATTTAGAAATCGAGGGTGTTTTACTACTAGGTTAAAAAAGGTTATTAGACATGTACTGCTAATCCAACGTGAGATATTTGATTTGAGAATTGCATTACAACTGTACAGACAGTATTGTATTTTAGTACTCTTACCATTCCTGGTCGGTTTCACAGTCTCGGAATCCTTTTGCAAATGGGTTACTGGCTATTTTCAATTGTGTAATCTAAATAAAAATTTCAAAGAAAAAGATATTAACAAGTTTTTACGGACGTTCACGTGTTCAGTGTTTATTTGCATTCAATATGAGTGTTTATAATTGTATTAATATTTGATTACATCATAAATGCCAAATGAATTAGCCGGTTAGAATGTGTCTGTTATGATCGTAACAGACAAGTTACTCGTAAAGGTATTACGACTTCATATTAACCTCTGCGCATTTAATACGATGATTATCGAACATTATTTATTCGTCTGATAATTAATTAATCGGTTATCTCACCCTGTGATTTTGGTATGCTGTTACGGCTGTGAACTTGGTCTCTGGGAACATGAACGTTTTAAAGTTGTTTGAGGAATGTGAAGGGCCGTCGTCTCGTCCGGGAATGTAGAGCACGTGAAATCTGGGTTGATATCGATGCATGGAGTTTAAAATTATCTATAAAAATCAAGTACTTACTGAACACGATAAAATGGTAACCTTATTTTTTAACAATGTGCCGTGTAAACAATTCCCGTGTTAAACTAGCAACCGCGACTTTCTCATGAATGTATTTTCACACCCCACACTACCGTTCGTTATTGATGGCACTTGACTTACGTGTCCATTGTCGTCCATTTGGTTGTTGGTTAACTTGAGTTTGTCGAATGATACAACTTGTTTCAGCCACTGACTTCCAGATGCCGGTGAATCTGGGTGTATGTGCACTCTCGGCGGTGAAATAGGATCTGATTTCCCAGCTACCACCCAACTTGAACTTGAATTTATATCGAAATCAATATTTTCTTCGAGGTATATTATATTTTTTAAATGTTTTGATTTACCTGTGGAACGCATATCTGTATCTCTTGTCATCTACCGGAACAAAATCCATCATGAGCATGTATTCTGCAATAGGATCCAGACCAAAAAGTCTTATTTGGAAAGTAGGGAACATTCGCCTATTAAATTAATGACTTGATAACTCATAGTACTCGTCTATTTAACTTAATTTTAAAAACGTGTTTGTAAAAGCACGTTAATGCGTTAAAAATGTCAATAAAAATATAATACAATAAATAATACATATGCTGCGAAATAAACAGCTAAATATCTAACCGGCCTGCTTTAGTAACTATCATTTCTGTACCCAGCTCGTTGAATTCTTCCCACAGATGTTTCATTTCTAACACTGCCCCGACTCCTGTTAATTTTGGGTGTTCCTGGTGACTTAATGAATTACTTTCTGGAATTTTATCACTCGAATTTTCGGATGAATATGTTTGATGAGGTCCTGGTTTAATAACACTAATATTGGTGTTAGATACTGTTTCTAGACAAGCTGAAAAATTTTTAAACTTAATAATTAACTTAAACGAGCATTTATTAACAGTAGTGGTACATTCTTGTCTTTAAAGTTATACATTCGGGTAAAATAATTCCACAGAGGATTTAGAATTTTTTCTATTAGAGATGTTTTCAAAAAAAAAAAAATTTCCAGGCATAACCTAGTATAATTTTTTGAACTGAATGATATTTTTTCTTTCTGTTATTCGATATGATTGAAATACTAATAATCTCCCCATAAATACGTTAATAATACTACGCAAACGAGTAGCTTGAAAAAAATACAACAAAGGAATCAAATAAAATGTTTCAGTTTTTAAAAATATATTTAATTTATAATAAATAAAATTTCGCTGAATTTTCATAGAAGCTAAGTGCTTTTGGGCTAATATAGAATGGTTAGCATTGGTGTATTTATGACATAATAAATACACTAATGAATCAAACAACAATTATAAATGCGGTTTAGAATATACAATTATTCTATTAACATCATATTTCCTTGTTTTAATTTTGATCTTCAAATGTTTATCACCAGTTTGTTTAAATTTTATTATACAACTTTTCAAATCTTCTAGCCAAATCTAAAATTTTTATTTATATAAAAATATTCTATATCGCAATTTAAGAAAGCGTCATTACTGATTTTAATAGCCGGGTAATTATTATTTTTGAGGAAAACTTAAAAAAATAAAACAATCGCTTTATTTGAAATCCATTTTTATTACTTCTTAATCTAAACAATTAACAATAATACATATTTGTATAACAGTATCTTTAAAGAAAAATGGTTTCTTTGCCTTTTCCTAGCCTTGTTTCCATTATTTTTCATGTAATACCTATGTGGATGTTTGATATTCAACACAGGGCCAGATAATTTAATTATTAACTTATTTTTAATGGTGTTATTGGAATTGCAGTTATGTAAAGTTGTACAACCTTTTACTGTTCATAAAATATTTCCAATACTTATGATAAATAAAAATAATGCATATTAAACGTTATACATGATAAAAATTAATTATTTAATTAAATAATGGCTACCCAGACGAATAAATTAATGAAATCATTATATATTCTATATACTAGTCTCAGTTAAAATTAAAAAATAAGTTATGTTGGTTTATTTTTTATTAAAAAAATGATTTTTCTTAGGCACTGGAAATTAAGAGAGAGACAGTTGTAACTGTCGATCATTTAAGAATTTATTTTATACATAAAATCTTTGCATAAAACTTGTAATTATGACTAATTTTACATTTTTTTTTTTATTTCAGTGATGTAAAATTAAAAATGAAAATCTCAGATTATCTCTTAGGAAATACTGACGAGATCATTTTATTGCTTTTAGTAATAAATTTAAATATCAGATTTTTAAATCCTACTATGTTCAAATATTGCACATTACCAAGTTAACAAATTTGGAAATCAAAGAGTCAACATTTTTAGAAGTACCAAAATTATTCATTAATTGGATATTTAAGTAGATAAATTAACCTACTAAATTATTCTTTATGCTTACTTCTGTGATACGACATCTTCATTTTTAATTATAAATTTTTTTAAATAAAAAAAATTATTACAATTAATAATAGTATTTTTTTTTTCATCAAATGCAAAAAAAAGTAAATAATGAAATAACTTTAATTAAAAAACAATGTTTTTCTTGATGCGAGATTATTTTTACTCCTGCCTTTTAAATTTAAATAAATAAAAGCCTGTTCAATTGAGTTTTATTATGACTTAATAAAAAATTCTATAATTTGTATTTATCATATTTGATTTCCTAAAAAATAAGTATACAATAAATATATGGAAAATTAACTTGTTCTTATTAATATAGAAAACACTTTTATTTTTTATTAGTAAAGTAATTGATTTTTATAATAAAAGTTTTATTATAAAACCACCAAAACATAAGTCTTGTCAAATACATAATTAAAAAAATTAAAATATATTTATAGTATACTATAGTGTATTAAACTATATATTTTCTAGGATTATGGATTACAACTATCGTAATTTTTATGGTATTTGGAAACAACTGTTAGTTACAATGACTGAACTTGAATTTCCAAAAAAAATGGAAGCGCGAATTTGGCAAGGAATCAATAGAAATAAGACAAATTCTGTGACGTAAATTAAATTCGCTAGCATATTTTTAAATTTACTCTATTCGCTGAAAAATAAAAAAATGTAAATATAAATAAATCGCTTAACTCATTATTCAAAATTCTCATTATATCGTAATCTTAACGAGTACTCAATTTGATAGTTACGGAAAAAATACAAATATTTGAGTTAAAACCAACGGGCCAATATTTGTCGGGCTACTAACTGTCTACGAATAACTTAAATACGAATAAAAAAAAGTCGCTTACCTTCAATGTCTTTCATGGGCGTATTATTTAAAATCGGCGATTGTGTCGATGGTACCCAATTGTGGTCAGTAAATAGATTTTGCTCGACATTGCCTATATTATGATCACCGCTGACACTATAAGTGTTGTAAAACGGGTGCATGGCCACTTTCGGGTTAGGTACTAAATATGTCAACGGTGGCTTCTAGTTATTTTTTTAAATTTGCAATACTGCTATAATAGTCAGAAAAATGCAAACGGTTTTCATCGTACTGTGTAGAATTGTGCATCGGCGAAGTGACGTAAAAAGTGTTCTCGACTGATTTACAAGTCGACCTATTGACGATGATTTTTTTATTACCAAAAAAATTCCTACACGAATATCACCCTGTCAACACGTTCTGTTAAGGTACGATTATAATTGCGCGAGATTGTTTAATGTGGCACAACAACAACAACAACAACATCGAAACTCGGGTGAACCTTTCACCAACACTGGTCCATTTCTCTGTCATCCCGTTTTGCCCCCGTCAAAAATCATTTTATTTTTATCGTCACTGGCACTTTTTCCTTCTCTATGTTCTTCACTCGTCGCCGCGCGCATCGTTCACGGATTGGCTCGTTCAGTTTGTTGGCCTGTCCCCTGGGCGTGCACCCGTAACGAATCTCGGGCCTGCCTCTAATAACTCCCAAGTCTTTTTTTGATCCTGATATTGAAAATTTACAGTATTCCTAATTTCATTCCTGTAAATTAAACTGAATGTGTTATATTATTAAAATACGTGTGTTGGTTGAACATATCTGTACTCAAGAGGTTAACAATCATAATTCCACTTTTATTTGAATAGGTAACACCATTTTGAAATGCTTATTTAATAAACATTTACAAAATGGTATTTTGTCATTTTTATACAAGTGCACTATTGATAGTTTGTTTCTGGGATACAATTATATCTTCGTACATTATTAATATTTTATCACACTTCTATGAATAATACAACTATTACTTTTTAATTGAATTGGCCTTTAATTTTAATTGAAAAAATAAGTCCACAGTAAACCGTTGTCAAATGATGAGCTGCGGCATATTATTACAAATAAAGCGGCTTCTCTTTAAGGGATGATGACCGATGGAATAAAACAATCGAATTCGTGATCGATATCAGTGAGGTATTAACTTTAAATAATTTGAACATATTATAATAATTTATAGCTTTTATGATATCATTTAGTTTCCTAAAATGTTGAACTTACTAGATTGTAACAACTATTTAGTACACCTTTCAATAATGCCTGAGACGAATGCCTCAGCCACTGATAAAGAAAATAATCCTCATATCAAATTGAATATAGATCTAAATATTTTTAGAGTACTATGTTTTAAACCATATTAATGCTATTTTAAAAACATTTTTTTGTAAAACTTAGAATTAAACGCTTAAAAAAGTATAATCTCCAAAAACTTTGTTATAAAATTAATAATATTACATTAAATCTGTAATTAATACTTATAGGTACTGTATGTACGAGTAGTATAATTTGTTTAAAAATCGTTCACCTCTATAAGCTAATAATGTGAACGTCGAGCTTTAATTAGGATCATCAACTAACTTATAGTTTAAGTTTCAAATCTTAGAACATTTATTTCTTATAAGATAATCATAAAGGTACCGAAAAAATTTAATCAATATTTTTTAAGTTAATTGAAAAAGTAATTGGTACAATATTCGACAGTTGATGTTATTTGATACTCATATTATAACAATTTTATAGTGAAATATATGTCATATTTATTTTTAAAATATATACTTTTAATTTCATTGTTCTTCTCTAATTCATTAATCTAAGAAGAATCGAAAGTTTTTATATATTAATTACTTCGACTTGTTTAAAGTTAAATTTAATTTCTCAACTTGAATACTTTCCATCATGAAAAGTTCTATTTAAAACAGCCAAAAACAATTTGGTGTTGTCTACTGGTGAGTTTAATGGTGTTTATACACGACCACATATATTTTTTTATTCGTATTTTTACGCGCACCTAATTTTTATTATACTGTTGAAATGTCTACAACGTTATCCATGCATCAAACTACACACACATATTAGTTTTTATAAACTTCACATATTATTTCTCCCTTGAACACTTCTCGTAGTCGTTTTATTTCCACGCGCAAGTCTCACAGGAAATAAGGCCAATAGAAGTTGTCATCGCCTAACTCTCATATGTGTAGTACACGAATTAATGACTCTCCGGAACAGTCTTAAAATAATAAGTTTTTTGTCAGAGAATTTCATTATACAGCGGCCGACTAACGCATTATTAATATTAACATCGTTGATATTATTGAAATAAAATATTTTTAAGCCCATTAAAAAACATCTATGTGACTTGAATGTGGAAACCTATATTTGATTTAAGTACTTCAAGTGTATTTTTATATCGCATTAACACTCGTAAATATACCACCAAGTTTTCCAACATCTAATTTTTACGGATAATTAAATTGACGCTTCGTCAAGCTTAAACTTAGTCGCACTGTGGTAAACTAAACTTGTTTTGCTATTATTGATACCTATAGGTAATAATTTTAATGCCATTATTTACTGTAAAGTTTAATTTCACCATACATTATGTCCAGATAACTTATCGTTTATTAGATTAGTATAAACGGTAACGGGACTTAATTATAGTCGAATTCCTGGAAAGTGACAGATACAATAGAATAATGCGTTACTGAAATTCTACTAAAAATATTATCATGCCGATTCGTGTGACGGTTCGGATCTTGTCGTGTCACTATAACGTTGATGGTTTTAAATAAGTTGGATTTAGAATATAGTTCCTTTCCTCTGAAGGTTTAGGACCCACAAATTGTTTTTAACAAAAATTTGAAATTTGGGCAAAAAGGAAAGGTAGACACTTTTAATTGCCAAAAATTACAATTTTAGTTGTAGTTACTTGCAATTCGAACACTTTCCCTTTATAAATCATTGACAAAAACTACATTGGGAAGAATAATAATGGTATGCACAATGACCTGGTAATAGCGTTATTATCAAACCATAAGTGCTATATAGTATTAAAAAAGTTGTATAATTATTTGATTACTTTTAACCAACAATTTACTTTTGCATATTAGTAATCAATTATGAACACTGATAAAAAATTGAAAAAATTGTGTAAGAACTAAACTGCATTTAATGGTAGTTCAGTTCCTATATAGGTAAATATTTCTTAAAACTCAAGTTTAAATGATTTAAATAAAAAAACTTTTTGTTCAAATTGTTTTTAATAATTCAATGGAATAATAATTAAATTTAAATAATTTAATAATTAAAATACTAACATTTTCTTTTTCAAAATAGATTTTTATATTTTTTAATCTACTTAGTAATTGAAAAATTTATGTTAAGTTTCTATAATTATATTTATTTATGTGTAGGATTTTAATTTTATAAATACGTATTAAAGTAAACATTTTTTTTTAATGATTAATTATAAATCTTAACGACAAAGTTTACCACCTACCAATATTTTGGTCCCATCATTTCAAAATACTCTATTTCATGAAATATATCACAATAATTTATCCACAGAGTAGATAACTTAATAATTCAATTCCTATAATATTTAATCGTTTTCAATACTATTTATTAACAAGTTTAAAAATGTTGAACCAGCTTTTCTTTTACGATTAAAATGTAGACCAAATTCTAAGATCAGACACGTGTCCAGCCCACAACAATGCTGCAGTTTTATGATTCCGGAATACCATAAAAGATGGTTTACACCCAAAAAGAAAAAACACAAGTTCATCATCGTTCCGCCTAAAATACACCTTAGATGTTTTGGTAGTAAGTACGATAATAATGTAACTGACATGTTATTATTAATGTAATTTTATAAAATATTACATTGAGCTCGCGCAGTGGTATTCTTATAAATTTGATCTGGGTAATTTAAAAAAATTATTCACACATAACACTTCCTTAACTTTTATTATAATATATAAATTTGATTTACTACTTTTTTCCGTAATTTTAAACTATGTATAAATATTAAATACCTTTACAAAAGAAAGGTTTTAAACAGCCAAATTATTAACAGATGCATATTAAATATGAAAATAAAAACAGTAAACGTTCATGATCAATAAAAATTAATGATTATTAGGCGGCAATATAAATTAATGAGAATAATGAGTGTATACAGCAATTGTTATAATTTGTTCACCGTTCATAAATTATACTTATATTCTGGGTACACATTAAATGTTAGTACAATATAATAACTAGTATTATATATTAGTATATGTAATAATATACTGTAAAATTGTGAAATTCAGTTAACAAAACACTGAGGAATTAATACTTATTATGTATTAATATTATTGTATAATCGTCGTACATTCTAGATCTCAAGATCTGTCAACGTTCAGCAATTATATCAGTTCACACGAAATAATATAGTACGTCATGACTTGTAACACATTATTATTATTCTATACAGCCTGTGTCAACAATCTAGTCCAATGTTTATGTACGTTTGTCATCAATAGCATTCATATATTTTTATACGCACATTTTAAAATTATATTTATAGATAGTAAACTTAAACAACGTATATTTATACATTAGCTCTAATATATGTTTATTTTTTTAAAGTAAAATAATCCTAAAAAGGCCCATATTGCCATATAAAGTAACATTAATAATTGATTGGCATATTATATAACATATAAGAGTTTTCTATTTTAAAAGTATTTCAATTTACAAATTATTTATACACCAACAGTAATTTCATAAAGGTAAGACAAGTGCGCATATAGGCGCAACAGAATGTTGATGGTTGATTAACCTAAATTTAAACAATAGTTTTATAAAAGTTTGTTATATATATATTCATTATTTTTTGTGATTGAGAAAAATAACGTTAAACATATTTTATGTTGTGCTATATAGTAAAAATTTGTTAAAAAAAAGTATAAAATGTTATATAGATCATTAGCTACATGAGTGTCAGTTAGGTCTGTTCCATTTTGTCAGTGGTGGCTCGTGAGTGCTGGTGGTGGGGGTGCGACTTTAAATATAATACCGCTAGTCATAGATATAAAAATTTGTCAAATTAAATATAATAAAATAAAACACAATACACACATTATTATTTTAAAGGTTTATTATTATAAGCGTTTCAGAACATTGCTCGGACAACGCTGTCGGTCATCCAAACACTTCTCGTGTGTTCATGTGTAAACGCATATACTGAGGGAAACAACTTTAATGTTCACACACAACAAATGCATTATGACTATTTTACTCTTTAAAAATTTTTAATAAAAATGTAGAATTCAGAATATACAATTAATTTTCTTCTTTTAATTAATTGTAGTAGGGGTGCGATCGTCCCCTCCTCCAAGCCACGAGCCGCCACTGCTTGTAACTGTATAAATGTAATAAAATTTTTATTTGATACAGTACTAACAGACACAATGTCAAAAGATCTACTAACAGAAATAATACAAACTGTTTGTTGCACTGGTGTGTTACCTGTAAGAATAGCAAAAATTGTGAGACCCTTGATATCTGTAAAATTTAAGCTTTTTAAATGTTAATTATTAACTAAATGTTGCCTTAAAAACTACGTTTATTTTATTATATTAATAAATAATAATAATACATAATTTTTATCAAACACAATAATGTTTACCAATTCTAATAGAAAATTAAAAATTAAATCTTGAATTACAAAATCTGATAGTAGAAAAATATTATTGAAACAACAAAACGCAATACATGACGATAATAGTAATATTAAATGATTAGTTAAATTTTCTTATTGTACTAATAAATAGAAAAAATTATTTTGAACATTAATTAATTTACATAAATTTAATTAATACACATACATTTAATTATTAAAGTTCATTTGTATAACACAATTTTTATCAATAAATTTAAGTACTTACATATACTATAATGTGTATAAATATAATAGATTTTTTTTTACTTGACTCATTGCAATCTACCGCAATATTAAATTTTATTATTACCTGAAATAGTATAATCTATGTATACTATCTAAGTATATGACCAAATTAAATTTAAATACTAACCGAATAAATAGTGTAAACGAGCAGCTATTTCTAGCGCATTACAAGTAAGGATAGTAAAAATTATAAGAATCAATATCCAACTGCATACAGTCCTCTGTATAATGATCAAACATTAAACAATAATAGCACCTGTTAAAAGAAAAGCTAATTAAATTTTTAACTGTTAAATCATTTAATAATTACCGTTGGCCATAAATTTGTCCAATTATCACTATGTCCTTCGCCCAATTTGGTCGCGAAGCATCAATCACAAACTTTGCTTTTTGCGGAGCTCTATAATATCGATAATGACCAACTATGTCTTCCTAAAAAAAAAAAGATAATTTTTAACTTCAGAATTGTTTTCTTTTTATTTAAATTTATCAATATATCGTCTGTGTGGCAAAATCACGTATCACGGATTTTAAAAATTATTTTGAAAGAAACAAAAAATGAATTATTTTTGTATAGTATATAATGAATATTATTGTTTAAATGCTTTATTATTGCATATTATAATATGCTTACCCTCTTGAAATAATAGCATTTCCCATTATTTGAAATAATTCTTCCATCTTCATTATTATATCCAAAATAACGTATAATTCCTTCTCCATTTCTATTCATTTCCAAGCTGTCTCCTTCATCAACAATTACTTCGTGCTCTGCCGTACGATTTAAGCAATCATCTTCAGTATCACTGTTTTGAATGTATAAAGAGTGCGTGTCTTCTTGTGACTCCTCAGAAATCATAACATGCTCAAAGCCTTCTTCATTCTGTACTTCATTTGATAATGCACCTTCGCTTTGCATATTGATATCTTCATTTTGTATTGTACCCAATTCCAACTGATTGTTAGTATTTGGACATATATCTTCTTGTGACTCCGCAGAAATCATAACATACTCAAAGCTTTCTTCACTCTGTACTTCATTTGATAATGCACATTCGCTTTGCATATTGATATCTTCATTTTGTATTGTACCCAATTCCATCTGATTGTTAGTATTTGGACATATATCTTCTTGTGACTCCGCAGAAATCATAACATACTCAAAGCTTTCTTCAGTCTGTACTTCATTTGATAATGCACCTACGCTTTGCATATTGATATCTTCATTTTGTATTGTACCCAATTCTGTCTGATTGTTAGTATTTGGACATATCTCAAGCGCCATAGCTTCTAATTAATAACATATAAAATTTTATTTTTATGATTGTTTAAACAATAATTAGTCTAAAATGAATTTTTTGTTTGATCGAATTTATATAAAATTTCACTAAATGATATCGATGCAATCACATATCCCATAACATCGTTGTACCGCCGATTAGGCTTATAACATTGACATACGAATTACTACAGAAGGGCAGACTGGCCACATAAACACTTTTGGAATTCACGGCCTTGGTGCATCAATACGAGTGTCTCAAACACCAATTGACTTTTAACTATTATCGCGACTATTACTTACTCACATGATTAGAATTTTACAAAGAGCGTTGGGTTTATTAGTCTTTACAACAGATATTTTAGAACTTGTACAAGAACGGGTTATTATATCTTTGGGGAAAAAACCGTTAAAGCTCTTGAAACGTGTAAGAATATTAAATTTCCAATAGGGACAAATTTTAATTTTTAAACGCTCACTTTTAAAAATTTATAAACGCAAAAGTACACATCAGTTACTGCCTAAACAATTTCAACAAATTTCACTTAAAGAATAAATTGAAATCTTACAAAAAGATAAGAATAGGTTATTATTTTTATTATTGTACTAAGGATTACTTATTAAATATTTTAACATTTTTAAACAAAGAACAGCTGGTTAATAGTCATAATAAAGATTTAATAAGTAATTTGCACAAAGTATTTAAACAATCTCCTTTATCGGCTAAATATTTATATATAATTTAATATATATATGTGTGTGTGTGTGTGTGTCAGAGTTTCCGGAAAACTTTCAAAAGTTAAGTTGAAAAAGTTAATTTTTTGTGAAAAAGTTGTCTTTTTAAATCCCCCCCTGTAGGCAGGTAAAAAGTCAGATTTATAAAAAAAATATACCAAATGATAGGTAAAGACATCATGCATCTACAAAAAAAAGAATTATATTGATCCATACATCTTTCAAAAAGTTATAGCATTATAAAGTTAAAAATATAAAAAAGAATTTTTTTACAAAAATCGTATTTTTTTTATTAAGTTTAATGTCTGTTTTCACCATGAAGATAAAATAAAGTCCGAAATTTTTTTTTACCATTATAAAGTATATTACATTAGCTTTAATTTAAGATATATATAAAAGTGTCAGACCTTCCGGAACACTTTCAAAAGTGAAGTTGAAAAAATTAATTTTTTGTAAAAAAGTTGTCATTTTAAATCCCCCCCTGTGGGCAGGTAAAAAGTCAGATTTATAAAAAAAATATACCAAATGATAGGTAATGACATCATGCATCTATAAAAAAAAAGAATTATATTGATATGTTTATTTTTAAAAAAGTTACGGCAGATTTTAGTAAAAAAAATTGAAAAAATTTCGAAAATTACCCATTTTTAAATTTGTAATTTTTTCGGAGGTTTCCCCCATTTACGGGGAACGAGGGAATTTTTTTCAATTTTTGAGGGTAATGTCTTCGACTAGGTACGATTTGTGATATTTTGACGTATCGTTGAAAGAAATCGGTTCGGTGAGAGCTGAGAAAAAGTGGGCAACAGACACAAAAAAAAACACATCATAGTAATACCAATACCTTTTCAGCTTCGCATGCTAAAATGCGGATACATATTTCAGAAATCATGTAATCATTATCAAAAATTTTTATTTTATGTTGAAAATTTGAATTTTCTAATGAATGAACACTTAATAATATTTTATCGAAAATTGTGATAATACAATAGGACTTAATTTAGATTTTTTTTTTTTTGCTGTAATAATTGCTAATTACAACTAATTATAATTAGATTAAAAAATGCTTTAGTTAAAAACTAAAGTATTCATTTACTGGTGGTTTTATCTTATTTATAATATTGAGTAATATAAAATGTCTGCTGAAGTTTTTTGGACAATTGTAGATTTTATAAAATTAATTGGATTTATTTATGTGATACTTTAAATACTTATGTATAAATTATTGAATCATGATTTGAACCGGATTTCAGTATAAAATATGCATTATTAATGGTAAACTAACAAGATGGTGTACTTAAATAATTTTTTTTCATGGAGTGGTTATGATAAAAATTAACAACCCCCTCAGAATTCTTTTCAGTAAACGTTTATAAAAATATGTAATTATTTAAGTTTTTAATACATTTTTGTTAAAACATGATGTTTTTTACAGCTGCAGCGATGAGTCGTTTTCCAAACATAAGTCACTTTATGTAGGTGGTAGCTGCCAGAAACAGCATTTATCAGTGGCTAGATTCATTTAAATATTTTTGTGTGTTATTTTTCAACTTTTAGGCATTAAGATATCATATCAATAAGCTAGTCGTTGCCGTCATCCTATCATACTCACAATTTATTTATCACCTCTATTTACTACCAAAAGAGTCTATTAATCTCTGTATCCGTTAAAATGCTGGATACTAAGAGGATTTTTGTTGACTATCGTCTTAGGCTAAATTTAATTAAAAAATTACCTGGACCAGATTGAGCTATGATACCATCTTCATTGCACTTCTTTTTCTTTGAAATACAACACGTCAAATATCTTACCAACCGACCAAATATACTATTCCTTTTCATTCTTTTAGTATTATAAACAGCAAAATCAATATTACAAAATAATTGTTTTCAAGTTAATAAAGTTAACAATAATAAAATATAAGGAAAAAGAAATAATTATTCTTCACGAACTTAATAACAAGCTAATATATGTTTTGATTATAAACATCAAACATGTTGGGTTATCCAACTGGTATCAATGGCAACTTATATTTTACTATTTTATGATTATAAGATATTTAAATAATTGCATTTAATTCAGAGATTTTCAAATATACAATATTACTATACTAATAGCTACTAACACACAAAAAATTCGTGTGAAATTATAAAATATTACTTGTTTTAAGTAAGCATCAGTATACATAATTTGAATTATGGTTCATATTATAAATTACACAAGTTAAATAATATTTAATGTTAAAATAAAATCTCTAAATGTTCACCATTTATATGATGAACAAATAACATTTTTAACGTTGAGTAACTTGAATACTATTTTCGAATTTAATTTCCAAATAACAGTAAATATGATATTTAATCAACATTGTTATGATAGTTGCATTGACTTCAGTTCTCTTTTAACTAACTTATTTTGGTCGTTTATTTGTAAAAAATTTATATAGAGGACCTGAAAGAAAATTATGCACATTGTCTTCAACTTTATATAACATATTTTTACGTTTTTAAACAAAAAATAGTATACATTTGAATTTAAGATGTACACATTACATTATAGTTCACGATATCAGAAATTTTAATTATTTGAATCTAGTTTCTAATTTTCTATTTAAATATGCAAGTGAAATATGTAAAATTTGACTTAGAACATCCATATCTAAATAATAGAAATTATAATAAGATTCAAAACAAAGTAGTACAAAATGTAACTCTTGTGGATGATTAAAAATTTGAAACCGTTCATTTTAAAACGACTTTTTCGAGTAGGCGCAAGTAAATGAAGAACTTTAATTTAAGCTCACTAGTCTCATTGAATATTTACTCATCATTTCATCTCTGATATATAGTTAATTGATCCTATGTTAACTTAAAAAAATTAAAATTTTACAAGGTAATACTGTATGAAGCAGTTTTTAATAGTCTGCTGCACTGCAACAGTTATTTTATACAAGAATTAAAATACATCATTTCGACTTACTAATTACGGGAGAGCCTTGTCAATGACAATGACAAGTTGTCATGCTATTTGAATTATTTACACGAATTATTTTGATTCATAATATATATTCTAATAAAATAATAAACTTGTAAGAATCCTTTTATTTTTTATTATACTCTCTGGTAAAATATGTTACTTTTATGTTGCTCGTGATATCAGCATATGGACATATGAGCATTTAATTCTTAAAGCATATGCTTTAGAAATTTCTGATCTTTTTGATAAAATGTATTTTTATTTATCTTTATTCGTAAGAAAAATATTTACCTTTCTAAATATAATAGTACATAAAATATTTTGTTTTAACTAAAATAAAAATTTTAATTAAATTTAAATTTACATTTTTATTATTTGTTGATGAATTTGTAAAAAAGAAAACACACATATTGATTTAAACGTGTTCACTGGACTTCATGTAACAGTATAATAATTAAATGTAAGTACCTCTATTCGGATTAATATTTTTTATAGAGGGAAGTGATACTTCTCAAAATTATATTGTAATCTGAAATTTAGTTTTACAGCACAAAGTGTCTTTTAACATTGAAGTTAATACATTTAAATAATGTTGTATATTGTATGCTAATTAACAATTAAATTAAAAAAAAAATTTAACTTGATTAATTTATATCCCAACATTTTTTTATTAGTTCAAAAAATTAGTATACAGTTAAAAAAAAAATTTTATTTTAAAATTAAAATCACATTATTTTTGAAATTTGTTTTAATTTCAGTAGAACTATTTTATTGCTAACATTTTTTAAATATATTTTAAATTAAAATAATAATACAACCAGAACTAGAATATAACATAAATGCATTCTCATTTTTCAAAATTAAAATATAATTTCCTTAAATAATTTTCAAAAACAACATTTTTATCATTTAAATTTTGAACAAGCGTATTTGAATTTAGTTTATATATATACTAAATTCAAATACACGTGTTCAAAATTTAATAGACTATAGACTATATTCTATAAAAACCGAACTATGTTATGAATATTAATTTCTAAGTTACTAATAATAATTTATTGTAAAGCGCCTATTTTTATACATAATTATCAATGAGATAGATCGTATGTTTGTAATTTTCTTATATTTTTTGTATAAATTATTTATGCTCTTAGATATATATTTTTATGAATACAATTCTTAGTGGAGTATTTAGAGGGGCACTTGTTTTTCTGCTATAGACTGTGTAATGTTGTTAAAGAAAATTTTAATTTTCTTCCTCTCTCTATTATGAATTTTTAAATACGTCCCGATGTCTATTATAGTACATACGAGGTGTATTTTCGTTTATGATTAGAGCTAACCTAATTTAATAAATTAAAATTAAAAATTAAAAAATGTATACATTTAAATATTTTAGTAAAACAGTGAAATATTGAGTTTTTATTATTTTTGTTTTTGTTAATTAAAATTTTACTTGTAGATTTTATTTTAGAGTAGCTATTATATAAATATGTTTTTAAGAAAAATTTTGATACCAAAAACTCTTATTTTAATTCAGTCATTTCGTTTCTATAGCATATTTAGCAACTGATAGCTCCGTTTAGCAAACGGAGCCACTTGTGAAGGAGTCGCAAACCGAAACATTGCGTATTAGGCACTGCCGTGTTAACAACTCGGCCACACCGTCTCTCTTAGTTCACATAATAGACTTAAATTGAAAATGTTATAATTATCATAAGCATTGTCTATTCCATTTTGGCAATCACAAATAATAACTTTTTAATAAACTAAAAAATAAGTATATTTTACAGAAAACATTGTACGATTTTGAGTTTTTAAATTATTTTGAACATGAATTTATTTCCATAAAATTAATTAATACACATACATTTAATTATTAAAGTTCATTTGTATAACGGAATTTTTATCAAAAAATTTAAGTACTTACATATACTATAATGCGTGGTAATATAATAGATTTTTTTTACTTTAAAAATGTAGAATTAAGAATATAAAATTAATTTTCTTTTTTGCTACTGCATTTTGTATATATATATAATAGCAAATATATTTTATTTTTGTGATGGAGTAATTCTTCAACGCTTTATGTATACAAATGTTCCAAAAAGTAAGGAAACATGTAAATTTATACGAATAATAATGTCATTAGAAATATATTTCCTTTCTTACTGAAAGGAATATAATATATATTATATAGTAGGCAATGAAAAAATTAATTTATAAATTGTTGCACATAAGTTAGATTGGAGGGAATGAACAATATATATTTATAAAGCAATTTTTATGAATTCAATTTTTTGTTCACTAATGAATTAAGTGAAACAAAATTAAACTTTAGTACTGGGCCAATCCGAGTGAGTTTGTGGAATATGTTATGCGCATAAAAATAATTATATTTTAAATTAAAAAAAAAATTTATTTTCAGTGAAAAATGTTTTTGATGAGTAAAATAAAAAGGTCACACACAGGGCGACATAGTTCATAAAAATCGAAATGTGTCACAGGGTGTCCACTTCCCTATTAAAAAGTTTAGTTAATTAATAAATCAGTTAAGTATCAAAAAAATTATTTATTCAGTAAGAATAGTTTTTCTACTTCCCATATTTCTAGTTTTGGTTGTTCATTAGCAACCCAACANTCCCATATTTCTAGTTTTGGTTGTTCATTAGCAACCCAACAAAACATGATAAATTCTTTAAAGAGTGTTATAGATCACCTATTTTTCTTAAATCCTTAGTATAAAAATGTTAAAAGTATGTCTTTATTTTTAACTGCATAAGAAAGATAATTGTTATTCAAATTTTAGATTAAGGATATTTTTAGTATCATTGATGTATTTGTAATTTGAGATCTATTAAATTTGTTTAAGTTATTAAAATAAAAGCAGTTAACTCTATTTACTTATAATCAACATTATAATTTAAAATAAATCCAATTTTAGTGAAAATCATATTACAGGGATATTTTCATTAATACAAATATACAAAATTATTAAAAATTATGACAAACTAAACAACATTTTAAAATATAATATATATTTTGTAAAATAATATTTATTAAGAAAAAAGTTACATAAAACCTAACTCTGTAATCAAATTAGTTTATATTTGTTATTTTCAATTGATGCAATTTATAATAAGTTGGTCTCACAGGAAGCTTTTTTTGTGACCATTCATTAATGAATAGATTACTTTCAGTACTGGAACATAGTTGATTGAGTTCTAAATTAAATGGAATCAGAGTAGTTTCTAATGTATTAAACAAATGGCGTAAACTATCTTGAGCAGCCATTTTTAATGCAATGTCAACTGTTTCTCCAAAACCTTTTTAATGTTGAAAAATTAAGTAAATTATTAAAATTCAAATTAAAAATTAAATAAAAATAGTATAAGTACCAAGACCGATCATTTTTTTAACAGGTAGTGTAAATAAACCCACTCTAAAACATGCTAATATTGTATTTTTGCCAGCTAGTCCAATGAGTCTTGGTTCAATTTTATCAATACCGTCATTCGATAAAATATCTTTAAGCAATTTAATGGGGTCTTCAGGCTTCCAAATTGTATGAATATCTTTATCAGCTAATTGTGTTAAAATAAAATCTCGAACAAATAAGGCGGCTTGATTTTCACCAGAACTTTCAATTATTGCACCTACTAATGCTTTTAATACATTTGCCAAAGTAGATTTTTCTACAGGAAAATCCTAAAAAAAAAATTAAGTTAGATTTTTCAACTATACATATTTTTTTTATACGTTTGCTGCTTATAGTATTCAGTCCCTAAGAGAAGGTTCCTCCTTAACTTTAACACAAATACTCTGCAATAGGTGGTTAGTCCAATTAACTTTACGGATGGTACTTTATTTACTGAACTAATCTCTTGCTAAGTAACCAGAGTTGCTGGTGACTTATGCATGGCAGTATGCATCAGATTTTGACACATTACTGGCATAACCATACTATCTCTTTTATTTCTCTATTTATGTTTAAATAAAATATATACTTACAGAACATAGTATAAGTTCAGAGGTTCCTATATGAAAAGATACATTAGAAAGTGTATCAATATTAGTAAGAAATCTATGAATTTCCCTAGAACCATAAAAAATTAAAAAATCAATACATAAATGAAAAAAATTATTTTGTCTATAATATTTAAATGTACATACAATATGCCTTCTTCTGGTAATTTTGGAAATACAGTACGTAAATATCTCTTAACAAAATCATCAATAAATGAAGAACCTTTTTCTGCCAATTCTCTATTATCAATTAAATCAATAAGTGGTTTTTCAATACCAACTTCTTTTTGTTTTTCTTCTTCATTTATAATGTAAGATCTTTCTGTAAATACACTTTGTAGAAGATTATTATCAAAACGTTCTCCAAGACGTTTACTAAATGCATAAAGTTCTGTATCATAATTCCTGAATCAAGCATGTGGAAATTTAATATAATTAAGTTTTACACAAAAATGAAGTTTAATATACCATTCAAGGAAATGTTTACGATGAACTGGCTTTTCGGGGTCTAATTTATTCTTTCTACGTTTCAATTCTTTAAGTGTAGGAGCAAGCCATCTATGAAATGGTTGTTTAAAATCAATAATATTGTTACCTACAAACAATAAATATTAAAATTTGAACAGAAAAATAGTAATTTAATCAAAACAATAATACTTCAAAATCAAATAATTACTTACACTGGTTATTTTTTAATAAATTAAAGAATGTATTTGATACTTTTAAAGAAAACATTTGAAAAATATTTTAATTATTTCATAAATACTAAACTAATGAGGAATTACTTTTTTTTTATTTCAAATATTTATTTTATTTTGATTTAAGCAAAATTAGTAAAATTAGTATCAATTTATCTTCTTGTCTATGCACAAAATTGTCCGACCTCAAGATCATGTGATTCTTTAGATATGTTATCACTAAGGCGCTATATTTATTCTATATAGAGCCCTTGTTACTAGCCAATTGTTTAATAACATAAATACTTAAGAAAAGTAAATGCACCTTGTGTATAGATCTATATGAATACTAAGCACACATAGTAAATAAATAATTAATTAACTATTAATTAGATTACAGTATATATTTTATTATTAGAATAGATCACGACGATTATATTCTTATCTATAATCGTGTAATAGATAGAAAATAACTGTTGATAACCATCTTATCAATTATTAAACAACTACAAATATTAGTTAAATTTTTTATTCTTATTTTGTTATAACTTAATTTTGTTATGGCAGCTTTTCAGAGAATTAATTCAAAAAATTCATCAAGATATTTAAATCTAACCGATTTTGAACGTCTTGAGTCTCACGTTGAATCAGAGGGAGATTTATTAATAAAAAATTTAGCGTCCAAACAAGTGAATACAAATCTTACTTTTGAAAAGTAATATTATAATAAAAATTTTCTTTATATAAGTTATTTTAATAGGTAAATTTATACAATTGAGTCTAGAAATGTCATATATTATTTATAATTACAATTTATTATTGCAATTAATATCATCTACAATGATAGTTTTTTAGAAATATAATTAAATTAAAATCAATTTTACTTTTTACATTATTTATTTAATACTAATGAAAGTTATTACTTTTCTATATTACATAGCATTTTATATTATCTACAAACGTTTGATAAATATATAACTTTGGAAAATTCATAGAGTGAATGCACTGGAGCTAACATCTAAGTTAATATGTTTTGCATGATAAAAATATCACTAGATACTACTATCATACCAATATTTTTTTTGATAGTTTTTTGTTAATATTTTATTACTCAGTTTTTTTTTTCGACAAAATTTAACATATTCATGGGAAGAATCATGTCTTCTATATATCCACTCACATTATGTATACATTGCAACAGTTACATGTATTATAAATTATATAGACCAAAGAAAATAAGTGAACACATCCTATTTTTGAATATAGCAAAACTTCCTATAATGATTATGATAGAATATTAACTAACTAATTGTTTTTTTATTTCAAAAAAATCATTTTAAAATAAGAAAATAATTTATCTAGTGAAAAATAAATCCAAGTATATAATTAGTAATTCAAAAAGTAATTTTTTTAAACATTCATATAAATTATGATATGAAATCATAATTATACTGATATTTATTAATCACATTATTACTTTTCTGATGAAGCATTATAAATTTATACTTCATTTAATTTGTTAAATTAAAGTTTTAATGGATAAACTTTTGTTTTGTTCAAGTATTAGCATAACAAATATTTATTTATTTATAAATAAGAGTTCTTACTAGCTCTAAGAAATTATTAAGGATTACTTTGATTTTAAAATTAGTAATAAATTTTATTTTTAGACAACTAGCTCAAGAGCGAGATTTTATCACCAGTCATGAATATGTTCCTATTACTGAATGTATTCAAGGAACAGTTAAATTACCTGAATTTTGTTCGAGAGTAGAAGAAGCTATTGCTCTAGAAAAATCCAACTCTGATGAAAAGGAGCTACATAGTGTAAAAATTGCTGAGTTAGTCCAATATTTTTATTAAAATATTTAAAATCAACTATAATTTTCAATTATCTTTAGTCCTCTACATTTTATATATATATATATATTATAAAAATTAAAATTTATAAAAATATGTATTACTATATAAACTATAATACTACTATAAACAAACATTTTACATAACTAATATTAATTTACTTATAACCATGTTTCAATAATATATAAATTTAAAATACTAAATTATTTTAAATATTGTTGAAAGGTGAGTAAAATGAATAAATTATTGATTAAGAGCCCAAATTTAGTGGATTGAGTTGAAAACCTCCTTTTGACAAACAAATTAAATTTTAAAGATACGATTTTATATAAAATGAAAAATATAGTAATTATTTTAATTATGTAAAACTTCATTGAAAAAAGTCTAAGCATGCTAGTGATAAAGTATTATTGATATTAATTTGTATAAAATAGCATTATTAGAAATGATTTTCATCTAAAAAATATTTATTACATTTAACATATTTTTTTTTCAGCTGTTTGAGCAGACATGAACGAGAGTTAGCACTTTGTGTTAAACCTAATAGTACTGAAACAAAATTATTACAATTTGCTTTATTGTGTAGGGGTGATCAAAAGTCCCCTTTAAAATCACATCCACCTGATCATCCAATAAATAACCTATCTAAAATATTTGAAGAAAAATTTAACCATCTTGATGTATGTCCAATAAAAACTTCAAAAACAATTCTCCGTAAACGTAGACAACTGCTTCAATCTATTTCAAAACCTGTCAATGTAAAATTTTTTACTTAATACTTTAAAATAACATGAATTAATAAAAAAAATTTTTAGGTACCTGAAAAACCTATTAAAAATTTAAAAAGACCATACTCTTTATGGGATTTAAAAGAAAAATATTCTGAGAATCGAAGTTCAAAAATTTATTCTTATGAAAATAATAATACTAATCAGTGTATAGGAGAATTAAAAATTGAAAATAAATCTCATTCTATTCAAAATAAAATCCCAGTTAATGGACAACATTTTATAGCAAGCCGCTTACTCTCAAGCTATACTAATAACTTTCCAAAAATTACTCAAGAAGAAATTAAATCTTTACCTCATTTCAAAAACTATCAAATTGGTGATCCTTCAAAAGTTAGTTTATTGATATTAGAATACATTATGTTATTATATTTTTCATATAATAATACCAAATCAATATATGTATATGCATCAGAGATCAGTTCAGGCATTAAAAATACATCCTGATCTCAAATTTATATATATATATATATATTTATATTTTATATAAGTATTAAGCCCAATCCAATAATAAAATATTGTTATTGTAATTAAAAGGGTTATATTTTTAAGTTTATTTCATTAAATTTCATCCCTAAACTTTAAACATATTTATATATATTTAAATTTATAAATTTTTTCTATGCATTTAGTAACAAGAAAAGTATTTTTTGGCAAAACTATGACATTAATGCTGAATAAGTAAACCTTGTTTCTATAGCAACAAATCCAAAACCAAAAAATGTCAGTTTCTCATTTTAGTTTTTTAATATAATTTTATAGTAATGAATTAAAGTATTAATTTAAAAAGATCAATTCATTTTATTTTGTTTACTTAATGAAAATTTCTTTCGAAAATTAAATTTACCTTAATTGATGAAAACCATTCTTGCAATTGTTGAAATATCTAAGATATTTAATAGATAATATTTAATTTAAATAGTCAAGTTTATAATAGCTGAAGTAAATTTTATTCTATAATAGAACATTATTTCAATTTCTTTCAATAATATATTTTAACATGCAAGAATGGTAAAGTAATTAAATTTTTTTTTATTAGATTGATGTTCTATGAAGGGAATAAGAAATGACTATCAAATACTATTTATAGTCTAATAAAAAAACTTAGAGCCTATATACAGAGTGTTCAATAAGTAAGGAAACAAGTAAATTGTTACAAACAATGAGAACAATAGAAACCCCGTTTCCTTAATTAATGAACACACTATATAAACAAATTAATGACTTTACTTCTTATGTAACAATAGAATGTTATTGTAGGAATGCTTTTTTCCCCATTGTAATGTTTGTATGATTTCAATTTATGAAACATTTAATATTCAATAATAAAATATTAACTTTTTTCTTGTGTTTTAGCTGAGCCTAGATAAACAATATGATAATAGTAAAGTTTTAAATATGTATTAGTATTAAAAAGTTGTTTTATTTGTTAGATAATATGTTAAAACTTGAAAATAATATATTTTTAATTTCAGATTCTTTATATTAAAAATATAGCTAAAAATGTAAATGAAAAACATTTAATATCAATTTTTGAAAAATATAAAGAAAAACAGGCTCAAAGTATTATTTACCGATATATGAAACAAGGAAGAATGAAAGGCCAAGCATTTGTTGAGTTTGAAAGTAAGAAAACTGAATAATAATGAATAAACTTCTTTATTTATGAAAAACGTATTATGTTTGATTCTCGTCAATTTTACTATTATTATTTGTAATATTTTTGATAGTATATCAAAGTGTAACTAATGTACTAGTAAAATATGCATGTTGCCATTTAAAAAAAATGAATTTTGTATCCTTGTAAGGTTAAGGGATAGAACAAATTTAATAATTTATAAATCGAAAAATATATACTAATTCAATAAGCCAAAAAAAAAAATTTCTTAAAATTATTTAAAAATAAATTATCTCCTGCTCATATTGTACTATAGGTTCATTTGGCAGAAGTTTAAAGTCTATTAAAGATTTCACTAGGGTGCCTTTTTCTTAGTTATATATATTCAAAGACTAGTATTTAGCTACTTTATGGAAAGAGAAATACTCGATAAATTATTAAACTAAACTTACTCAACCATGATAATAAAAACAAATTTCCAGTTAAAAAATAATAATTTCAACTGTTAAATAAAAACGGATGTTTTATTATAAACTTTTTAAAATTATTTTACAAAGTAATTTACATAAACATTGAAATTAGGAACATTTAAAAAATATTGATGAAAAATTATTTAAAAAACTATTATATATATACAGGGCGGAATAGATATAATGACTGCTTTTATAACTTTTGTTAAAATTAAATTTTAAATTAATATTAAAATAGTCAGTGTATAGCACTTTTCTTTAATAAAATGATTAATTGGACCATAGCAATTGTAAGACGAATATTTATTGAACTACAAGAATTTCAATACATGCAATGGTTATGTTACATGATTAGATACAGCTTATACTGGTGTATATTTAGTACTTATATTCCACCACCAACTCTCCATAACCACTTAATGTAATAAAATATTTGTAACTCAAAAAGTAATTTTCCTAATATTGTTATTAAATATGTTTATAATTTTATGAAAAAAATTTCTATGAACTGGCTATTTTATAATTAAAAATTTTAAAAAATTAATAATTTTTTTTATTATTAAAAATACATTTTAAATTAATAAACAATTAAATAATAATAAATACAATTAATAATTAAAATGATATAAATGTAGTCTAAGAATGTATTTATTATACATCTAAAAAAAACAATACAGCAAAATGTTGATTGTATTTAAAGTTATAGTAGTTGTCAGTTTGATCTATTTCACTTTATATACTTGATTTTATTCAAATACTTTATAATATATTTTAATTTTAGATTTTGAAATTGCTCATCAAGCATTACACGAGAATAATGGTATCATAGTAGAAGGAAAACCATTAGTTATATCATTTGGAAAAAAATGATAGCAATAAGGAAAGGTTTTACTAGTTTTATATTTCATTAAAATTGAATATCATTATTATATTGATATTAATTACATTAATAATAATACCTATTATGTATTATCAGCTTAAATATTATAATAAATTACTATAAATTAATATGTTTTCAATAAATTAAGTCTTAAATAAAGTCTTTACATACATAGTTGGCAAACAAAATAGTTCATTGAAAAAATTGATGTTTGACACTATTTTTAAGTTACTATATGATTAAAAATAATAAAAATATCATTAAAATTCAGGTTTCATATCTTATCATAACAAAAAAATACTATTTTTTTAATATTTATATTGTTTAATAATTTCGTGGTATTAAAAAAATAAAATTGTGTTAATCTTCCATGTATAAAATTTTAGTGTTCATAATTAAACTTGAAGCAGACATGTTGTTGTAAGTTCTATAATGATTTTGAAAAATGTGACTTCTTATTATTTTTCTTTTTTAAACTTCATTTACATAGGTATTTTTTTAAATACTCTTATGTATAATTTTTGATAGGTAAAATAAAATTTCATAAAAAAATTTTTCATGAATAAATCAAAAATTGCTTTTTTAATATAACTTTCAAGTGAAAATATGTGTAATGAGAATATATGAAGAATTTTAAGAGTTTTAGTTTCTACAATTATTAACAAATTCTTAAAAAAATATATATATAGAGTCAATTAACTTACTACATATGGTAAAAAATTTAAAAAACTGGGCAATAATTTTATTTCCCAGTCCTGATAAAAGTACATGTTTTGATTAAGAACAACACTTAGGAGTACTTTTAACAATTAATACAATCTATTGTTCATTTTATAAGATGCATCTATTAGTAGGTAAATGCCCATATTATATATAGTAATATCCACAATAACATATATTTCTGATATTACTAATACATTTCTATGCAAATTGCAAAAAATCAGTGACCACTTTAGCAAAAATCTTAAACATTTTGTCTGTTGTCATACGTTGTCTTTTCCATCCTTTTTGGTTAAAATTTGGAGTTATTTGAAACTGCTCTGTACAATTTCTAGAATCAAAATATTATTTATTAATTAAATCATTTGTAAAATTTCCAAACAAATTTATTTACCCTGTTAAAAAATTGTATGTAGTTTCAAAACACCTAATTTATCAGTCATTCAGTTCTATAGAAGTAATATCAACTTTTAATTGTTCATATTTTAGAAAAACATTAAGTTAATTTTATATGAATAGGAGTCAAAAATACCCTTTTTTTATTTAGTTTTTCATTTACCAAATTATGTAGATATGCTTTACATTATGTATTTTTAAAGCATTTTTTTAGGTTTTGGCCAATAAACATAGCTTTTACTATTTTTGAAAAACATGCGTTTGTGCCAATTTTTACTTTAACCCTTTCAGTACACTATTTTATACCCATCATTTTTCTATTTTTTAATTTGTGATCATAAATTTTTATTAGGGAACATTACTTCCAAACACAAAATATGCAAAACGATGTAAGCAATGTAACTGAAGTAATTTTTTTCTAAATTTTAAAGTTTTAACAATTTTTAAGTTGAAAAATTAATTTTTTAACCTATCCTAGGGTCACTTATTACAAAAAAATTCATTATGATTCATTATTTATTAAGTTGATTATTAATTATGAGTTATAATAAAATTTGATAATTTTTGGCTAATATTATTTAAAATTTAAAAACTATATTAAAAATATTATTAATTTAAAACTTGAAAATATTTAATTTAAAAAGCCCAAAAAAATTAATAAAATATATACATATCTCGAAAACAATGTAACCAATATCAACTCTAATCAAATACTATTACTACAATTGAAGGAAACCACTTTATGTACCTTTATAACCTATAACTAGTGACGTAATCATTAAGTAATAACATCACATTTTGCCAGTTTACATTAATTTTATAATGAATTTTTCAGTTAGCCAACATCTCAATTAATCAAATTGTTTTTATTTTTAAATATTTCTATTCCCTTCCTTTTATTAAGTTCTTTGTAATTATTTACGTTTTTAATTAGTTTTATAGTTTTAATAGAGTGATTACATGTCAATAATATTTAGCCACCGGATATTTATCAACTTCATTGAAAAATTACATTTTCGTCATACCCATTAAATCTAGCTATTTCTCCTTATAACGCCCAGTTCCTAATCAAAATCGATTTATAATCTATTTTATTAATCAGAATAAATAAATGATCTGTAAATCTTACTATTAAAAGCTGCCATTTTGGGTTGCCAGCTGTAGTTTGAATTGTTCAAAATATAACTGAACATGGGTTTGTTTTTCCGATCAATTTCAAAATTTTGTTCCGCCTTTACTCTTTTAACTAATAAATCAAAAAAAGTAATTTAGGGATTAGGTAAAAATTAAAAACATTCACGACTTATATAAAACTTAAAAAATAAATAAATCTCCACTGGCTGAACATTTATTAACATATAATCACTCTATTAAAACCATAAAACTAATTAAAAACGTAAATGTTTACAAAGAACTTATTAAAAGGGAGGGAATAGAAATGTTTAAAAATAAAAACAATTTGATTAATTGAGATCTTGGCTAACTGAAAAATTCATTATAAAACATTGTTTTTAATTTAGTGTCATATTAACAAATTTAAATATTTAACTGTACCCAAATAAACATCGCTCTTTAAAGCAAACCATTTTTGCAATATTGAAGAATAAATTGCCAATAGTATGAGCTGTTGGTGAGTTGACTTTATTTAAGCACTGTTGAAATTGTGTGTCACAATCACAATGTGATCTAAAGTTTCAAAAAATAAACATATATATATATATTGAATTAAATTAAATTAACATATTTCAAAATTAAACCATATAGGAATTTTTTTATCTTGTATGTACTAATGGTTGCCATATTTTATTATTATTATTTTTTTAAATCATACAATTTTCCCTTATACAGGAGGCGTTCAAAACTTAAAAAATACGTATAATAAATAGAACTTTTTCATCTTAACTTTTGAAAATGTTCCGGTAATACTGCGTCTTTTAAATATATGTTAAATTAAAGCTTATGTTATGTACTATAAATTAAAAAAAAAATTATTCCGACGACTTATCTCTATGTGCAAATGGTAGTCAAAATTGAACAAAAAATATAAGTTAATTTTGCTTTTGGAATAATCCGCCAATTTCTTAGAATTAAACACTATCTACAGATTTACATCGAAGCACTTCTTATGATAGTGATTTTAATCATTGTCAGATATCATCTATATTTGTCCCAACTATGCCACGTTTATACTTTGCCACAACTCCACTATCCTAACTTTTTTTATTTTGAACAGTACAAAATTCAGACATTTTTTTGCGACTTACCCTAGAAATGGACTAGCGCATAAAATGAGGACACTATTTCTACATGAATTAATTTTTATATATTTGAATTTAATTTTTAATACATTATTTTCTCAACTGTATTCTAATACTACAAAGGATATTCAAGAAATGGTTGCTGTCCAAGGTTAAAATTTGAAATAAAAAAAAATTTTACAATTTAAATGAAATAAATATTGATTTTTTTATAAAAATTATCTAAGATATTCAGCATTTATATTAAAATTTTACCTTTTTGTTTATTTGATTAATAGATGCTCAGTCTGGATTGTCTTATGAACCATAATAACTATATAAAAGTGATACTATTTTATGCTTACATTTATGCATTTTTTACTTAAATTATATTATTCTTGAACAATGTTAACTGTAATATTACAGAGTTTTACAGCTTGTAAAACAATTATCAAATGATTTTCTAATAATTATTCTAATTTCATAAATACAATATAGCTCTTGAAATGTATTGAATAATGAAATTTTACTAGTAAATATATTTTTTTAAATACATGCATAATTAATATTATGTTAAAATACATATTATTTAATAAAATATTATTTTTTTAATTAGTAACTTTTAAAAATTTTAATATTAAATTATTTGCTGTTTAAGTTTAAAAACTTGAATATTATACTAGGGTCGTTAAAAACCATGGTTAAAAAAAAAAAAAAATCTGTTTAAAACATAAATAAACATTTTAAATGTTCCATAAGATCAATGTAAATTTTGAAATTTTTGATGTTTTAAACATTGTTTCAAATAAGTATTGTTTAAAACATAACAACCATGAATTATACTTGATAAATTGTTTTTGATTTCTAGAGTTCATTATTTATTATCATAAATAATTTTTATGTAAATTTACCTTGTATAAGGAGAAGTATTGCATAACTTATCTGTACATTGGCCAGTTTCCAGAAACCTTGTACAATGGTCATGTTCACGGCAACACGAATCTTCTTTTTTATAAACTCCCAAGTCAGAATAGCTTTTAGCTATATTACCAGGTCCACACCATTTTGTACCTAGAATAAAATTATCATAATTATTTTTTTTAAATAACTTCTTAATGTTATACTTATTACCGGGGTATATAAATCCAATATTTTGACTTGACCTTTTAAATACATTTTCGCAAATTTTAAAAAGCATATCTATGGATTCTGCTTGTTGGGCTTCATAAGTAAAAAATGGAAAATTTGACATTACACGCTTTATATCTTCACTGTAATGTAAATAATACATTATTTAATATTATTTACCTCGTCAGCAATTTCAATGTTGTTTATAACATTATTGTTCGCCTTTTAGAACTAGATCACGTGTTACACATGGTTATTATTTTCACGCACAAAACAATTTAAAATTCTGCGTGGATATTAGGAAGTAAGGACTTCAAAATAACAATCCAAGGCTTTAGTTAATGAATTCTATTAACCACTATAGTTTCCATGTCGAAAACTAAAACAACTTAAAAGTATTATTTATACACACAGCTTTGTATTAATGACAGTTACATCTTCTTTAAGGTTAATGTCTGACCTCACTTGTATATATTTAAATCACTTTTACATTTATGTATCATTTTTTAATTGATTGATTTCTACTTCTTCCATATAGGAAAAATTTAGTTATACGTTATTTCATTGTAAACATGAAAGATATACAATTTTTATACATAAATCAAAATGTGTAATACATATTAGAAATACTTTTTAAAATATCTAAGTAAAATCTTAAATTTCCAATTTTTTTATATTAGAAGAACATTTTTTACTTATTCTAATTATGATGATATTTCAAAATGAAATTTTATGAATAAATAAAAATTAATGGTTTCAACATTAAAAAAAAAATTAAGATCGTAAAATGCTTTAAGATATTCAACATTTATCATTTAAAAAAAATCCTAGGTAAAATAAGCAATAAATAAAGGGCGTCCAAAGGAAATTTTTATGATGGGTTAGGCAAAATATTTTTTAAATATTGGGTTTTACTGACCGCTTAACACACACAGCGTTAAAGGGGTGGCCGAGGTCTTCAGTCAAAGAACCGTGCTGTTTTGAGGCTTTGACATAGACGCAACAAAAGAGAACTTAGTCTCCTTAGTTAATGAATTAACCTTTTGAAATCATAACACAATCACTACATGATATCTCGTTACCATAAATCCATAATCATATAACCCCATAACAGCATAACCCCATAATTCCATTTGTATCAATGCAAATTTTTACCGTTGTTCATGATATGTTCAATCAGTGAAAAGAAACGTAATATTCCCATAACATTTACATTTATATAGTGTACTCATTCATGTTTTATTCTAGTTATTTCATAAAAAGTCTTATGAGGCTACATGATGTACACATCCGATCGTGCAACCTTTCCGTAATGTACATCGAATAACGCTAATACCAACGGTTCAATCATTGTTTAATGGTTTTATAGGTTTATAACATTCGATTTCACTGATCAAAACTATTCTGAATATTTGTGACGAGATGTATTAATATAGAACTTCAGAGTTTACTTGTGCGCAGGTGATTTTAAACTTACTCAATAGGTTTCGTTTGATATGGGGTTTTGGGATTATGAGGTTAAGGCGTTATTGAGTTTCATTTCACTGATCGAACGTATCAATATGTCCGTAAAAATTTGNAACATATTACAAATTGATTCATATAAAAAGAACAATAAATAATATTTGAATTTATATTATATCATTATTTTGTAATACCGACAAATTCTTATTAATCTAAGTATCTTTAATCTATATAATATGATATATTTAATACTTAAAATTAATGAAATTTATCGAAAAGAACATGCCCCCCCCTTGACACCGTGAAAAGACCACCTACTACTGTACATTACAGAGAGCGCTTTCTGTTCCGTTTCCGACTTACGCCAATACTGCTCTGTTTTTGATTCGAGTTTTGTGTCTTTTAAGCAATTTTTGTAAAGCGATACGTATTCGTGTATTGATATAATTGTGTTAATATTTAAAAACGGCCAATTACTTAATTTGTATGTATGTAAATACATCATTTGTGCGGCCTATTCTTTGGATTACGCATCAGTATTTAAGAAAATTATTCTATATAATTCTATGTTAGGGACTAGTAAGTGGTTCAGTTAGTTGCGTTATTTAATTTGTTGAATTTATGTTAATCGTGTTACCATTTCAAAATTCCTATATGTACATTAAATTACAATACACACATTGGTTTCTTTTATAGTTGAATTATTCTTTAATTGTGTATTGTAATTGTTATTGAAAGGATAATTCATTAATTATTATTTATCCTAGTATTATATGATTGTAATTGATTCAAAGGTGAATAGCAGTTCTGTTCCATCAGCCAATACGTTACGTGGTATGCTTATGACGACTACAAGAGTAGAAACCGACCATCATACTGTACCATCACTACCCTTGAGTAAATGAAAACTAACCTTCTGAATCCCTGGTACTGTTTTTCAATATATTGAATCGGCCAACACTTGTATACGCCATAAAATGGCGGCTATCAAAAATACGACTATTATTCATGAACTCCTGGTACCATTTAACCGTTTTATGTTTTAATAGTCGAATACACCGATTTCGCGTGTACGTGTCGATTAGGTTGTCTATATAAATTTCCTAATTTCATACGCTTAAAATTGTTAAAAAATATAATCCAATTATACAAGTAAACACTTATTTTTCGCATTTATGTAGTGCATGAATGAGATATTTAAGTTATTCGTATAAGCATAACTAGGTACTTTATCTACCTTAAAATATATTCTTTAGAGATGTTATAAATTGTAATTGGCATATGGTCGGTAGGCTACGGGATGAAAAATCTTAAGGCTTCTGGGTTCCGACCTTTTTTCAGGGGTCGATTATAGGAAATTTTGCGGTTTTAATCATGTTACGTAGTGTCGTGTGAGAAATAAATGATTATTAGTGTGAGTGTCCATTATTGGGAGTATTTTCGTCGTGTTATAGTCGATAACAAAACCGGTTGTNTTTTTAATTACAAAAAATATTTTATAAATTAATTTTTTTATTAAATTTTTTTTTAAGACGTCTGGGTACCGACCTTTTTTCAGGGGTCGAATATAGGCAATTTTGCGGTTTTTCATGTTACGCAGTGTCGTTGTGTGAGAAATAAATGATTATTAGTGTGAGTGTCCATTATTGGGAGTATTTTCGTCGTGTTATAGTCGATAACAAAACCGGTTGTGTACCTGCCTTACTTTTTGATGTAATACGATTATATTGATAACGACACACGTTTTATTTATGTAGTATAAAAACTATAGTTTAGCACCAGCCTCACTGTAAATGCTAATGGACACGTCATGATTTCTCAAATTTTAATTGATTATAAAAATAATTAAACTATTTATTTTCGACGAGTAAGAAAAACTAAATATTTACAGAAAACAAGTTAAATCATATAAGATCCACATCGATTATTTTGATGTTATAAAACTATAAAAAGCTAATTTTAATTATAAGAATTTAATTTACAAAATTACATTATTTACACAATAAAATATTTAAGTTTTATAAGCCTGTTCTTATGGAAAGTCCTTTGTCATTCATTTCTCCATTATTAATAGCAAACCTAGTTTCTTCTTTCCACGCTAACTCTATCGAATCCCATTCAATTTTTTCAGTTTGCTTAGCAATATAATCATGATATTTTTGATACGTCTTATTACTCATACAAGGCATATTTAGTACAGCAGAAAACTGTTCTAAATTTGTAAACCCCTGACCAGTATTCAAAGTAGCAGTAACAACTGCAGTATTTATACTAAGAGAATCATTTAATTTGGGATCCTCTAAATAAATAATTTCTTCTTTTTGCAAAAATTACATTCAAAGTGAAATTTTGAAAAAAAACCCCTTTGAACTTCAGTTTTAAATACAAGATTTGAAAAATTACAGGCAAATAACTCGTGTTTAATTGATTTCAAACTATTAAAAAAATATTCAATATTTATTATTCTACGACTGTTTAAATTATACCTAAAATAGTTAAATATATGTCTATTAATTTCATTGCAAAATAATACTATGAAAAATAAACTAACTCTTTTTGAATTATTGGTTGATTAACTTCTGAAGAAATTTTTTTACAAGTATCAAGAGTTTGTGCACTGGGTGACAATGGTAAAAAATCATAAAAGCTATAATCTCCAATTTTTCTAAAGGAAAAAAAAATGTTTATTTCTAATAAATTATATTTTAACCTTGTTCTTCTTTAAAAAATTTTTTCTTACTATGCAATGACAGCTTTGCAAATAAGATAAAAGCAAATAATCAAATATCATATATACAGGTATAATATCATGTATGCATTTGTAACTATTTTTAGGCAGTCTGTATTGCCCTATGCAACTCTATGGGCAACAAAATAAATGCTGCGGATAACGCACATACGTGCACGAGCATGTCAAATATAACAGCTACTGTTTGAAAACCATTAGTTAAGCGTACAAAACAACCCGTTTTATTTCCATCAGTACGACAAAAGTACTGATGTGATAAGAATTCTGAAAACAAATTTGAATTCAGTATCATGTCACTTAGGTATCAGTCAGGCCACTTTTTTTGAAATTGTGATTCCTACAACGTAAAAATTTATTTTGAAAATTTTTAAATTATTCGTAAATGTAAACTGTAATAAAGGGTTAAAAACATCGAAATTTCAAAAATATGGCCTGACCGATACCTAAGTGACATGATGCTGAATTCAGATATGTTTTCAGAATTTTTATCACATCAGTAGTTTCGTCGTATTGAGGGAACAAAAACGGGTTGTTTTTGACTAAAAAGCGGTCGGTACCTAGACGACTTAAGATTTGAAGATTATTTGAAGTCATTTTAGAGATAAGTTTTAAAGAAATATTTGATACCAAAAAATCTTATTTTAATTTAGTACTTACATTTGTACAACATTTTTATATTTGTTAAATTTTGATTTTTTTTTACAATTTTCTTATGGTATCAAATTTTAGTCCTTATTATGTAAAGGACGGAAGTAAACACTGTCTTTTTACGTATTTACTGGTTTGCGATTTCTATTCCATGGATAACATTAACGTTTAACGCGCTTTGTACAAAAATGATTATCTCTAATCTTTATTACAAAAGTTAGAAACATTATCGTATGTCAACTACAAGTATTCTATGGTTAGCCAAGTTAAAAGTGATAACAATTTTTAATTTGCGTGTTACTATCATTGTAATCATATTATTATAATTAGATTTGATAATAAATGCGCTTATTCATTAATATTCTGGTTATATTTATGATATATGAACTTATTTAATTAAAAACTCAACATGTTTTAGCAATGTTTCTACAATTTTTCTTAGTTATATTAATTATACTACTGCTTGTTTTTTAAGTCAATTAAAAATGCTTATTCAAATGTTAATAATTTTCATGGAAAATAAATCACGCACTGTTATTAGTAAATAACGTAATAAGTGTTTACTTCCGTACTTGACACAATATGTATATATATTGATAATAAATAATTCATCGCCGATTTTAATGACAAACATGCATTGATATATAATTTTAATAAATCATTTATTGAATAAAATGATTTTGAATAAACTAATTATTTTATGAAAATCTAGATATTATTTAATATTGATATTATTAAGTTTGTTTATTTGGCCATGACTTACGTTCAATGACCATTTAATCTTAGATACCTTACAGTTTGAGAATGCCATAGCAAAATACAAAATATTGTTTGTCATACTTTAAACACGCAGTTAAAAAAGCAAACCTATGACTTCTAAAATGTAGTGACTAATTAACTTTCAACGGCTTTTTGTTTTGTAATACCCATGTAAGTTTGAATTTAGCTTCTGAATTATCGAATAGAAAATACATTCATTGAACAAAAATATTCATTTACAAATAACAACTGTACTGCGTACATGAGTATTGAATATCAAAAATATCACGTTATAATTTTCAGTTTACGTTTGCTTATACTTGATTAATAATTTTTTAAGTTATAATATCATACGTGACATGAAATATTTTCATTAATTTTATTATTAATTATTTTACAAATTTTTATTGTGTTTCTAAGATTTATGAAATATCTTTAAATGGTAGCGATATTATTTAAATTATGAAGTATCAAAATTTATTAACAATTATTTTAAAGCTGCATTTATACTTGTCTTGATTAATCAAAATCGATTTAAAAAATGTTAAACGATGCACAAATTGGTGAAATTTTAATGTATATTATAATAAAATATGTATACTAATCAGAAAGAAAGTCGAATTTCTATCACAATAATCTGGAGTAGAAAAATGTCTAATCTGTGCAACAATAATGAAAAGTATATATTTGACCACCCACAAATATAATACTAGTTATAATGCTTAGTGAATTTTTTAAAAAATATAGTAAATTAATTATGTAATGCTCGTTTTGATTAAATTAAATTGCAATGGTTTTCTCAATTTGATAAATTTTATTTTTTAATAGTTAAAATGTACGTATTGGTAAGATAATTTATATTGGTTTAACCACATTTAAAATATCTAATTCGACGATACTTTAAAAAATGATGACCATCAGGTAATTTTAACAAGTTTCTAAGTAACCTGTTTTGTATTATTACGCGAGTTATTTCAAGAAACACGTGGTAGGTTTTGTGATTTGCATAAACAATAATAGTTTAATAATTTAATTTATTGACAACATTTAAAATACAGATTTGAAAATACGCGAAAATTATGAAACATAATAATGATATAAACAAACCTAAATAAAATCTAAAAAAGAAATACTTTTTTGCTAACATAGTAATTTTTATGATATTATATAATTTATCACAAGTTAATCTTTACATGACAGGCATAGACATAAGTCAGTGAGCTGGGTCCACAAAATTTTTTTATAGAAAATTATGTATATTATGTATATCTATTTTTAGAGTAGGAATTATTTGTGCACACAAACTTATGTTATTGAAAAATATTTAACCTAACGTGTCTATATGGCCGTAGAAATAATTTTCTAACCAAGATATGCTTCAACTATTTTAAAATTAAATATCCAGGCATATTCATTTTGAAAGTAATGAATGATAGTTTTAATTTTCTTATCTATATAAATTAAAATACATATGTATATCTTACCTGTCATTATATATTTTACAATTGGAAGGGCTCAACAGCGATAGTTCTAATGCTCTTGTTTTTAACTTGTTCACTATCAACAATACACCAAATGCAGGCGTTGCAATGATGAATATAAGTATTGTAAAACATAAAACCTAAAAAATAAATAAATGTGTCAACAATAAAAAATTATGTTCATCACAAAAATGCATGCTAATAAGTTAAAACTTATTATCTTCCCTGTGGAAGGGGGGTGGTACTAGGTTTACACAATGCAGATGATAGATATTTAGGGCAGCATTAAAATATACAGTAATATATGTTATAGAATTAAGAATTTTTATTTGCATAAAAAATAGAGACAATTTTTTTTTTTATAAGAAAAATAAAAAGGTTATTGAGGTAGCAAAATTCCTAAATGTAATCCTGTGTTTTAAGTGCATTAAATGCATAAATATGACATTCAGTTCAATATTGATTTAATTCCATATTTCTTCCTATGATGAATCAGGAACAAAATAACAAAAACATTGGAGAATAAATTAATGTTAGTGACGTCTGTATATATTAATAACTATTTTTTTATTTTATGATACTTCATAACATTGTGGAAAATATTATTAATAATAACATTTTTAGTTATTAGTTTTATTGAGAAAACATCTAATTACATACGTTTTATGGTCGTAATAATAATAAATAGATATTCTTTTATATATACATTCTTTTGTATAACATATACATTTTAATATTTTACATTAACTTGAACTTTAAAAATAATTTATTATTTTAAAATGTTTACAATTTTCAGATTTGTTTTAACCTATGTAGATTATAAATCAGCATACTTCAAATTAATGTTGATGATTTAAAGAATCCTAACTTGTATTTTAACTTGTTTCAAGAATTTTTTTATAGTATTTAAATTTTTAATAATGAAGTTGTGTTTAAACTAAGCCAAAGTGTACGAAAAAATCAAACTCTATTCTTATTTATACATTTTTTATGTTTATAAATTTTTGTCAGGTTTATTAAATATTAAAAATATAAGTTTTTTTACAAAATAATATGATATAATATTTTTTGCAATTTTTCTAGAATCTAGATTAGTATTGAAACATACTATTTATAAGATTATATATTTAGTAATTGACATAATAAATTCTATAAAAGTTCGGATAATTTGTAATAATGTTTATACATAAAAAAAAACGTATGCCTACACAAAATACTTGATAGTTTATTTAGTTATTGGCAACCGTTAACTTATTCTAATGCTTCCCATTTTTTTAATTGTAATAGGATGTATATAAAAACTTTCTACTTAAACTGTTAATAAATATGTTTTTACAAATATTTCATAATCGTAATTAAGTGTTAATTTATTTTACTTGTCCAGGGTAAATTATTTGATCTATCCATTGAATATTCGTTAAAGCCGATTGCTTAACATCATTCGCAGAAATTAAAGAACTTAGTTCATCTAAAATTTCTTTCGAATATAGTTTTTTTAATGACTTTTTTTAATTAATTTTTAACAAAAAAATGTGCAATTTTAGTTTGACCTATGTTAGACATTTGTTTTAGCCTCTCAACATTGTTTTTAAAACTTCTATTATGCTAAACATGTCTAGTCTTTTAAAATTATTTGAGTTTTTGACAATAATAACGTACACCTTCTTTTAAGGACATAGCCCCAGAATTTATTAAAAGGTGAGAACATATTCAGAAAAATATTACAACATATTGAGAATCTTTTACTCATTAATGCAAATAAAGCAGGCAAGCACGGACTGGCAGAATTATAATAGCTGGATCTTAATAATTTCAATAATGAAAAAAAGGGGAATGTTGTTTTTTACGGCCTGGATTTTTATTTTGAATCAAAGATAATTAATATGATACATAGATTTATTTGTTTTTATTTACCTAATAAACAAAAAAAGAAAAGCCTTTTAAATTCATGTATATTTCCCGTTTAAACCTTAAAGGTCTCAGTACGCTTCTGATAAGGAATCTTATATAAACTTCAAGATGATACGAAAAAACACCTGACAAAATTGTAATTTCTAACACATCAAACCATTCTTGCGTCAAAAACAATAAGTCAATTAGAAACAATTTTTTACTTTTAAAAACATTAAGGAGTTTCTAACAAAGTTCAACAGAAAAAAGGGGGGTTTAGTTAAACATTTTTTTGGGTATGAAATTGCTTTTATTCTGACTACTTAAGTAATGGTTCGCTATTAATTTTTGAGTATTTGCTTCTTCAACTCCCTAATGTGTTCGAACTTGATTCAAGCTTCTTTAATTTTTGTTCAAAATTGCTATATATAACAAAAATGTTTCTTTTTATTGTTTTAAAATTAGTTTTGAATTTAGTATTACATTCTAATATATTACATAAAACAATTTTTTTTATATAAATAAAATATTTATTTCTTTATTAAACGATATTATAATTAAGCACAATCGATAATTTTTAGTTAAAAATATTACGCAAATGAAATGTTTATTCTTACCTTCATTTCTAAAAATTTGGACAAGCTAGGTATCTAATCTTGTGCGGTATTTTTTTTTTCGAAAAGGATGAAAAATTATTAATTTTAAATTTCTATGTTTTTTATTAAACACGAACATATAAATTTCTTAAATTAATTTTTACTTTTTGAAATTATTTAGAGACTGTTTTGTGATACCACAGGAAATCTATTTAGCTTCCTGTTTGCATCTAAACACTTAACTCTGTTCGCGCAATATTCTTCGCACAACCACCTAAAACTAACTGAACACCTAACACAACACAGCACACGTCGATCGACCGCCGATCAGTAATCGGCTGTGTGTTGACCTCCTGGTGCTGGTGTTTAGTCTGTTAATTGTACACCATTCAAGGATACATTGATGTCTTGTCGAAGCGTTTTACAATTTTCATATTTACTAATCAATACTGCATATAAACACGGAAATAAGGTTTGAAATGTACAAACAATATTTGAAAATTAAAGATTAACCAATACGGGTTAAGTATATTCTTAAAAGGAAATAATATTCCAAAAAAATAAATAAAATTGTGGAAAAATCACGATATGATATGGGGGGAAACTTCAATTGACTTAGTCTGAGATGTCCTAAAAGGTCGAATTCTCTACTTTGCTTCAAGTCATTTAACAGAGTAGTCATGGAGGGAGTGGTACAGTCATACAGTAAATTATTACTATTAACAATGTATCATTTTTGGCGCTAGTAAGGAAATTTGATATATCAAAAAAAAAAAAAATTGAATTTTCCTGAGCAAAAATCCTGACTATACCATTGAGCCATTGTTACCAGTATTTGTGTTTTAATTACAATTATAACCACATTTAGTATTACCTTGCCGTCCTCGTGCCCGCACTATTTTTAATTACTTCGACACAAATTCTATTTTGGATACGTTATATACTTACATATGATGATGTGGTAACATTGCATTCATTAGAGTACCTTGTGATAATAAATTATCCGAAAAATTTAAAAGCATTTCTTCATATTATGGAGGCTCATTCATTAAAAAAAAAAAGAGTTAAATATATAATGTTTAAATTAAATATTTCAAGTCTGTTTTCACAAAAAAAAAATATAGTTTTAATTAACAGTTTTTTTACTGGATATTAAAATATACAAAAATAATTTATTGATATTTCAGTATATGCTAAAAATTATGTTCCCACAAAAAATATACGTAAATCAATAAGAGTATTTTCATTAACAGATAAAAAATTGTTTTTTTTTTACTTGAATGACATTTTTTTCTTGGTTTAGCTATTAATTGCTTGTTATAAATAAATTTATGAGTTCAACAAGAATAGCATATTATATAAGTATAAAAAATATATTTTTAATTATATAAATTACAGTGTTTATGTTATTAAAATTGTCATGCATATCTTACTCACTTTTGACTTCTTATTGAAATAAAGTGTCGAATTTTTTTTTTTTTTTGTATTATCGGAATACAAACTAACAATTAAAAATATAATGCTGAATTTAAATAAATTTGGCTGGTGGTGGTATATTAATAACTTGTTAATACATTATAAAATAATGACAGAAATATACTATATAGTCTGCAGGCTGTGTCCAACTACAATAAATCTAATACATTATTTCATAATTCGGCTAAAAATGAACCTATAAACATTTTTAATAACAAAAATAAAACTGGTTTGGGAATTAAAATTTATCTTCAAGATCATTAACTTCCAAACTTCATCTTTAATGAATTAAATGTACAATTTATAGGCTATAGTTTACAATCTCGACATTTTTTTTTTATAATATAGTATATTCCATAATCTTTAATTTAAGAAAATTTTCAAAAATTTAATTGAAAAATTTTAACTAATAAAATCTGAAATCGTAAATTTTAACATCAAAATTGCATGTTTTTTTATCTATGACAACCACCATTTTCACATAGAAGATAATTTGTTAGGACAAATTTTTTTTTTTTATAACTTATAGAACATAACATAAGCTAATGTTATGTTCTATAAGTATAGCATATGCTTGAAGCTCGGAGTATTCCCGGATCATTTTCAAAACTTAAATTTTTGTGAAGAAGTTGCAATATCCCTTTGTGGCCAGATTTTCAAAAAATTTATATCAAACGATAGGAAAATATCTAAGGTTTCAATAAAAAAGAATTATTTTGATTTGTTAAATTTCGACACCAAGTGTCGAATTTTTATGAGTCTTTTTTTTTAATTAAACTAAAGAATCCTTTTTTTTAGTAATTTTCTAATTTACAGAATCACACTTTGTAAACCCCTTGCGTCGGCTCTACTAGTAGGTTTAAAACTAAATATAACATAATTTTATTTTTAGTTACAACTATGTCAAAACAACGTTTAGGTAACACATCAAATTCAAAATAAATTAACTCATTATTAAAGTTATTTGTAACACTTAATGTCTATTGTGACATTAATTTAACAGAAACGATTGGATTTTAAAAACGTCCTGTGAACACAGCTAAGTCTATTTATTAAGTTCAACTATTTTGTTGACATGATAAAGTTAACAACTAATTAGGGTTTCATTCAGTGGTTTACGTAGTATTTTTCAATTTTTTTTTCTTTTAAGCTTTAAATTTAAATGGTTTTATAACCTTTCAAACGATTGCCATGCAATATAAATAGTTAATACTCTTATACACTTACAAACCATCATGTAAGAATTAAGTAGTAGTTTTTCATTATTTTCTATACTTGAGATGTTTTTTTTATTGCTGTAAACATTTGTGAATAATCCACTAAGATCAAACAGAAACATGTGTGGTTTGATAACACGGGAGCTTAGCAGAATTTTACGTCTTTACTGTGTCTCAATATGCAATTAAGCATGTAGTCAGAACTCTATTTTGTACAGGGGGTCCAAACAATTTCACCCTCATCATTCCATACAAATAAAATATTTACCATATATTAACAATAAAAATCAAATACATTTCTGGGGGGGGGGGGGAGAGCTAACGCTATTGATACAGTTTACGTACATATCATATCAATAATTAAAAATTCAAACTATAATTTTTTTATAAAAAAAAGCTTTAATATCTACTGTTATCTAATATCAATAGATTTACATTACAAGATATAAATAAAAATTATTAAAAAAAATTGTATTATTTAAAAAATTATTTACTATACGAGAATAAAATTAAACTAGATTATATATATATCGATATCAGCTTTGAACTTTAGTACCACACATCTTTGCTCGAGTCATAAAACAATTATTTTTTTAATTAATAACTTTTCTTCTAAGTAAGTGTAATTACTTATCCTAAAAATAATATCAGTCTTAAGGGTACCATTCTGCATCTGGATTAATTTCTTCAGCAGGTTTTGACTTAATAGAGTTATAAACCTTCTTTCCGCCATCAATTACATACTCAACGCCTTGTCCAATTTTTTCTCCGACTTTAGAAACTGCATGTCCGATGTTTTTTGCACTAAAAGTTTGATCATTAATTTCCACGCGCATCGAAGAATTAAGATGGTTGCAATTTGATTGATCGACAATTGATAAATCATATGGGTTTACATTGGCCGATGCAATTTTATTGCGCAGCTGTAAAAAAATATTAAGTATTATTTGTATTCCATTAAAATATCAAAGTAAAATATTTTTTATTGTTTATTTAATTTATCTAATAAGGTATTTAAATCTATATTTAAATATAAATGTCTACGGGGAGATAGAAAATGGTCTCTATAGAAATTATTCTCTATTTTCTGAAAGAAAATAAAATAATTTTTTGTAAAACTTTTTATTATTGACAATCAAGTATAAAAAAATCATAAGCAATATGTTATGCCAACTTTGAATAAATTAACCAACTGATAAACCCTATTTTCCCTTCACGACTTCTTGTAAGCCAACCCAGAACTGCTGTTAAGTATTACTTCGAAGTTAAACCAATAAGAAATCCAATTATACTCACCAAACTCATTTCATCATTGTAAAATAACAAAAAAAATAAAACATGTTGATGAATATACCTCAATAATTGTTTATTATTATAATAATTATTATGATTGTAATATGAAAAAAAGTTTATTTAATTGTGTTCTAACCTTATCCAGGTATTGTTTGTTTAAAACTTTGTCTCTTGATAAAATTGTAACAGAATGTCTATGACCAAACGGAATTTTTTGGCATGAATAAACTCCAGCGTAGGTGTCATAATCAGTTGCAAACACAACGAAAGACGCTTTTCCTGCTACACCTGTAGATTTATTTATATTATTAGTATATAAAAAAATATACGTTAATTTTTTAGCACTAAATATTTTTATTTCCACGTATGTTTACTATCAAAACTTACTCAATGGAAATGATACAGACATTCTAGATGGTAAACTCGGATCAACTTTCAAATTACCAATGTAGTGATAATTGTTGGATTTCGCAACATTTATAATAGAGTTTTCGCTAATTTGTTCTAGTTTGTATATATTTGGTTCTTGGGTATTGGTAAAATTATACACCATACACCTGCTAGAAGTTGACGATTTTTGAACAGCGTACCATGGTCCTAAAAACTGAAAAGATAAATAATTTACAAATGAAACTACGGAAATTAGACATTTCGTGTAAAAAAAAAAATACATTAAGTATTAAGAATTTAAAAATTTAAAACTTGGCAATTAAAAACTAAAGTTTCCAATAGCTCATATGTTTTATACATATGTATAATTAAATTTTACACTCGACCATTCAACAACTTGAGATGTAATTTTTTATAAACTATTAACTTTCAATATATATTTCATAATACTTTTGTTTGTATACTACAGAGACATTGCTTCAATAAGAAATATCTTGAAATAAATAGGTAATATATTAATGTATTACCTATTTATTTAATTGCATTATTTTTAATTATTAAAAATAATGCAATTAGATTTTCATAGATCTCCTAGCTTTCAAATAAATAATAACGAAATAAAATGATTGTATTAAAAAACACCCTTTTCACTAATAATAAAAGCACTCACAACGCCTTTACAATCTTTATTTGAATAATACATGAAAACGATAAATGATTAATTTCATAATATTATATATAAAAATTAAAGCCATTTACATTTTAATAAATTTTAATTAAACACATAAATGTTTCCAATGAATGAAGCTTATTTTATTTCTATTCAAAAATATAATCAGATCATAAATTAAATTCGAAAAATTTAATTTTTTAATAAAATTCTATTAGATTAATATAATTTGTGTAAATAAAAAAAAAAAAATTAGTTTTTAATAATAAAATTATAACATTAATGTAGAAACTAGCAGTAATATAAAAACGTTCAATAGAACATAACAAATATATTTTTTATATGATACGCATAATATTATAGTTCTAATTTATATATTATACATTATTACGCAGTTAAATTCCTTGGAGTAATGCAATATACCTAACTGTTTTAATATTAATTACGAAACACAATAAATCAAATAACACGATAATAGCACGAAACTACATTGATACGGTATTCAATGTAAAATGTAATGCAACAATAAAATATATTCTATATTCAAAATACTGATATTAATATGACAATTAATTATTGAATATTTAGTTAAATAGTTAAAAATTAGTGATGGGAAATGTCGAATAGTAACCATCGAACTATTCGATAGTCATTCAAAAACTATTCGGTACCTCCATTCGAATTGTTTTTAAAATATTTGATAGTTTATGCTAAAAATAAAATATTCCGTGGTATAAACACAACTTGAATAGTTTAAAATCGATTGTTTAAAATATTTGAAAATGCCCATCACTAATTTTTTTTTATTATTAATTGTATCCTATTTATAATTGTAATACCTCGAATAAACAGTTTTAAACAATCCTATTTAGATCGTTAGTGTTATTAAAACAGCAAAACTATAAATCTGTCTATAATTTTACATAAGACCAATATTTTAGAAAATTTAACTTCATATATTTTTTTTTAAGAAACATTTTGTTGTAAAATGATTATTTCGAAAACTAAGAATGATTTATATTCAAAAAATTAATTTTAGCAAATTATTTTAGCTTCGATACGAAGCGGAGACGGTATTAATTTTACTATGATGTGTTTTTTTTTTTTTTTTTTTATTGTCTGTTGCCACTTTTTCTCAGCTCTCACTGGACCGATTTCTTTCAAAAATACGTCAAAAGATCACAAATCGTATCTAGTTGAAGACATTATCCTTAAAAATTGAAAAAAATTCCCTCGTTCCCAGCAAATGGGGGAAATATCCAAAAAAATTACAAATTTAAAAATCGCTAATTTTCGAAATTTTTTCACTTTTTTTTCTTAAAACTTCCATAACTTTTTGAAAAATCAACAAATCAACATAATTTTTTTTTATACTAAAACCTTAGATAATTACCTTTCATTTGATATCATTTTTTTGAAAATCTAACACTTAACCTGCTCATTGGGGGGGATTTAAAATAGCAACTTTTTTACAAAAATTAACTTTTTCAACTTAATTTTTGAAAATGTTCCGGAAATACTGCGTCCTTTAAACATATATCAAATTAAAGCTTATTTTATGTACTATAAAATGAAAAAAAAAAATTTGTCCCGACACTTTTTCTTCTACATTTAAACGGCTGCCGTAGTTAAAAAAACACTATTTTTGTGTTAAAATTTTCGATTTTCGATTTTAAATTTTCAACTTAAAAATGCTATAACTTTTTGAAAAATGTATATATCAGCACAAATTTTTTTTTTCTAAATACATTATAAGTACATCTTTCATTTGACATACTTTTTATTAAAATTGGACAATTTCCCCTTATATAGGGGGCGTTCAAAACTTAAAATATTGTAAAAAACATAGATCTTTTTCAACTGAACTTTTGAAAATGTTCCGGAAATACTGCGTCCTTTAAACATATATAAAATTAAAGCTTATTTTATGTACTACAAAATGAAAAAAAAAAATTTGTCCCGACGACCTATCTTCTATACGCAAATGGCTACCATATTCAAAAATATGCTATTTTTGTATGAAAATTATGGGTTTTGTATTTTATTTTAATAGAAGTTGATGTTGCTTTTGCAATTATCCATCAATTTTTTAAAATTAAACACTATCTACAGATTTGCATCGAAGCGTTTCTTATGATAGTGATTTTAATCACTGTCAGATTAAATCTATACTGAACCCAACTATGCAATGTCTCCACTATGCCGCGACCCCACTGTGCTACCGTTTTTTTATAATAAAATGATACTTTTTACTATTATTAATTGTATAATAATTTATTTTAAGTATTCGTTAATTATCTTCTTATTATAATTAAGCGTACTTCATAAAAATGTTAGATAGAACTAATCGAATATTTTTTTGAAACCATTCGCTAGCCCATTCGAATATTTTTTAAAACTATACGATAGTTAATGCTAAAAACAAACTATTTGGTTGTATAAAAACAATTTGAATAATTATTCGATAGCTTAAAATATTCGAAAATGCCAATCACTAGTTAAAAACTAATGTTTTTCTTTTAATAAACGCACAAAAATAGAAAAATAGATTTAATATAGTTTGTAAGCTTATTTAAACAGTATCAAAATAAAAATATATCAGTAAAATTAACTAATCAAATCATTTATCCAACTTCACCGTTCAATATGCATATTATTGTAGTTTACATTTTAGCTTCGATGCGAAGCTGAGGAGTATTAATTTTACTAAGATGTGTTTTATTTATTTTTTTTTTGTGTCTGTTACCACTTTTTCTCAGCTCTCACCGAACCGATTTCTTTCAATGATACGTCAAAATATCACAAATCGTACCTAGTCGAAGACATTACCCTCAAATATTGAAAAAAAATCCCTCGTTCCCCGTAAATGGGGGAAAACCTCCAAAAAAATTACAAATTTAAAAATCGCTAATTTTCGAAATTTTCGAAATTTTTTTTACTTAAAACTGCCATAACTTTTTCAAAAATGAACAAATCAATATAATTTTTTTTTTATAGATGCTTGATGTCTTTACCTATTATTTGATATATATTTTTTATAAATTTAACCCTTTACCAGTCTACAGGGGGGATTCAAAATTACAACTTTTTCAACTTAATTTTTGAAAGTTTTCCGGAAACTCTGACACACACACATATATATATCTTAAATTAAAGCTAATATAATATACTTTATTATGAAAAAAAAAATTTCGGACTTTATTTTGTTTTCATGGTGAAAATAGTCATCAAATTTAATTTTAAAAAAATACGATTTTTGTAAAAAAAATTCTTTTTCATATTTTTGACTTTATAGCGCTATAAATCTTTGAAAAATGTATGGATCAATACAATTTTTTTATGAGAAATAATATTTATATACTTCTTTAATTCGACATACTTGTTTTTTAAATCGGACCATTTGCCTTAATACAGGGGGTGTTTAAAACATAAAAATGCATATAGAAAGTAGAACTTTTTCAACTTAATTTTTGAAAGTGTTCCGGAAATACTGACACTTTTATATATATCTTAAATTAATGCTTATGTAATATACTTTAATATAAAAAAAAAAATTTTGGACTTTATTATGTCTTCACGGTGAAAATGGCCATAGAATGCTATTTTTGTGTGAAAATTCTCGATTTTATTTTTTTAATTTTTAACTTTATAATGCTATAACTTATTGAAAAGTGTATGGATCAACACAGTTTTTTTATGAGAAATAATATTTTTTAATAATCTCTTTTTCATTCGACATACTTTATCTTAATCAGGATGTTAATATGGAACTAGCAGATCATTTAACTTTTGGAATAATCCACCAATTTTTTAAAATTAAACACTATTTAAAGATATGCATCGAAGCGTTTTTTTTTTTGATAGTGATTTTAATCACTGTCAGATATCATTATACTTAATCCAACTATGTCATGTCACCACTATGCCGCGACCCCCCTGTAATAACTTTTTTGTTTTTATTTTTTTATATAGAATGATATACAGAGTGTTCAGTAAGTCAGGAAACGGGTTTCTATTGTTCTCATTGTTACAAACAATGAGAACAATAGAAACCCGTTTCCTTACTTACTGAACACTTTGTAATATACATACAGGTATTTAGTAACTAAGGAAACGGACCAATTGTTATGAACAATGAGAACAATAGAAATCCGTTTCCTTATTTACTGAACACTCCATACTATTTTACAATTATACAATTTTATTACACTTAGAGTAAAGATGTCAAACAAAGAGTAAAACACTTGTGCATCTATGTACATTGTAATGGATATAAAATGATTTTACTGAAAAAGATATTTACCATCGACCATTAAGAACGTTAACTAATTATTGCTAATGTTTTAATATGTTAACATTGCTAATTTTAACTAATTATTGCTATAACAATTTGTCAATTGTTATTAGTTAAGTTATATATACATCTATTTTTATTAAAAAATTCTTTGCTTTTCTCCATTAATTCACTAACTATTGAATTCAAAACAAAAATAAATATTTAATATTTTGACACGTTATAAAACATTTTTCTAGTAATTTATTACAATTGATAACTTATATACAGTTTGAAAGTCAATGTTTCTAATAAAATTGTTTAAATCATTCTTGTAACAAATTGTTATTAAATAATAATTAATGAGTACTATAAAAAATTTTTTTTTTAATGTCATATTTTTGAAAAATAAGAAGCCAAGTTACTAATACATTAAATGAGTTTAAAAATTAAATAATATTAACTTCTAGGAAAAATGTTTTGTAAAAATCTTAAGATTTCGTAAACTATTCATAATTTTATAATTCCAACAACTTTTATATTTTATTAAACGTGTTAATTTTTCTTAATTTATTCCATAAAACCAATGTTTTAAAATTTAATATAATCACCATTTTAATAATAAAAAAATTTGGGTTTACGTTTACATTTTTCCTGTACTTAGGTATTCTATTGATGTATCATATAATGCATACTAAAAAACCAGCACAGTGGGGTCGCGGCATAGTTAGGACAAGTATATATAATATCTCAAATAACATAAAAAATAGTTATATTTTACCTATGATAATATCAGACAGTGTTTAACATCACTATCATAAAAAAGAGTTCAACACAAATCTGGAAATAGTATTTAGTTTTTAGAAGGAGTTGTTAGATATGCCCCCCTTGAATCAATGCTAATGACCTTTTTTTAGTTTCGATACGAATTGAGAAGGTATTAATTTTACCATGATGTGTTTAGTTTTTATTATTTTTTTGTATCTGCAACTATTTTTTCTTAGCTCTCACTAGACCGATTTTTTCAAAGATACTTCAAAAGATCACAAATCGTATCTAGTTAAAGATATTACTCTTAAAAATTGAAAAAATTCCCTCTTTCCCTGTAAATGCAAGAAATCTCCAAAAAAATTATGATTTTTGAAATCAGTAAATTTCGACATTTTTTCAATTTTTTTTTCTTAAATATGCCATAAATTTTTGAAAAATGAACAAATAAAAATTGAAGCCATAGGTATTTCCCTTTCATTTGATATAAATTTTTTGAAAATCTGACCCTTTACCTTCCTTATAGGGGGGGAACTTTTGCACAAAAATTTAACTTTTTCAACTGAACATTTAAAAATGTTCCGGTAATACTCTGAGCTTTAAATATATGTCAAATTATAGCTTATGTTAAATACTATAATTTCAATAAAAATATTAGTGCCAACACTTTTACTTCTATGGGAAAATGGCCGACGTAGTTAACCATGCTATTTTTGTGTTAAAATTTCATTTTTGTTTGTTTATTTTAAAATACCTTATAAGAGTTTGCCATAGTAATGAGTCCACCAATAAATATACAATTTACATGAATCTAACTTACATGTTTATTTTGATTATTTTGTCTCTTCGAAATTAAAAAAAGTTTTTTTGACTTTTTGAAAACTTGAAAATTTGTATAAAAAGTACAACTTTTTCAACTTTTGAAAATGTTCCGGGAATACTGTCTTTTTAATTCTTTAAAAAAAAAATTAAGCACAAATATTTAATTTTTTTTTTTTTTTTAAATACCTTACAAGGGTTTGCTATAGTTTTGTGCTACAGTTTTTTTTTTAATTTTTAAAATATTGGTTTTATAAAAATGTACAGAGCATAAATAGTTATTATAAGGACTAAGAATTTGTAGCATTTGGATATATATATAAATCTTCTTATTACTGAGTAAATAGCTTATTGAATACAAAATTCTATACCTTCAACACAAAGTTCAATCATAGAACTTTTCACACTTTTTATAATTCATAAATAAAATGTATTATATAGAAATACATTTAATATATTTTTTCATCTTTTAGGCTATTTAAATTTTATATTTTATTTTTTATCATTTTTCAGGGCATATAATGATGATGATCAGTTTTACATCCTACTATTTCCCGAAGTTAGCATTCTACAGAGGGTAGTAGTAGCCCTCTTTCACATGTCAAGAATTCAAAGTTGGTTCTTGGCTAAGTCAAAAAGTTCTTCTTCTTTTTCCTTGCCTTAATCTCAACTTCTTGGGATCGACCACCCTTATCCTAAACTTACACTTGAGATGATCTCCGATATCATCTACGCTCACATCATCTGTCCTCGTATCGCATTCAATTACATCCTTCAATCTCATTTTTGGTATTCCTCTACCTCTTCTTCCTTCAACAATCATTTCTATAACTGTTCCTACAGTTTCCGGTTTCTCTCTCCTCATAACATAACCATACCACGTAAGTCTATTTTCTCTCATCTTATCTACGATTGATGCTATAACTATACTCCCTCTTATATGTTCGTTCTTTATTCTATTTTCTCAAGTCACTCCCCTCATCCATCTAAGCATTCTCATCTCTGCTACACTCATTCTCTGCTTTACTTTCTTGTCAACTGTCCAAGACTATGAACCATACATCATAACTGGTCTCACTACTGTCTTATAGAATTTATTTTTCAGCCTCATTGGAATTCTTTTATCGCATAACACACCAGACGCTTCTCTCCACTTTAACCACCCGCACATAATCCTGTGTCTTACATCCTCGTCAATACCACCGCTCTTTTACACAACTGATCCTAAATACTTAAAACTTTCCACCTCTCCTATCACGTGCTCGCCTATTATCCTCATTTCATCTACCTTTTATTCTTTTATCAAACTCGTATAGTTGAAGTTATAATTACAGTTAAGTTGAATATATTAATTAAAAAATCATATATATTTCACTGCATATATTATATATATTAGTTCACATTATCCGGGTAATGTGAACACTACCTGTACCAATTGGATACAGTAAAAATATTATTAATAGAAACGTTTATTTCGTACATTACTTGGGTATTTTACTCTAACCATACTTTGTACTTTACCCGTAACATATTTATATTAATATGAATTAAGATATATTTAAAAGTTATATGTATATTTTTAAACTAATTACTCTATAATTAATTATTGATCTATTTATTAAAGAGTGACAAAAAAAAGTTTTTAAAGTTCGCGTGTCAGTTTGTGACAAAGATAAGAGATCGAAGGAGTGTCACCATGACCGTTACTATTACCGTTTAAGTTAAGCGCCAATAGGAAAGGTGAACCTCTCAGTTTCACAAAATTGTGAAATGTAATCCCAACACAGCTGATCTATGTCAAGCGTGATTTGGATTAACCTCTTAATTGAAGTACGTGCAACATTTTTCGAGCTTATATAAAGGGAAAAGTTTTAAAAATCGTGAACACACCATAGAGGAGCTAATGACCAAAAATTACAGAATAAATAACTCCAAACCCTAGAAATGTATCGAAAATTGTATGGCTAGTGTTAGGAATTGCAGACATAACATCGTCGATATTGCGATACACTAATGCGGATAAAAAATTAAAATATTTTAACGTTTACGTAAAATAATTGTTAACATATTTTATATAATAATGATAACTACATTTTGTCCGGCGATGTTTTTTATGCATACTCAGTGCTAGCACCACAGTTTATTTTGTGGTACAAGACCTATTTTTATGAAATTATGCATTTTGTCATAAGTTACATAAATTGTTTTACGAGAACTAAGCTGCTTTCTTTATTAACCTAAAGAGTATTATCATTTATTTTAAGTAAAAATATACTTACTTTCTGCATAGAAAAATCAGCCATTGGTTCCATAGATGGACATTGACCCAGGTGATAAGTATGACACGAAATGTAAACAAAATAACAAACCAATAATATGGTTATTTTCCACAAATCTTTAAAACCCAACATATTTATTTCTTGGAACGCTGGGAAAAATATTTCTAATTAATGATAGTATATAATTGAAAGTTTATGTTTGAAATAAGTTAAAATACTACTAAACTATTACTATTTTAAATTTGGGTCTGTACAATTAATTAACCACAATTTTTTTATTCAGAGTAATGTTAGTGTTATGTATCAGAACATAACACTTAATACGTACTGGTGTAATAAAAACATGGAATCGTAAAAAAATTATTATCAAATTCATAACATGACCACCAAAATATTTTAGTCTAGTAAATTGTAAATAACTCGGTATACATTTTTGACAATAATCATATTTTTAGAAGTCTTAAATTATTTAATTTGTTAAGAATAAATGTTTATTATATAAATTTAATATTTTAAACATCGACCTTATATAGATAGTCGATATTTGAAAAATATCTATAAAATATATGCAATTATTTTATACTTAAAAAACAAAAGTGCCTCATTTAGGAAAGAAAGAAAGCAAATGCCCTATATTTTAATTAAAAAAAAGGTATTTTTATAGATTAATATCTTTTAAGCTGAAAGTTTTGAGAGCATATAATCATAATAAATATATTATCCTCAGATCAATAAAATCTTTGACACGTATCCGAATAATAATAATAATAATAATCAGAGTTAAAATTTAAGTAGAAATAGAAAAATATATTGGAAAAATTTAATTGAAACACTTAAAAAACAGGACAACATTTAAAAAAATGTACTATGTAATCTAATATTTTAAAACAATATTAAATTATAATGCATAAACATTTTTTTTTAAAAAATCCGTTTAATATTTAATAATTAAACTGCTTACTTTTCGTGACTCTATTTTTAAATTTACAAATAGTACTTGAACTAACGTACGCACATTCAACAAGATCACTGTTCTAACTGTAATGAGTCTGTTCGTTTATCTGTATTTATTATATTATAGCGCTAGTCCAATAACACTTCTTAGTATTGTTCTCCCACTTTGAATAAACGAATAACAATACACCAAACAGGAAAATGCGTCAGCTTAGTACTGATTTTAAAGACGAAGAGTCGAATCATTTCAATGAATGCGGTCGACAAAATCCGGATGAATCATACCATTTTACATAAACGGGTTTGATCCAAGCTATTGAGTAACGATGTTATCAATAAACAGTTTTTATTTATTTAGGAGAACATAAATGACGTGTCTAGTTTTAATTTTAAATAATTATCAATTTTTCATTTTTTGTTTATTAATTGAAGGAAACTGATTTTAGTAAGTCGAGGTGGATTTGGCTAAATAAAAACCATTTTTATTTATTTTCCAACATTTTGATTTTAGCTGTCTGCTACTATTTTATTTTATTGAAAAAAATGTCCAAACATTTTTTGCTTTGCTTACTATACAAGTAATCTAAGTACACGTCTCTCCATTATAAAAATTTAATGAAAATGAAGAAAATACTAAATATTTTAAGATTAGCTAAAGATATTATAAATAATAAGGGTATAATTTAATTAACGGCATTAGATGGCACAAATGTCGTTTAGTAAATATTGGTATTAGTATTTATTAAATTACTAGACAACTACTTCATTAAGTTGAAAATCTAATTTTTTTATTTAAAATATTTCTTTTAGATAATAATATCTCTTTTAGACAAATAATATCACTCAGTAATAACCTCATAAAACCCCAAACTTTTTCCGATTCCTATATTGCCGTCCTAGTAAAGAAAGACAATGAACATTTCCAGAAAAATGATTTTTGCTAATTTCGTTTATACTTTTGGTTTTTTTTTTTATAAAATTGATTATTTAGTCAATAGTATTTATATATTTTTAGTTTAAAATCTAATATAACCACCGAAAGGCGGTAGGACGACTGCTACCAAAAACTCATATACCTTTTTTCCATAGCGGTATCATTAATCTAAATCATTTTTTACCTAAAAAGAAATCAGTATGCGCAGAAATATCAAAAATGCTTTGCAATTGGCGATTTTTAATAAAAGATTAATACAGTTTATTTTTAAATTTATCAAGCGATTCATCAATTTTTTTTTTAATTATCAATAATTAACACATCATTTTGCTGTAACCACTTGATTCACCCAACGTAACTTAATAACAAATATATAATGAGGTGTATCAAACGAAATAATTTTATTTGTAGAAATTACAGCTGTTTTATCTAATACAAGTGTTATAAGGCTTATTTCTTAAGTATTAGATTTATTTTTACGAAATACGAATAAACCAAATCCATAATAACTCTTCTTCTAAGCTTCTTCTAATACAGAAAATTTGACTAGCTTTAAAGATGCATCATTAAATTTTTATTATTTTAATATATTAAAGTAATTTTTCAATATTTTTATTATCCTTTATTAGGCTGATAGTATAGATTAACAATATTTAAAATAATCCTTCAATACAAATACTAGTAAAGATGACAAAAATTTAATCACAGAATATGATTAAATTTTTGCTTGATTTATAATATTTTGTAACATAGATCTCTTATTTTTTTTTATCAACAAATAACAAACTATCAGATGATTATACAATATTATGCTTTCCGGCTACACTGTTAATCAGTACGTATTTTTTTAATTTGATTATACAAAAAACTGAACTCATGATTCTAAACCTTAAGAATTAACTATCAAGTTAAAATCTGAAAGTGAAAATATAAATTTTATTTTTATTATAATTAGTTTTTTTTACTTAAAGAATATTTTTGTTTTATTCTTCATTTCAATGTTTACACTGGTATTTTGAAGTCATTTTTCAATTGTGAACTTAGTTTTGTTACTTAGTATCTATATCTAATATTATTGCATTTCTATTATTATAACATAAGTTGACGGCCATCGTTCCTAGAGTGAAAAAATTTAGTTAACTACTTGGAAATATTCATAACCATGGCTGCGACTAGGAGACTTCAAAAAGTAAGAATAATTTGAAAATTACAACTGATTCATTTTATGAAAATTTTATAATAAAGTAATAATATAAATTGAAATAATTTTAAACTAATCGGTCAACTGAAGTTACCATTACTGGTAAACTAAATTTGAATGTAACTTTCAAGTATTTTATCCTCATGATATATCCAGTGATATTCTTAAAATTTTACTAAGTATAAAAATAGATAAGTTAATAATAAAATTATAAGTTACTGTTATTAATGAGTCTGTCATATTAGAATGTGTAATGTATCAACTATTGGCAAAATCTGGAATGGGTCCTAAATTATTATATTTTGGAAGTTTAATTGATGCTATTTTTTTTATAAAAACAAATATATTTGTATAATATATTACTTAATGAAATATTAAATTATTAAAAATAATTATAATAACACTAAACTGTAATAATAATAACTTATAATCATTATTTATTAAATCACTTTATGGCTGATATTAATATGTATTCCTTTGTTATATTATTTAATTTTTAAACAGTAATTAACGTTTTTAGGAACTCGCAGATATTCGTGATTCAGGACTTAAATCATTTCGTGATATTCAAGTTGATGAAACAAACATATTAGCTTGGCAAGGATTGATTTTACCTGTAAGTTAAATTTTACTACATACATAAAATTATACATTATTTTAATAAAAATGTGGGTTTTATTATGGATTTAAATTATTTTTTTTATTGGGGGAGAATATTTTAAAATAATCAATATGATTTTAACCTACTTGAATGCATGTTAAAAAAACTTAATTTAAGAAATTAAGGAGAAAATTACTTTTTCTTTTCTGGGAACCTCAATATTTCATAATGCGTTTTTTAGTATTATAATATCCAATTCAGGTTCATATCATTGACAAATGCAATGGCATTAGGTACCAAACAAAAATTGTTTTCTTAAAAATTGCTTATGATTATTTTGACAGTATTAAAAGATGAATTTCTACATACAATGGATCAGATATTATAATGCTTAACATTTATACAGATTTTTCTGTTGAACTATATTAAGTTTATACTCTATTTTGAGTACTTTTACATTTTATACAGAAATTAAAGTTATGTTATGATGATTTTTAAATTTAATTAATTTTTATTTGATTTATGTAAAAAAAAAAAAAAAGCCTTGATAGTGAGACTTATTGACTGATAAGTATTTACAGAATTTAAAATAATTACTTTTACTTACACTTTTTTTATTGGATTCAATATATTTATTAAATTAAAAAAAAAAAAGATTAGTCTTTAATAATAAAAGGGGTTTAGGTTTGAAGATTTCTAATAATAATTTAGGTATCAAGCATTTATACTGATTTGATCATATTTAATTTATTTATTAAATAATTTAATATATTTTTCTAAATACTCTAATGTATTTAACTTCACATTAAAATATCCATTTATGTGAATTAAATAAATAATTTTATATTATACTCATTGAATATTTTATTTTTAGGAAAATCCACCTTATAATAAAGGAGCATTTAGAATAGAAATTAATTTCCCTGCAGAATATCCATTTAAACCACCTAAGATTAATTTTAAAACTAAAATTTATCACCCAAACATAGATGAGAAAGGTCAAGTTTGCTTACCTATTATAAGTGCTGAAAATTGGAAGCCTGCAACTAAAGCTGATCAAGGTATAAATTTTTAAAAGATATAATATTGATATTTTAGAATTTTAAATATCTCATGAGTAAACACAGGAGTATATGAATGCCTATAATCTATTCGTAAAAAAATTGTTCCATCTTATGATTTTTAAAATGCTTAGTCAAACATTCAAAATTAAACCTAGTAAAATGACATCATACATTAAACCTTGTACACCTTGTTACAGATTTAGCATAACAGAAAAATTAGATTTTTAAAAAAAAATTTTAATAACGTTTTAAATTTATGTTACAGTTATTCAAGCTCTTATAGCATTAGTTAATGACCCAGAACCTGAGCATCCCCTTCGTGCTGAATTGGCTGAAGAGTATTTAAAAGATCGTAAAAAATTTTTCAAAAATGCTGAGGAATATGCCAAGAAATTTGGTGAAAAAAGACCTGCTGACTAAGCTATAATACTGATCATATACTGTTATGCTATTGTATGATTGTCTACACCATTTTTAATGCATTCTTTGATTACTTTAGCAACAACTTCATAATATTTATGTGTGTTTTCGCACAATTTTGAGCAATTGGCTACAAATGTTAAAATGTATCTATTTTTCTCTCATCTTAACAATAAACTCAGTTGATTTAATAAAAAAAATTGAAATTGTTTTTCAAGACATAGAATAAGGATGAATTCAATACATTCTAATATTTTTATGTATATTTAATAATTATTATTCTATTCTAATTTTTAATTATATGTAATGAATTATAACTCAAAGTGAGTTGATGATATTATTAAATATACATACCCCAAAAAATATATTTTGTAAAAATAGTTTTCCAGTACACAATATACCTGGACAAAAAAATGTTGTAGGTATTTAAAGTTGATTCAATATTAAATCAGTTTAACTTTAATGATTATGAATAACTTAGTGTAATAATAAAACAATAACTAAAAATAGGAACTTAGTTTTATTTTATTTTGTTCATTTAAAAGTTTAATATAAAATAATTAATGGTGAGTTTAACTAAATTGAAAATTTAGCTAAATATTGTCGAATTGTTAAAGTTATGTTGGATAAAATTTACTCCATTAGATATTTATCGACTTTGTTTCCCATATAGTAATCTGTGAAAATTAATGATTAAAAAATTATAATAACATATTATTGCTTAAGCAAATATTAAAATAATAAATTTTATAAAAAATCTATGACACCTATGTAAATAACTATATTATAAATTTTCGTTTAGAGGAGTCAATTGTTTTAATTAAAATAGTAATAAATTATTACTTCATTTGTTGAAGCAAAAGATGTTGTTGCTAAATATTGATCATTAAGAGAAATATCAAATGTTTTTATTTGATCCTCATGATTAATTGAGTACAGAAATCTACCTTCATTAGTATCATAAACCTAGAAATCAAAATTAAAATATATACATTAGCAAGTTTCAGAATTCAAAAGTGAATTCCAGTTAGTGATTTTAATAAATAAATAATTTACTTTTATATCATTGTTTACATTGCAAATTACAGTTATAATTTTTTATTTCAAAATGTTAAAATTTTTTATTTTATAATTTTTTCAAAATTTTAACATTTTTACTTGAAAAATTATTGTAATCAAATTAAAGTGGTTTGAAAGTTAAATCGCTTTTTATAATAAGCTGGCTTGCTATAAATATTTAAGAAAAATGTTTAATTAATTATATGAAATACTTACATTAAGTGTTTTATCTATCGATCCAGTTACTAAACACGGTGAATTATGTTGATAATGAATACAATTAATTTTATTGCCAATATGTTCACGAAAAACTTGTACTACATTTGGTACTCTTATATCATATAAACGAACAGAGCCTTTTGCAGTTCCAACTGCAATAGAATTTTCTGTTTTTAGAGTAAGAGTTTCAGCATAATCTAAACTTAAAAAAGAATAACACATAAGTAATAATTAAAATTTTAAAATTAAAATTATGTTTAGAAACTAACCTGTACCAATATTAAATTTAATTACACATTTTCCTGAAAAACAATCGTAGACTTGAATATAAGAATCTCTAGAACATGAAACTACAACTCTATCATTGTTGAAAAATTTAGCAGTATTAACCCAATTACGATGAAATATATTGCTTGCCAAAAATTTTAGTGTTTGACAATCCCATATTTTAAATGTTTTATCATTTGAACACGATACTAATTTGTTATTATCATAAGAAAATTCAACACTTTGCACAGGTAAAAAATGGCCTTTTATCTCTTTAATTATGAGAAAATTGGAAAACTAAAAAATAAATATGTACAAAACAATGTTAGGATATAATCACTCGGCAATTAATTTTTAATTACTTTAAAACCCCACAGTTGAATTTTCCCATCATTCGTACATGTAGAAATTTTATTTCCAAATAAATTACTACTCAGGTTTGTTACTTTGCCACTCCCTGGATATTTTGTCCTAATAAATGATATCCAATTATAAATGATATAAATATTTTAATACTTTAAAATAACATAAATGTTTTACGTATTATCCATACTTAAATATTTTAATATCTAATCTAGACCAGTCATACATAACCATATTATTTGAATATTCTAAAGAGATTAATTTATTTGAGCTTCCTAGAAATGAAAGTTTTGAAATTGAACCATATTTTGTTTTTAAATTCTTTAACCATGATGGTTTTAAAGCCAAGGTGTAATTTGTATTGTTCAAATCTAAAACATTTAATAACAATAATTAAAATAACTTGAGTTTAATTTTCTATATTTTTGCACTAGGATAAATTAAAAATAATAAAGTTTTATTAATAATAATAGTTTTTGCCTTAAAAAATTGTGCAAATTTTCTTAAAAATAAAAATTATGAACTTTATAAAACCTCTCTAGTAAAATAATATATTTTTTTAGTTAAGTTACTATTCTTGCAAAAATATATAAATATAAAGTAAATTTTATACCTAAACGTAAAGAAAAATATGGCTGAAAAATAACTAGTGACAAAAATAGCTACACCCACTTCTCGTCATAACTTTTGAAATACTTGTCTAAAAGTCATCAACAAACAGTAATTTTTTTAATTACTTCATTATCTATTAAATAAGCTAGTATATTTTGTACATTGTCACTTAAAAAAATAAAAATAATAATAAATTGACACTACTTTAAATTATAAGAAATGATTCTAAAAATTATTTTATAGCTGAAAAATAATAAAATATACGTATCTAAAAAAAACCGAACATTTTTTTTCAATTTTTGTATTTATTTTGTGAATAATCGAGTGGTTTATGATAAATCCATCACTCTAAATCTGTATTTATATACGTTTTTATTTAACATCTCAGTATAATAGCTATAAAAGTTCAGAAAATTTGGAAAACAAATATAATTATAATACCTGCAGATAATTTATAGGAAGAATCGTACCATTTAAGACAATCCATATTCATAATTAATTTCTTCAAAAAGTCAAAACATCTTTTCGTAAACTTATTAAATAACAACCAATTTATCCGAATAAAAATTTAACTATTAGGATCGTAATATAACATAGCTAATATTTTTCATGAAAAGAAATCTGTGAACAAATTATTGTTAACGTTTAAACAATCAATATTTTTAACGTCCAATTTTTATATCACAAAATATCTAATTTACATGAAATATTTGATGATAAGAGATATTCAATATTTTATCAAAGATTCCTTTTCATAATTCGACTTTTTTAAACTTGTAAAAAAAAAAATCTAATTTAAATGAGTTAAAGTTATTTTTCAAATATGAATACAAATGAAGAAGAAGCTGCTGATATGTCTAATAATAATGAAGCTTTAATTTATTCAATGGATGTTCAAAAAGCAATAGATGAGGTAATGTACTTAGCTTTGATTTTTTACTGAATTTATTTCATAGATAATGTTAGTCATTTAAAATTTGTATGGCTTGATTTTTTTTAAATATAGTTGAGTAGAAGATATCATTAATTAAAATTTTTCCTTTGAAAATGTATACAATTATTTCTAACAGAAAATAATTTGTATAGTATAGTTATACTTAAAAGTACTATGGTAATAATGGTCATAAATTTTGATATTTGTGTCAATTAGTTATTTTATTTAGACAGTTATATAGGTTTTGATATTCATAGCATCATATCAAAATCTAAAAGTTGTTATTTTCATGTTTATAAATGTTTGTCGTTAAAATCCCATAAAAATTTAAAAATATTTAAGAGTTACATTGATTTATAGATATTGCCAAGTGATGATCCATTAGATAATCCTGACTTTGACACAATTGATTATATCAATAAGTTGTTTCCTACTGAACAGTCTTTGGTGAACATTGATGATGTTATAAATTCTTTAGAATGCAAAGTAGATTCTATTGATAATGAAATAAGATCTGTTATTCGAGGAAAAATTGAAGTCAATAAAGTATTATAAATTAATTGATAACAACAATAAATTTTACTTATAATTAATGATTTTCAGGATGGTGAAGCAGAACTTGAAGAAGCACAACGTTACATCAAACATTTGTCCAGTCAAATAAAAGAAATTAAACAAAAAGCTGAACATAGTGATGAAATTGTAAAAGAAATAACCTTAGATATTAAACAGCTAGACTGTGCAAAAAAAAATCTTACAACATCAATAACCACATTAAACAATTTACACATGCTAGTTTCTGGTATTGAAACTCTCAGGTATGCTTATATATATATTAGAGTGGCTCTTATTTTATAAACTTTCATTGATCCATCTCCGTACCCACCAATTTTTTTTGTTATTATATGTGGGTAAAATTTGGTTTTGATAACTTACCCCCTTCAGGTGCCGAATCAGGGTTGAAAATTCAATCAAAAGGGTAATTTTTCAGTTTTATTATTTTATTGTTTAGCTGCAAAACAATAAAATAATACTCGTAAAATAACAGGTTCTTTATGAAGTAATCATGTAGGTTGTTAAAGTATTCAAGAAAGATTATCTAAATCTAAAAATATCATTACATTTAATGTACCAGATATCAGTAATTAAGTTAAATTAGAAACCTCAAATTTAGATAACTCTATTTTTTCTTTGATGAATATTGAAAATCAAGCAGTCATTATTAAAATTTTGGGTTCATTTAATCACGAGAAGCCACATCCAATATTTGTAAAGTTAGATGTGAAGATAATGTAATATAAATTATGATGGTACAGTATTACCCAAAAATACTGATTGATTTAAAATTTTTATAAATATGAATATTACAGCTAGTCAGAGGCAGTTAATAAATAACTTACGATTAGAGGAAATCTAACTTTAATGAAAAAAAAACAAACACCCAACCATAGGAACTCAAATAATTTAAATTTTGTAAATAGTAATGTAACTAAACATTTGTCACATAATAAATTTTGTAATAATATGGTAATTAACAATAATTTTAGAACATTTTTGTAAATACGTTTTTTGAAGAAAATATTAAAATCTATAATTTATATTCTATACATTTTTACGCTAAGTATGTTAGTTTTAGAAATAATGATCAAAAACTGAAAAGTTAAACTTTTGAGTGAATTTTTATCCCTGATTCAGCCCCTGAAAGGAGTAAGTTATCAAAACCAAATTTTACCCAAATGACTTACATATAATAACAAAAAAAAATTGAATGGAGATCGATCAATGAAAGTTTATAAAATAAGATCAACCCTAATATATATATATATTGTAATACATTGTATTTCAATGTAATTTCTTTACTAACGGTTGTTTTTTTAGGTATGGATGAATTTTTTGTTCCATTGTTACCCTGAACTACTTAAACATATAAATATTATAATAGAATTAGCAAAGTAAAATCCCATAGGTTTTTACTATCTCAATGGCAGTGTTGTAGTACTGTCAAGATTAACTATGAATATGATCTTTCACATTTGTATTTTATTCTAAAATATTCAGAAATATTATAATTCCGAATTTAATAAAAAAAATTATGAAAATAATTTGGTAGTTTTCAGGTATTTTAGTTTAATCTACATAAATTTAAAAAAAATTTAATTTATACAACTTACAAATAATGTTTTTTATTTATAAAACAATGTTTTATTTAAATTATTTAATAACACATTTATAGCAATTCCAATAATTTTATAAAATGTTAATTGATATTTAATTAGAAAGTAATATTAATATAATATTTAAAATTGTATTACATAATACTTTCTAACAGTATTAAAACATTACATCTGGAGCTCATTTATTACTTATACATTTTAAAACACTAATTAGTTGTTTTATACTAAACACTAGAGGTTTAACTACCAAGCGAAAATATGGAGAAATAGTTATGCCATTACAAGCTGTTACTGTTGTCATGGAACATTTTAAAAATTATACAGACATTCCACAAATTGCTCAATTAGCAACAGAAGTAAAATTTCAATATATATTTTGACTTGTATGAAAATTGTTTAAATGTTTGTTTATTATAGGTGAAAAAGCTACAAGAATCATTAGCATCACAAATAATGAAAGATTTTCATGAAGCCCTCAAAGGACCAAATGCAAAAAATTTTGTACCTAATAGACAAATGGCTGAAGCATGTAAGGTTGTATCTATTTTAAAGCCTAATGTGAAGTAAGAAATGATTTGAGCATATATATTATGACTTAAATTAATTAAAAAATTAACATTTTTCAGAGATGATCTCTTAAACTGGTTCATAGATCTTCAGTTATCAGAATACACTCATTTATTTGACACTGCTGAAGATGTAGCTTGGTTAGATAAAGTGAATCAACGTTATAACTGGTTTAAACGTCAGCAAATGCAGTGTGAAGAAAAGTTTAAAGAAATGTTCCCTGATGATTGGGAGTTGTCTGAAAGATTAGCTGTTGAATTTTGCATAATTACTAAGTATGAGCTATTTATTAAAAGTAGTGCAACATAGTGGACCACTCAGTTTACCACTTAAGAGCTAATGTTCAGTTACACTATTACTGTTGGTTTTTAAATAGTTGACCTTACAGACATTAACAGTAATGTATACTATATCTCCTACCTTCAGTTGATGGATGACAATACTTGTATTCTTGAATACTCTATACTTGTATTCTTGTATTCTTGAAAGTCCATCCTTGTACGACATATCTTAGGATTCATTATATAAAGATTATTAAGATGCATATGATAAAAAAAAAGATTTTAATTATTTAAATTTCTTTAGAATGTGTTTTAAAAAATTATGTTTTTAGGAATGAATTATCAAAATTAATGATCAAAAGAAAAAATGAAATTGACGTAAAACTATTATTATATGCCATTCAAAAAACTGTTGCATTCGAAAACCTAATGTCTAAAATCTATAATGGCAACACTATACTTCAACACAAGGATATTTCAAAATATAATCCTGTAGGTATAAATTAATAAAGTATACTACTAATAAACTTATTTGTTTCTATACTAAATTATACAATAAATGTAATTAATAATAAGAATAATTTTTATTTAGAAAATTATGACATCACCATGTGTCATTTAATATTTTCTAAAATCTAAAATAAAATATTATTTTCCTTTTCAAAAGTTTTATATACTATTACAAATTTAAAATTTCAAAAAATAAAATTGAGGTCTATCCCCTATCATTTTTATTACATTAATTTGAGTTCATTTTAGATGGTAATATATTTTTTAAATGAGTTACATATTAGACAATTATTTAACTATTAGATAAATGGATCATAATAACTTTAGAACCATAAATTATAAACTTACCAATATTTTAAATTTGACCTGGAAGAAAAATATTTAATAAAAAAATTAATTGGACTAAAAACTAATTTTTAATTACTTTCAAAGTTCTATTTCTTAAGTTAACACTAAATAGTAATTTTTTTATTACAATAAAAAATGTATCATATTTTATTTTACATTTTGCCTCAAGCTTCGGTCTAGTTAAGATATGACACTAGATATTAAAAATTAGTTACTAATTGGAAAGGTATATTTTGATCCATAGTATAAAATCAAAATGTTGGTTTTGATATTTAATAAAAATAAATTGAGATTAATATCCATTTACCTTATTATTATTATAATAATTTATAAAAAAAAATGATGTTTTTAATGTCTATAGTATGTATATATTATAGATGTTAATATCTTTGATAGTATATGTTACTAAGTACCATAAGTAGTAATAGTAGTAGTAGTTATATAAATAATTCTTATAAATAATCATATTAATACAATGAATAACTAATATTATATGTTTGTTTATATAAAGCAAGTTTTTTAATTATATTATTTAAGCAGCTTCATAATTTTTTTTTATCAATTAAATAAATCAAAAATCTGTTATAAATATTAAGGTAGATGATATTTCTCAATCATTTTCAAATGAAATGAAAATATCTGGCGATTCCAAAGAAATTACTAACATGCCCATCAAAAATAATGATTTACAACCCTCTGAATCACCATTTCATGGTTTGATAAGTGATTGTTTTCAACCATTTCTTTATGTTTACATTGATAGTGTTGATAAGTAAGTAAAGAAAAAAGTAAAAATTGTTATAAAATTAATAGAAATATTTTATTTGTAAATTAATTACAAAATCACCTTTAATATACATTTAAAAAAATATATAAAATGTAAAAACAATATAGTAATTTATGGTTTTATGTTTTAATAACTAAATAGCTACATTAAGTATAATTGAATCATTTGTGAAAAATATATAATTCTATATTTTTTACAAATGACAAATAAATTTTAAAATAAATAATATTTAAAAAAATTGATTTTCCACGTTTAATATACATGATAAAATTAAGCTTTCCAACATTATTAAGCCGTAAATTTAAAAAATAACTGTGGTTATTTTCCTAACATTAAAATTTAACATATTAAATGTTACTAAAATAACAATATATCAGGAGAGAAAAAAAAATTTTAAATTTCAATGGTAACTCGAAGTAACATTTTTGAAAGAAAAAACAAATATTCTAGTTAAAATAAAATCATTATTTTTTACACTCAAGAGAAATATTTTTCATATACAATTAAAATTCTCAATAAATAATTTTTGTAACATTTTAAATCTTGGATATATGCCCCAGAACTTAAGTTCAAGAAATTATGTTTTTATGGAATTAATGTTTAAAAAATTGTAACAAATTGGTGCAACAATTTTAAAAGTTAATTCTTAGGATTTTATAATGATTAAAACTATTTTTTGTACTGTTATTTGAGGAATCCCATAAGTCAAAAAATTAAGAAATTAAATAACATCTACTGAAATATTCTGAAGTTAGTATTTTTGTATAAAATATCTTTAGTGAAAAGAACTGTAATCTAAAAATATCATTCACAACTTAATATAAAACAACTATAAAGTTTTTACTACTTTTCCATAAATATGGCAAATATCCCTTATGATTTTTATCTTAAGACTGATTCAATTGTGTAATAATTTTATTTAATTATGGTTGATGCCATATTAAATAAATTTTTATTCTTATTAATTTAATACTTTTTTTAAAATGTGTTAATTATAGTAAAATGAATATAAGCTCTCAGGATGCTGGTTTCCTAATTATGAAGACTTTAATGTAATAATATTCTTATTATTTTATTACTTTTTCTTTTAGGAATTTATCAGAATTAATCGAACGATTTTCTAATGATGTAAAGATTATATTAGTAAATGATAATATTGATGACCACACTTCAGTTTTACCAAATTGTGCTGATTTATTTTTGTTCTATAAGAAATCTCTAGTACAATGTACAGAACTGAGTAATCACAATCCTATGCTTGCTTTAGCTACAGTATTTCAGAAATACTTAAAGGAATATGCATTAAAAATATTGGAATCTAATTTACCAAAGTAAAAAGAAATATAATTATTATTTATATCATAGGCATTACAGTTTAATATATAAGGTAAAACAAATATAACTTATAAATTTTATATAAATAATTTATTTATGTTTACACTGTGTTAAAATCAAATAAATTATTATTTGTTTTTAATAATAAAAAATTATTTTTATAATTTAAATCTTTTCTAAATTTTAAAATAACTAGTTTTTAGCACTTTTCTTATGAGAATGATTAAAGGATTGATAACAACTTTAGGTAACTTAAGTACTTATTGAGTTACAAGCATTTTAATATGTAGAGTGTGTATGTAACATGGTTGGAGAATGCATTATAAATATACACTATAAATTACAAGTTGTACCCACCCGAGCTACATTCCTACTCTTTGTGTTAAAATGATTGTTATTCAATAATTATTTCTTCTAAAATTGTTTTTGATCATCAAAATGTTTTGCAAGAAAAGTGCTAAAAACTACTACTTTGAATTTTGAAAACATTTAAAACTAAAAATTATTAATAAACATATTCTTTTACGCCTATGATAATTACTTTCTTATTTTTATTAAAATTAGGAAATAAATGATTAAATTAATTAGTTTATATCAAATAAAATTTTAGAATAAGTCATCCCACTACTTCTCTGACTACAAATGTATCTAACATGACCAAAGACTTAATTAAAGATCTTCAATTACTTCCTAGTGGAATTACTGATCCTAGTGGAAAAAATATTAATTCTACTCCTTCAGAACTTTCAAGAATATGCTGGTGAGTTAAATAAACTAGAATAATTACCTGTTATTTAATATAAATTATTTATGTATTTAATTATATAAGCATATTAACAACTGCTGATTATTGTATGGAAACAACACAACAGTTGGAAGAAAAGCTTAAAGAAAAAATTGATTCCAGCTTAGTTGAAAAAATAAGCATGGCTAATGAACAGAACATATTTCAAAAGTATATAAAAGGAATTTAATCTTATATTTAAAATGGATTTATAATAGTTAAATTTTATATAAACCTTTAATAATGATTCAATTTAACTTTTGAATGTCTTAAATTAAAATTAACTGAGTTAATAAATGAAGAAAATAATTTTTATTTCTAGTATTGAAAATATTAAAATAATTATTATTGGTATTCTACTTTTCACCCATTTTTCTAGTTTTAGCTAGTTCTGTTAATAGATATTATCAAATAATATGAATTTAGTAATTATAATTAGGTTTCATTATTTTTACTAGTATAATATTCATGTGCATCAAATTATTAGTACAACACCTTGAAGCAGATTTGGAACCAGCATTAAATAGCATGGTGAAAGTATGTAATTTATATAAAATTATCATTTAGGAGTAAATGAAACTTTGTATATTTTTTAATTTGTAGATTTCATGGCAAAATATCTCTACAGTTGGTGATCAAAGTGAATATGTTTCTTTTATAACTTCTCATCTAAAAATTGTAATTCCTGTTGTTCGCTCTTATCTATCATCATCAAGAAAGTATTTTACAAAATTTTGCATTACATTTGCAAAGTAATTAATTTTTTTATTTGACAAGTAAAAAAGTACTCTTAACAGTAACATTTAGAGGTATACAAGCGCTATTCTATACCCCCATTATGCTAATTATTATTAATTTTTTTATCATTGCAATACTTATATTTAACATACTCTATCCAAGCTATTGCTTAGTCTAACAATATAGAAAAGCCTACATAATTAAATGCAAAGGATCTCTCATATCTACACAACGAGGTACAATGCATTTTCAACTATGCTTAGTATATATATGCTTAGCTTATATGACTCAAATTTGGAATTATTAAAAAATATATCTTATTTATTACACTATTTTTTCAATGCAAGTTGATTTTTTTTCTCTAAATTTCAGTTCATTTATTCCGAAGTTTATTCAACATTTGTACAAATGTAAACCAATGTCTAATATTGGTGCTGAACAACTTTTACTTGACACTCATTCGTTGAAAACAATTTTGCTCGATTTACCTTCAATAAATCTTGAAGAAAATCGTAAAGCACCAGCAAGGTTAATATTTTATTTATTTTTAATTTTTGTAATTATCAATGTTTTTACATTTATTTACTATAAAAATTTTATTATTGCTTGATTGTTATTACCTAATAATTTTGTGGATAAATATTTTTATTATGATTTTTTATATTTTGTAAACACTTTTTTAACGTAAGAATTACTCATTTTGAAAATTTTGTAACTCAATATAATATTACTATATAAACTAAATTTATTTTTAATCATTTTTATGATTTTGTTATTAGTTATACTAAAGTTGTTGTAAAAGGAATGACAAAAGCAGAAATGATACTTAAACTTGTTATGGCACCTACAATGAAACATTATACTTCATTTGTAGACCAGTATTTAAAATTATTACCAGAATCAGATATGTCTGAATTCCAAAAAATTTTAGAAATGAAGGTTAATAAGATAATTTTTAAATAAATTTTGTACAAGTTTTCACTTTTTTTTTTTTTAGGGTTTAAAAGCTGCTGAACGTAATGAATTGCTCAACATATTTCGACCCAGAAATCCTACAGGAAGTTTTGTAACAAGTACAGCAGCTTTATCTAGTTTAAAACAGTATACTAGTCGTATAAAAAAGAATCTTATATCTAATTCTAATAATTAGTTGTTAAAGTATTTAATTTGTATTTATATAATGTAATTTTCAATAAAATTTATAATGTATTTGTTTTTTTTTTTCAATAAAAAAAATTATAAACTATTATTTAATTAATGAAGTATTTACAAATACCTCTTAATAACTGGAATCAAATATTTATTCCTAAATAAAAACATATTTTAAGATAGGAAAAAAATATTTATATTAATATTTTTACTATGATGGTTTATTGATGATTTTTAAAATGACAGATTTTATAGAACCAGCAGGTCTGAGTACATGGACATTATGTCCACCTAACTAAAACTAAAAATCCAGCCTTTAGTACAGGAGAGCAAAAACAAAGTTATATATTTCTAAATTTTAATAGTATAACAAGAACAAATATTTTGATCTTAATTTAATAAATTATTGAGAATTACTAAAAAAAAATAATGAAATGCTATTTTTACCCCATATTTATGATCTCTTAAAAATCATAACTAATACTATTGAAAATTATATTTAATTAAAGAAAAATGTTATTAACATTAATACTCCAAATATTGCATTTTTAATTTAAAAAATGTTTAATAATTTAGTAAAGGAAAACTTAGAAACAATAATTTTATTAAGAGATATTTTTTAATAACAGTGTTACATATATTGCTCTTTAACTCTACATTATAGATAGAGTATTAATTAATATGTAACTAGATTACTAATATATTATTTATCTTAAAATTAATATCTGTATTTTGTTGAATAATCTTTTGGTGATACAACTAAACCTCTTCCTTTTCTAGCACCTCTGTATACTGTTTCCACAATGTCAATCATTTCTTGTTTATCCTCCAAGGCCCAGTTAATTTTATTATTATTTCCTGTGCCCAAATCAATCATGATATGCTTATTTCGAAAGAAAAACATGACTGTACAAGGATCATACAATTCATACCTGAAACAATTTTCAGGATAGTTTTATAGCAAATAATGAAACTTAAGTTCTATAATAATTTGAAGTATAATTACATTTTATTAAAATCTGGTACTTTAGTTATATCTACTAGATAAATGACAGCAAAGTTTTTTACTTTCTCTGCAATATTGTATAATACTTCATCCATTTTCATACATGTTGGATCCCAATCATGACCAAAGCGAATAACCTAAATGATTAATACATTGAATACCTAGATAATTGGATTTTTTACCAATACTTAATTTATTTTAAAGGTTAGTATAAATAAAGTAAAATATCTCACTTAATTTAATTAAAGTAGTTAATAACAATTTTATTTAGCATTAAGTTTAAAAAAAAGTCTCTAATGTTACAATATATCTAATATCAATTTACCACAACTCGGTCTTCTTCTGAGAGAATAGCTTGATCGACTTGCCAGCCATTAAACAAATGCGCTAACATATAAGACATAATGAGTTTTTGTCCGAGACAATACAAATTTAAAATACAAACTCGTTAAAATAAAAATAGTGAGTATTTAAACCTTTAAAATTTTTTATTTTTTACAATTAATAATATTAAAATTAAATAATGAAAATTTATTATGTGCAATTATTGTTATTATCGTTTTGTGTTTGCTTTTTGTTATCAATTTTTATTTATCAATATAATATGAAAACATGACCAGTGTCACCTTATGTTAACTAATGTGTTATTATCATAGAGTATTACTCTATGGTTATTATTCTTATAATTTCCATTTATTTCTGATAATTTTCCAGTATAAAACCATAGATTACATGAAAATATTATAAATAAAATAAATAAATAAAAAAGTGTGTGGTTATAAATGACATTTTTTTGCAAAAAATTAAAAAGTCAAAATTATTTTATCATGGGTTACTGAATTAAGTACCTGACAACAAAATTATGTATACCATATTGTAATATATTAAATTAATTTTTATGAGTTAATAATGTAATTTTTTAAATTATCAATCCTTTTGGTTTACTTTTATCATTAAGATCCAAATTTTTGGTATAAAATTTAAAAAACAAGAGAATTTACTTGAGTACATTTTTAAAAAAGCCTATGTTCTGATTTGTGAATACATTTTATTTAATAGAAAACATTATTCATAGCCATTAATAATTCATATCTCTGAATGAATTTAAGAGAGTTTAGCTTTCCCAAAAACTGATAATTACATGTATTTTTATTTAGAAATATTTTATTAAACGAAGAATAATTAATTAGAACTCTCAAACATTTTTCTAGAATTGCATTTATATAATAATTAACAATTCAGTCTGATCAAATAAATGATTGTATATTTTAAACGTTTAATTGTAAAATTGTACTGTAAGATAAATTTTTGTTACATCAAGTAATAAAAAAATTGTGTTTCACAATAGTGGAGATGTTGTACGTTTCTTAGAAAGTGCTACTATTAGTGTAACATAATTTTCTCATTACATGAAGTACATAATTATACTTTTACTTTAAAAATGACTTATAAATTAACTATATTGTCTCAAATATTCTATACTAAATATTTTTAGATTTACGAAAAGAAATTTTTTTTCTACCAATATTCTTCTTCCTTGACTTCGGCCTTCAAGACCGAAGAAACAAATTTGCCTCCAAATTTCCCTATCCAATGCTAACTCCTTCCAATCCATCCCTGGTCTCAATTTATCTGTCTTCTTTGAACCTATTTTCCTAGCGTAATCTCGGCCTTCCAAGTGGTACATTTTCTTGTACTATTTTTACCAATGAACCTGTTTTTCTTTTAAATCTTATTTATGATACAAATCCTAAAGTTCCTTGTTTTTACGTATTCTCCATTCACCTGTAGCTTCGTTTTTACATGATCCATAAATTTACCTTATAAGGTACTATAGTACCTTTCTTTCAAACACTAATAGAGCATTTTCGTCTATTTTCCTTAAAGTCCAAGTTTCCGAACCATATGTCACATCTGGCTTAATAAGTGTCTTATTTGGAACTTCAGATATCTAGAGATTAATCTAAATCATAATAACTTTGTCAGGCCAAAATAACATTTATTGACAGTTTCGCTTTTATTTCCATACCTATTTCATTCTGCTGTGTTATTAGTAAACCAAGGTATTGAACTGTTTTCCTCTTTTGAACTTGTAGTTTTCGTCTTCTAGGCACTCATTGTGGCGATCTACTTGCCCGTATTTTTTAACTACCATATATTCAATTTTCTCAGAGTTAAACTTTAGGCCTATGCGTTTTGCAGCATTTATGAGTTTTTTTTATTGTTCTTTAAGTTAATCTTTACTCACTGCTATCAACACTATATCGTCTGCATATGCTAAAATTCCAAGGTTATTTTTTCCTAGTTTTAGATTTACGAAAAGAAAATTTTTTTCTACCAATATATGACTAACAAATATAAGAAAAACTTGTCATTTTGAATCCCCCCGTGGGCAGGTAAAGGGTCAGATTTACAAAAAAAAATATACAAAATGATAAGTAAGTATCTCACGTATCTATATAAAAAAATTATATTGATCTGGTCATTTTTAAAAAAGTTATGGCAGTTTTAAGCAAAAAAAAAAAAACGCAGCACAGTGGGGACATGGCATAGTTGGGTCCAGTATAGATGATATCTGACAGTGATTAAAATCCTTATCATAAAAAACGCTTCGATGGAAATCTGTAGATAGTGTTTAATTTTAAACATTAATTTTACCATAATGTGTTTTTTTTTTTTTTATGTCTGTTGCCACTTTTTCTCAGCTCCACTGGACCGATTTATTTCAACAATACGTCAAAAGATCACAAATCGTATCTAGTTGAAGACATTACCCTTAAAAATTGAAAAAATTTCCCTCGTTCCCCGCAAATGGGGGAAATATCCAAAAAAATTACAAATTTAAAAATCGGTAAATTTTGTCATTTTTTCACTTTTATTTCTTAAAACTTCCATAAATTTTTCAAAAATAAACAAATCAACATAATTTTTCTTATACTAAAACCTTAGATATTTCCCTTTCATTTGATATCATTTTTTTGAAAATTTAACACTTAACCTACTCATTGGGGGGGATTTAAAATAGCATCCTTTAAACATATATCAAATTAAAGCTTATTTTATGTACTACAAAATGAAAAAAAAAATTTGTCCCGACGACCTATCTTCTATACGCAAATGGCTACCATATTCAAAAATATGCTATTTTTGTATGAAAATTATGGGTTTTGTATTTTATTTTAATAGAAGTTGATGTTGCTTTTGCATTTTTTTTGCAAAATTTTCGATTTTCAATTTTAAATTTTCAACTTAAAAATGCTATAACTTTTCGAAAAATGTAATTATCAGCACAAATTTTTTTTTCTAAATACATTATAAGTACATCTTTCATTTGACATACTTTTTATTAAAATTGGACAATTTCTCCTTATATAGGGGGCGTTCAAAACTTAAAATATTGTAAAAAACATAGATCTTTTTCAACTGAACTTTTGAAAATGTTCCGGAAATACTGCGTCCTTTAAACATATATCAAATTAAAGCTTATTTTATGTACTATAAAATGAAAAAAAAAAATTTGTCCCGACACCTTATCTTCTATGTGCAAATGGCTGTCGAAATTATAAAAAAAATGTAATATTTGCGATAAAAATCACCTTTTATAACGATGTTTTTTGTACTTAAAACTGCCATAACTTTTTCAAATATTAACTAATCAAAATAATATTTCTTTATATTGAAACCTTAGGTAATTTTCTTTCATTTGATATCATTTTTTTTTGAAAATCTAACACTTATTCTGCTCACAGGGGGGATTTAAAATAGCAACTTTTTTACAAAAACTAACTTTTTCAACTTAATTTTTGAAAATGTTCCGGAAATACTGCGTCCTTTAAACATATATCAAATCAAAGGTTATGTTATATACTATAAAATGAAAAAAAAAAATTGTCCCGTCACCTTATCTTCTATGTGCAAAGGGCTGTCGAAATTTAAAAAAAAATGTATGTTTGCGATAAAAATCATCTTCTATCAGGATGTTTTTTATACTTAAAACTGCCATAACTTTTTCAAATATTAACAAATCAAAATAATATTTTTTTTATGTTGAAACCTTATGTAATTTCTTTTCATTTGTTATCATTTTTTTGGAAATCTAACACTTATTCTGATCACAGGGGGGGATTCAAAAAAGTAACTTTTTTACAAAAACTAACTTTTTCAACTTAATTTTTGAAAATGTTCCGGAAATACTGCGTCCTTTAAACATATGTCAAATTAAAGCTTATTTCATGTACTATAAAATTAAAAAAAAAATTTGTCCCGACGACCTATCTTCTATGCGCAAATGGCTACCGTATTCAAAAATATGTTATTATTGTGTTAAAATCCTGGGTTTTGTATTTTATTTTATTTTAAAATATCTTATAAGGGCAATACACTGCCCTATTTTTTTATAATTATTATTTTTATAATAGGCTAAATTGAATAACTTTTTTTTTATTGGTTTTTTTAGATATATAATCATTAAAATTAATTAAATTCTGAATATTTCCATTGTAGAATCTTTTTAAACGCCAAAAGTTAATTAGAAATGATTACTATGATTTTTATTTAAGTGATCTATTACGATAAAAATGTAAAAAAATCTAACTTTTCTGATAAATATACTGTAAATAGTAATTATAAAATTTGCTGACAGCATATTAATCTTAACAATTTCATTTTTATCTATTTAATAATGTCAATTTCAAACTTGCAAATTGAGCTACTTGTTATGGTAATGAATTCATTTTTTTTTTTAATAAAACTTTCACTTTAAAGGAAAATAAAAAGTAGGTTCAAAATTATTACTTTTAACATATTAAAAATCAAAATCAATAATAATTTGAAAACAATTAATTTTAAAAATGATATAATATATAATTAAAAGAATTACTAATCTGGGTATAATTAAGGAAATAGAAGTTGATGTTGCTCTTGTNTGGGTTTTGTATTTTATTTTAATAGAAGTTGATGTTGCTTTTGCAATTATCCATCAATTTTTTAAAATTAAACACTATCTACAGATTTGCATTGAAGCGTTTCTTATGATAGTGATTTTAATCACTGTCAGATTAAATCTATATTGGACCCAACTATGCAACGTCTCCACTATTTTTTTATTAATTTTGATGTCTGATTTCACCATGAAAACAAAAAAAAGTCCAAAGTTTTTTTTTTCTATAATAAAGTATATTACATGAGCTTTAATTTAAGATATATATAAAAGTGTCAGTATTTAAAGGACACTCAAAAATTAAGTTGAAAAAGTTTTCTATATGCATTTTTAAGTTTTGANAAAAAAGTCCAAAGTTTTTTTTTTCTATAATAAAGTATATTACATGAGCTTTAATTTAAGATATATTTAAAAGTGTCAGTATTTAAAGGACATATGCATTTTTAAGTTTTGAACCTCCTCTATATTAAGGGAAATATTCTGATTTAAAAAAAAAGTATGTAGAACGAAAGAAGTATATAAATATTATTTCTCATAAAAAAATTGTATTGATCTATAAATAAATCTTTCGAAAAGTTATAGAAATATAAAGTTAAAAATGTAAAATATAAAATCGAGAATTTTAACACAAAAATAGCATACGGTAGCCATTTTCACCGTGAAGACAAAATGAAGTACGAAATTTTTTTTTTCCATAATAAAATAAATTACATTAGCTTTAATTTAAAATATATATAAAAATGTCAGACTTTCCGGAACACTTTCAAAAGTTAAGTTGAAAAAGTTTTGAATCCCCCCCTGTAGGAAGCAATATTAGCAATATTGTAATAACTATAAATACTAAATTACATTAAATAATTAATTGTAGTAAAACAAAATGACTAATATTAAACAAAACTCATCTTAAAAAAATTAATGTTCTCATCTTCATATTGAAATTAATGATATATTTTGAATCAAGACTTAATACATCGATTATATTAGAAAGTTAAACATTTTAAATTGTATTGCAAATCATTAAAATTATATAGAATTGAATAATAATGTAAAACTATTAAATCATAATTTTCTATTTTTATTGAAAAATTTTAGGTGCTTATTTTGTCGACATTTGAATTAAGTAACTTAATAATTTATCAATAATAGATTAATACAGACCAAATTTAATATATTTAAATAGTAAAATATTTAATATTTGTCGTAAATCTGTATCACAGTCAAAATATTCAGTGCAATTTTTAGGTCACGTCACGCATATTTCTATATATGCGTGACATGACATAAAAAATGTAATAAATGTAGATTTAGACTGTTAATATTATTTTAAAAGACTTTGTTTTTAAAATCAAAAATCTGAATTAATTGATCAATGTTGATTACAGTACTAGACATGTAGTGACGTATTTTCAAAAAAATATCGGTGAAAGTTAAAAATTTCAATTAAAGAATGAATTTTGTTTAGGAAAATGTAGTATGAGTCTTTTTCTGGTTGTGAGTGTACATTTTTGTACACAATAAAAGTAGACGAAATTTGAGCAAAATGTTTGGGAGATTTGATTAAAAATCTCCCTTCTTAATAAAATATTTTACAAAAAAAAAAAATACATTATACATATTTGGGGTTTGAATCTCCCCCAGATTTCTTCAGATTGCGCTTATGCTCATGAGCCCGTCAGCAAGTATTGGAATACATTTTCTCCTCTTCTAATCTAAATCCGGCACTGCTTTTAAGTATTTAAGGTGTTCCAACAATAGTGTTTTTATTTATAAAAATTGTAAATGTCTTATTTTATTGATAGAAAAAAAATATAATTGTTATTAATAATGTATTATTATGATATAACTTTATTACGTAGTGATAAATTGAACTTTTTAAATTTAAATCACAATAAAAAAAATAACTAAACTGCTTTCGGATAAAATATATATACCAATTAACGCAGTAAAAAATTTTAATAAAATTGATAAAAAAATTAAAAATGACAAGATTTAACACTCTCACAAAATCCGTCCGTTTATACTTATTTGTTAAGTTTATCAATATCATGTATTCAAATAGACTCGCACTCAAAGAAAAACCTCAATCAATTTTGATAGAGACATTTTATTAAGGGTTTATGATAATGTTTTATTAATACGAACAAAATAATTATTCTTATGAATAATTATTGTTCAAGATAAGAAAAAAAATCATCATATTGATAAATGTATCATAGATTCAATAGTAATGATATATTTATCAAATTGAACAATGAATTTATTATATAGAACGAGGTTTTTCTCTGGGTGCGCGCTTTAAAAAAAAAAATTGTAAATTTTAATATACTGTCATAATAAGCACAACGCTTTACATTACTCATCTTACATTTATTTATACAAACAAATAATTAATTTATCTGTCATAACATACACACTGTTGTGCACTAGCTATTATATATGTATATACATGTTAAATTGATCATTGTATACTATGCATATTATCTTCAAAATTATTATCATGTTATGTTCAAATTTTTATCCTATAAAATGAAAATCACTAAAAGCGCTGATGACAACAATCCATGATGGGGGTAAGTAAAAATAATATAAAAAGGCATTGATTTTCCAAGAGAGATCACTTCCTTTTAACTTTCTTTCTTTTGATGCTCTGAATTCAATAAAGAATTCAAAATTCTTTTGTTTAATTCATCTTCATCAAACTAGCCACGACCCCGTGTTGTCGTCATTAAATTTTAAGTCGATATTGAATAAAATTATTTTGCGTCAACACTTTATTTATTTATTTAAAAGAAACAGTATAAATCTTTACGTAAATCTTGACGATCTTTGTACAAGCCAAATAGAAGAAGTAAGTAAATTTATATTAACCCAATTATTTAGAATTGATAATCTGAGTAAAGAATGGTAAAGAAATAGATTGATTTAAACATCATTTAAATTAATTATTAATAATTAGTTAGTGCTTGGTCGTATACTTCGACTGGGTGTCTTAGAGGAAGTCAAGACCCAACTACAAGAATACCTCAGCGTTTAATATCTCTAAGAGAGGAACTTAATTCATTTCTTATTATATCTACTTGTCTTTACTGTTCTAAACCCTCGGACTCTACGACCCCGATAAAACCTCGTTGCTCACGAATTGACCAAATCTCCAATTATCCAACTTTGGTCAATACACCGCGATATCACCTAATCGCATAGTAGTAGACGCCTATAAACCTTATTTTTTGTATTACTACAATACATAGTGATCTAGTTATCATAAAACTCTCGTGTGTGTATTAACTTACTTAATTTTTAGAGTTTTAAGTAAAAATGTTGTTTTTCTTTAAAATAGACTAAATTTTATCTTAAATTTAAAGTGTAACAAAAATATTATTATTATGATACAAAAATTACTAAATTATTATGTTACAAAATTTGTTTTTGGTCATTTTAGTCTTCAATCATTTTAAATTTCAGTAGTCCATTTGGCATATAAATTGGATGAACAGTATAATTTAATAAACCATAGTTATATTCAACCTGGAAATTTAACAAAATCTGAAAAAAAAATTGTGAATTGATTTTTAATCTTGTGTTGAGTTACACTTTAGTAAGCTTACTCTTGCTAATACAGTTTGGAGCTCTAAGTCTGCAAAACGGCGACCTAAGCACATTCTTTTACCATAACCGAAAGGTAAGCTAGCAAAAGGATGATGTTTATGAGGTGATCCTTTCAACCATCTTTCTGGTAAAAATTGATCAGGCTGATTAAAATATTTAGTACTGTTGCTAATAGCGTAGTGTTGAAATATGACTTGCACTCCTTTTGGTACTTTGTATCCACCAACGACTGTATCTTTCGTCATACATCTTCCATTTCCTAACACAACCGGATACATTCTAGGAAAATATGCACATTTATTGTAAGACAATAAATTAAATCTACTATTTTTTGTATAACCTCAAAGTTTCTTTAATACAAGCTTTAAGATATTGAAGCTGTTCTAATTTACTAGATGTTAGTTGAGAATTTCCATCAGATAACACACAAAAAATTTCTTCTCTTAGTTTTTTCTGTTTGTCTGGATTTTTACTTAACTGATACAAAATTGATGCTAATGCAGCAGATGTCTGTAAAAAATAAAAATACAGTTTATATAGTACGCGTGGGGTAAAGAAATATTATTAGTAATCAGGTATTTATTTTAATATTAGGTATCAGAATAATCTTGAAAAAACATGTTTTCCGCAAATTATTTCTGCTTGGAAAACTTTTTCCAGATAAACGCTGTTACTAGATCAAGTGATGAACACTTTTATTTCAAACAGTTTTAACAAAAGCTGTTTAAAATAAAAATATTTACTTAATTATAAAAATTACATTAATGCGCCTCCATATTATGAAATAATCTTATCAAGACTTGAAAACCCCCTATTTTTAAGAAAGCTATCAATTGGTCGATATTTTTAATCTCTAAGCAATACTAATTATAAGTCTAACTAAAAACATGTTTGGGAGGGAAGCTAAATTCTTTTTCTACCGTTATTGAAAAAATTATATGTACAAAGTATACAGTTTTCTAGAGTCCAGAAGTTTATTTTGTACTGTAGGGGCTAGTTCTTCTTACTTACTCCACTAGTTTGCCTATGATACTAATATAAAATAAAAATGTTTACTATTACCGTATCTATTCCAACGATGAACATATCTAATGATAGTATTTGTGCAAGTTTTGGATTTGATGGATCTAAACTTAATACTCGCTGCAATAATGACGATTGATGATCAGTTACGAATGATTTTTCTGACAAAAGTTGATCTAATGATTTATTAATATGCTTTGAAGTAATCCTAATAATAATGTATAGAACAAATATAAAAATTGGCAAATGTAAAAATTTTTTTGATGAGGTAACCTTTTTTCTATACAAGGTATCTCACGATTCTCAGACAAATCCACAAACCTATACAGAGTTATTTTTTATTATAAATATCTACTCAATTACTTACAGAAAAAAAATAATTAAAACATTTTTTTTTTGTTACATTTGGTTACTTATTATTCTTAAATTATTAGCTATGTAATACTTTTTAAGTTGATCCACTGTGCCTTGTAAATGTCAACTTTTTTTCTCAAATGGGAACACATATTTTGAATTTATAGAAATGTTTGAGGTTTTATTTTGACAGTAAATTTTATTTGAATTTTTAATATATCCTTTTTTGTTTATTAGATGTAAAACTTTTAAGTTTCAAAAATTCTGAGTTGCTATAAACGTATAAACAGTGGCGGCTCGTGGCTAGGACGATGGGACCATCGCACCCCCTACTAAAATTAATTAAAAGAAGAAAATTAATTGTATGTTCTTAATTCTACATTTTTATTAAAATTGCAAATTTTTAAATATTAAAATAGTTCATTTGCAGTGTGCGAACATAAAAGTTTTTTCCCTCTGTATATGCGAGTATACAAGCACACACGAGAAGTGTTCGGACGACCGGCAGCGAATTCCATACGGTAAAATATTAGTATATTACTATATTGGGTAATTTATGTTTAGAATTAACTACGTGTACGCTGGTTGTTATCGGTTGCTATAATAGTATAATCTCTATTATTATTATTTTCATTTATATTTTCTACTGCAACCTTTAAAGTAATAATATGTGTATTGTGTTTTATTTTATTATACTTAATTTGTCAATTTTTTATACCTATGACTAGCGGTATCATATTTAAAGTCGCACCCACGAGCCACCACTGTGTATAGTACACGATGGATTACAAATACAGGTAGCTAATTGTTTTTTATGACGTCGCAGGTACACAGCATTTATTGTCAATTATGAATTTATTAACAGATACGGTCAAAATGTGGTCGTAAAGCACATTGTGAGTTAACATTTAAAATACACTAACTGGTTAATACTGAAAACATATCTGTCGATAATTGACAATAAACTCTCTGTACTGTGATAGCGACGTCATAAAAAATCAATTCAAAATATTTGTTTCTATTTGAAAAAACAATGTTGATACATCTCCATAAATATAATTATAATCATTGGTCCTAAGTCACAATCTTTGAGCAATTATGAATGACTACAACTGCTCTTACACCCAAAGAAAAACCTCAATCAAAATTGAAAGAGAAATTTTACCAAGGGTTTATGATAATGTATTATTAATACAAACAAAATAATTATTCTTATGAATAATTATTGTTCAAGACAAGATAAAAAATATCATATTGATAAATATATCATTGATTCAATAGTAATGATATATTTATCAAACTGAACAATGAATTTATTATATAGATCGAGGTTTTTCTCTGGGTGTAGGGTTAAATTAATTATCCATTTTTTTGGAGTATACAACTCATACTAAAACATTAAATTTTGTAATATTATTTTACATTTATTATATTTATAAATTTTTGTAATGATAAATTATAAAGTTATTCTTACTCTGTAATCACATCCAGTGCGCCAATATATTTTTTCCAAGTAGGAGTATTAAACAGTTTCCAAAAAGGAATTTTCAGTTCGAGTACTGGTACATTTTCGAAAAATGTATTTATAGCATTTATAAGATTTTGAGTGTCCGAGTTAATTTTGAAGTCATCATCAAAGCAACCAAGCTTTTGATCAAGTGCCACCCTTGCTATTGCTATATTAAAATTACTAATGATTACTTATTTCAATATATGCGTTTAAAACTTACATTCAAGAGACCATTTGTGTATCTCATTTAAAAAATCATCAGGTACCTCTTGCTTGTGATTCTTAATTTTTTTTATTCTATTAATTTAAATAGAAAAAACTTTTCAAGGTAGTGTTAAATTAACATATTATTGGAATTACCTATTAACAAATGATATTGCTGTTTCATCGATAGTACCAATATAATATTTTGCTGTTCTCGGTTGAAGCATAGGTTGCTGTACTTTACTGCGAAATTGATACCACTTTTCCCCGTGTCTGTAAAGTGAATAAATAGTTTCTCAACAACATTTGCTTTTTAAGTCTTCTATACCATAGGCGCCATTTTATTAAAATGTTTGGGAAGTATAATTTAACTACTACCATTAAAAAATACATGTTATTTTGAATATTTTTAAGGAGGCTCTGGTAGACTTTGGGGACTAATTCCTCCAAAACTCTCCACTATGCTCTATACAAGTAATAACTATTTATATTGCATAATTGTGAATAGTTTCATTACTTAAGTTCTTATTTAAAACTTTTAAACAATTATAAATAAAAGGAATATTTATCTATAAACTCAAGACTTAATAACTTAATACCGATTATACTTAAAATTTTAAATAAAGAATTTTATAACCACCTACACAGCAATAACGCCCGCTAAATCACCAAAAAAATCTTTCCTAAGGACATGTTTATAATAATTTAATGAAGGCATTGATGGCCGATGTGGCATAAGTTCTTCATTCCTGAAAACTTTTTCAATTTCATCTGCGTCATATAAAAACACCATATCAGGCCTGCCAAGAAGACTACCGATTTTTACAACGTCTCCGTATTTTTTCCATAAACTCAAAGATAGTTTGTCTATTTCAGAAATATTGTAATTACCTATTTAACATTAATCAAAACTAATATAAATGAATGCAATGTAAAAAATTAATATCTTCTCAGCTTCTCATCGAAGCTAAAACATACGAATGATTTTTCTTACCGATGATTGGCAAAAATCGCCAATTATTTCCCAGCAAAGGTAATGGATTCGGTCCAGGCATATCCTCGTAATTTTTAAAGTCCGCATCGTTTTGTAATGTAGCAGTAACTAAAGTGGATTTAAACAGTTTATCTACAGACAATCCAGGAACTCGAAGACGTTTAGTGAGTACTATCATTTTAAACCTGTATACAAACATATTTAAGTATTATAAAAATTGATACAACGTTATGTATACCTTCAGCGCACTTTATGATAAACTATTTTCGATCGTAAGCGTTGACAGAAATACCATGTTAGCATCATTCTATATTTCCTATTGTACTGTACCATGCAGTTCATGGTTGTCATTCTGTCGTCAATCTGTTGTTCGTTTAATGGGCGTCGTTTTAGTTAACATGTTTGGAAACGATCAATGAAATGTTATTCTATTCGAAAGAGGGGTTAATAAACTTTTTTTGAGCCTAAATAATTCATTGTTTAAGAAAAATTACTTATGAAATCTCTAATGAATAATATATATGTATAAAACATGCACAGATAATGTAGCTATCTACATTAGATGTCGTTTAAAATTGTGCGTCGAATTGAATAAAGCCGTGTAAATATGTTTAATTGATTATTAATTCAAAATTAAATATAACAAGTTGTCATTGATGTTTGATAGGCTTTCAATTTGTAAACGTTTTTACTAATGAAATTTAATATTTACATTAATCTTGTGAATAAACATTTTGAAATTCTGCAGTGTTTATTTTCATTAAAGTTTTTCAACTAAAAACTTTTTATTACTACTTAAATTGTTAAAATAAGTTATTCTACTTAATTAAGTTATTCAAAAATTGTAATGAAAAACCTAATAATTTTGTTGTTAACTAATTCTGATTCGTTGCCTATATTTAATTGAGTCCATAATTCATCGACATTATAGTAGTGAAAATTCTAATGGTATAACCGTCGAAAGAAGAGAAAGTACTGATGCGTTTATCAAATATCACATTAATTAAGTACATCTTACAAGCTCTTAAAGTATAAGTAGTCTTTTCATTGAAGTTTCTTCAGAAATTGTTATTAATTGTTTACACAGTTAATAACATCATACAGCATTTTTTTGTATCTTATTTTTACTTAAAAGAAGTATAAAATTTTTTTTTTTTGTATTTTGTTTTCTCAATTATTGTATTTTAGGTGTTCTTTACTCATTATACAATATTTTACGTGTAACTTAATTATATTAAAGGATTTAATAACAGTAATTCAATGATTTTTTTTTACTCATCTTGAAATGTCTCTATTTTTATTCATTAAATTTAAAAATAATTTATTCTACAGGAATATAATTTTTTTACTTATACCAAAGTGTATGCAATTAAAAAGAATACAACTTGATGGATTATAGACCAATATTAACTAAAATATATATTTAATTTTTAAACTAACTCTTTTTCTCTAATATAGTAGTTTTTAAAACAAATTATGCGAATAATACAGTTAATATAGTACTCACTGTTGTCCTGGAATTAATGGCTATGAAAAATTTAATTTCTTAGAAATACCATTAAAAAATCATTTTTATCTTTACGTTTTAACATTTCACGAAAAGCGAAAAGTTAAACAACATCCTAGCATGAAACCATGACGTCATGACTATACTAACTATTTACTGCTGTTTTAAAACACTTTGGCTGGACAACATTTTGTATGTAGGAAGGGTTTTCGCTTTCGGCAATTGGCTAGAGATTCAGTTAACTTGATATACACGTCTAAGTCACGTGACCACGTTTATATTGTATATAAATGTGTGTATGGTTCAGCACACAAGTTGATGTAGGTTTATACCCGTCAATCCGGTTTAAGAGAAAAATACGAAATTTCGCAAATATAGTGAAAGGACGTACACTTACACTGGCCTGTAATATGATCAAGAACTTGCGAAACGCTAGATGGACTCTGTTGTATTTTTTAATTCTTGTCAGAAGTTAAACATTTACAAGTTCTGTTACACATTTTTTTTTTGTTGCTAAAGCATATATGTAAATATGTAAAAATCATTTGAAATGACAATATTTTCATTAGTAAAAGATCATTTGACCTCATTCATTATTCTATTAAATGAAAAAAATAATAAATTTAAGCAAAAAAAAATCTTTAATTTTATGTGAATAAGGTGGGAGAGTCAATTAGAGGGACTAATAAAGCAAAGCTCCCTCATTGCAAAACCAATGTTTTTGATAAACAATTAACTAAACAATTTTTTTTCGGTATTGATTTCTATTAAGACATCCAGAGTACGCCACTGAGTAATTTGTACACATTTATCAAATGTAATAAATATATTCCTAGATACATGTAGGGGGTTAGAACACAAGTCAAGCAAGTCAAATTTTGGAAAAATGTGTTTGACATGAAAAAAAATACTTCAAACTCAACATGTTCTATGGTGTAAATGATAGTAATAAAATAATGTTTTAAACCAATATTATTTCTTATAGAATTAAAATATTTCAAATGATTCTCCTGAAAAACAATAAAAATTGATTCACGCCACTTTCGCTCTAACCCTACTATGTATATGCATAAAAAATATAGTTAATATATATGTGCACATGATTTAAATTAATAAAATATTTTTTTTAATTTTTGAAACCATAGTTAAATATTCATGCGTGTAAATCAAATAATCGTAATCACTCTTTGTTTCCCTGGTAATAAGTACAAGGTAAATACAACACATGATAAATAATGCCTTTAATATTTTATAATACTAATATAATTACATTATTTCTGTAGTTAGACAGCAATTAATAAAAATTCTGTTTTTTTTTTTAATGATTACAATAAAACAAGTGATAAATAAAGTTTCATATTAAATCATAACTGATACAATTGGTATTGTAATAAACATTAATTTTAATAAAACCATCAACTAATCAATGATCAAATTCACAGAAACAGAAAATATAAAAACGTCAAAAAAAAAACAAGTTAAAAGAAGACGTAGGAAATATAAAAAAAAACAAATAGTATTGTATGAAAAATCTAAAAATAGTGTTGATCTGGGTAAATCTTATAGTTTATCGTTAAAGACAACTGAAGAAAAAAATGAAAGTGTTAAAAGTACTGAATTTCCTTTAAGAAAAAACCAAACTAATAATGAGAATAATTTAAAAAAAAAAAAGAAAAGATTAATTATACCTCACATTTATACAGATAATGAAACAATATTATTATCATATAACAAAGAAAAAAGCAAATGCAAACTTCGTAAATGTTTAACTGAAAAACCAGAGCATAATAGTAATAGAAATAAAAATAATATAATTTATAACGGAGAAGTTTATCCGGTTAATCTCGATGAAGTCAATGGTGATCTTAAAAATAACTATAAAAACTTGACAGAAATGAAGATATCGAAACAACTAGATGAAACAATAAAATCTACCTCGAATAATCAAAATGAAAAACATGAATCGTGTATTAGCAAAACATCTTTAACAAATATAAAAAATAGTATTGCGGTAAAACATCCATTGCATACAGAAAGAAAATATACAAAAGTTTATTACAATGAACGTCTTCGTAATGATTTTACGAAACAATTGAATTCTAATTTCAAGTATAAAAAATGGACTGAGGTAACATCTCCAAAAAATAAAGACTATTACAAGGCAAGTAAGAAGGATATCAAATTGCAAGCCCAAAAAAAAGAATTTGAATATGTGCCTCAAAGTAGCTTTTTGGATATAAATAAAAAAGAACTCAGCCAACATAATATTTTAAATTGCAAACATAAAGGCTGGGTTCAAAAAAATCAATTTGATCATTATGACTTACCAGAAAAAAAAACCAGTAAGACGCNTAAATAAAAAAGAACTCAGCCAACATAATATTTTAAATTGCAAACATAAAGGCTGGGTTCAAAAAAATCAATTTGATCATTATAACTTACCAGAAAAAAAAACCAGTAAGACGCCGCATACTTGGTTTTGCAATACGTATCAACATAGTTTTTATAATATAAATTCGCCTCAAAGCTGGAACACTAGTATTATTAAAAATATTAAACATGAATATGAACATAATAGTTCGAATGAAGTGATGTTTTATCAAGTGAAACAACAAAACTACAACAGTAATGACCATAGAGAGGATTTAAAAAAATCTTTTTTTAACAGTTATCAGTATTCTAAATACAAAGATCAAAATATCCAGTATAATTGCAATTCATATCTAAACAACAAGAGTACCGTAACAGGTCGTATACACCAGGTTAGTGAAAAGTTATAACAAAAAAAATCATTAAATTTAAAAATAATTTAAGTATATTTTAATAATTTATTATTACAAAAGAATATTTTTTAATCTTTAAGGTCTTTTTAACATTTTAAATTTTAACTCTCCGTCTGGTGCGTACATGAATGTTACTTTGTATTTTAAGGGTTCATAATGATATTCAAGTTTGTATGATCTTATAAGCTGCAAAATAATAATAATCAATATTTTAAATCAAATTAATTAAACATTTTATCTTAATGAAGTTAAATTACCTTTGCAATAAATACTTGCATTTCTAGATCAGCAAATCTTCTTCCTAAACACATTCTTGGCCCATGTCCATAAGGAAGTGATGCAAAAGGATGTATATATCCGTTTGATTGTTTCATCCATCTTTCAGGTTTAAATTGTTTACAATCTGTCACATATTCTTCCATGTTTCCCGTTACAATAGTCGGAAATACTAGCTGTATCTATAATCATTCAAATTTTTCAATAACTATTCTTTATTTAATTTATTAAGATATATGTATATATATTAATAAAAGGTTAATATTGGCTATTGAAATTTTAAAAGCTTTCTTAGTGAAATGCATCATACATATCAAAGTTTATTAAATAATCATGTCATCTCCTCTCGCGTAAACTATTTTAATTAAAATTGTTGGAAATTTTATCAATCACTATACTAGTCGATAAATTTAGGCACAATTTAATATTTTTGGTCATTGAATTTTTATGATAAACAATAAATTAACAAATTTGTTTACAAAATATGTTTCCTCCTTTTCAAAAAGAAATTTAGAATTACAATCTTATTTCTATATTCAATGTTTTAAGTGCTTTTGTATTTCTAAATATATGTATTTATACATATATTCGAAATTAATTATATTATTTTTTAAATTTTAGTATTGGATAACATGCGATCATAATTTTTCATCGTATGATTTAAGTCAAGAAACTGATAAAATATATCCATTGAAGTCAAGTCAATTCCTAAAAAATTATACAAACAAAAATGTCAATAATTCAAAATATTGTTGGGATACATACGGCGTTTCAAAGGCAAAAAATGATCTTGGATGCTATATAGAATATTTTGATAAAAGTAACAATTTAAAGATAATAATTCGAATTAATGTCAAATAATTTATCGATAATATTTTTTTAGCTTGGGAAAGTGTTATGAGAGTTATTTCAGGTAATAGTTGTACATAAAATGATAAGATAATACTGATTATGTTTTAATTCATTTTAATAACTCAATAAAAATATTTAATTTTTAATATAACTTACGCCTTTTGGTATTTCATATCCACAAATGGTCATGTTTTTTTGTAATGTTCTACCATTGCCAATAACAGTTGAATATATTCTGAAAAGATAATATTCGCATTTAGACATGTATTTTATTTTAAGTATATCAATTTACCTAAATACTTCTTTGATAAAAGCTTTTAAATAAACCATTTTATCCAATTTACTGGAATCTAATTTGTCATTTTCATTTGGAAGAATTTTTATTACTTCTTGATGGATTTTTTCTTGTTCATCAGGTCTTGTCGCTATTTGGTAGAGCATTGAACATACAGCCATTGATATCTAACAAATAAAATATTCTTAATTATTAATTCATATAAATCACAATTATTATTTAAATTTTAGTGGATTATTTATACCGTATCTATTCCAACAAGAATGAGATCCAAAGCTAATACATAGGCTGTTTTAGGGTCGGGTTCATTCGCTAAAATTCTTTCAACTAATGATAATTCATTTTCATTAATCGATGTTTTTGTTTTAAGTCTTGACATAGCGTCATCGATGTACTTCATACAAATCCTAAAAAAAAGTAAATTTTAATTTTTTCAATTAACTATAATAAATCTATTTGTACTCAATAAAATAATCCATGTTAGAAACGTATTTTGTCCAAAGTGTAGATGGTAAATAACGCCAAAATGGATATTTAAGTTCCAATAAAGCTACATTGCGCAGTGCATATTTAGCTGCATCTATGATCTTTTGAGGTTCTGAGTTATGTGGTAAATCTGGTCTCAAACATCCTAATCGAGCATCTAAAGCTACACGTCCAATGCATTCCAACGCCCACTTATGAATTTCATTATCAAAATCATGAGGCATTTCAGACTTTTTATTTTTCATTTCTTCCATTCTTTGCATTAAATGTAACGTTTATAATCAATAGCAATAATCAGTACAAGATATAATTAAGAGTTACCTTTGAATAAAATAATCTGATACTTCTTCAATAGGCTGTATATATTTTTTTACAGTTTGTGGCTGTAAAACTGGCTTTTGAACTTTTGTTCTAAATTCTCTCCATGGTTCTCCATGACTAAATCAAATTATTTTATATTAAAATTTAATTTAAATTCAGACAATAAAAAAATATATATATTTTACTTACACTCCAACTACACCAGGAAGTCTTCCAAAAAATTGCTTTCTTACTTGACTTTTGTATTTCACCAAACATGGCATAGACGGCCTGAACGGCGTATCTCCTTCTTGTCGATAGACTTTTTCTATTTCATCGGCATCATAAACAAATAACAAGTCTGGTCTACCTACAAGATTACCTAATTTTGCTATTTTTCCGTATTGTTTGTATAATATGTATGACACATTAGCCAAATCTGATATTTGGTATGGACCTATTAAAAGTAAATATTCATTATAAATAAATATTTGAAAATATATGAATATATATTATCAATTTTATTGTTTACCAATAATCGGCAACATTCTCCATGTATTTCCAATAATAGGTAATGGTGTTGGTCCTGGAACTTCACTGTATGGTTTACCTTTAGATAATTCTTCAGCAATTTCAAACTCGTTGATAGACTCCGATGATACAGCCTGAGTAGTAACAGTTGAAGATGACCGCCATCGTTTTGAGCATATTTGTAATGAGCGTATGTTTTTCATAATGTTATTACCTATTAACTATATATTAATAATAATATAAAGTTTAGATCTTCCAAATTTTCCCCCATCTTCTTATATAATATAACAATGGAAATTTTGTGAATTTTGGAAAAATAACTTAAAAATTTTCGATTTTCAACATTTTTTTTTAATAAAAGAAATTGACTACATTATTCTGGGAAAATTACTCGCAAGTATAAGAATTTTATTTTTAGAACTCCGTATGCGTTTAAAAATGTTAGCATCTTTTTTGAAATGAATGATAATTTTCCTAAAGTTTTTCGATTTAAAACTTGAAATTTTTACCAGGCATTTTCATACGTATCACAGAGAAATCCTGGAAATTTTTTTGAAATCCGGTGATTTATGTCCGAGTTTATAAGCTTCTTTTTTGTTTTGTTTTAGTCCATGCGCATCTTGGATATGCCAGACATCTTCGTGTGTATGTTTTTATATAAATAATCAATTTATTAATGAAAAGTGAGTCAAGGACAGCTACTAGAAAGTTTTATGATTATGAAATAACTACATTGTAATTTAAGTCTTTAATATAAGTAAGTATTAATATTTGTAAATAATTTTTACAGTTGTATCCAAGGTTGTTAAAAAAATCTTGTTTAAAATTTAATATAAGACCAATGTAATTTTGAAATGTTTAGTGTTTTAAACAATCAGTGTATAAAACGTACGTAATAACCCTGATTGTATCGCTGTATAAGAAAATGTTTATATCCTTTCTTAGATTAGACGCAACTATGGCAGAGGGCTTAGCCGCCTCCGAAAAATGATTGAAACTATGTATTATGAAAACATAGGGAGACAAACATTTTATCCTTAAAAAATGTTTTTTAGACGTATGTATGTCTCATAAGAATATTGAAAGTAACTTTTCTCCTTACAACATCATGATGGTGGGCAAAACAACTCAGCTAAGTTTTATTGTAATTAGATAAATGATACAATATATATCCGCAAAAAAACATTTAAAAACTAAAATTATTTATTTATGCTTATAATCAGTTCTTATATTTTCGAAAATCTGTATAAATTTTAAACGCAAATCCTATTCTAATTATCAAAGTATCAATGAAGATTTTAATAACCTTTTTTATTACTCTTTGCACAAGTCTCCGCGTAGTTAATATGTATATATATATTTACCTTTACGAAAAATTTTCATTAGGAACGTTCTAGTAGACAGTATACAACATCTCTGTAGATATTACCGCGCCACAACGTCGATAACTACTGACCATCAGTATCCAGTAAAAGTAACGGAGGATTCCATCCAATAATAAGCTATGGGGCAATGAACTACAGAAAAATATGATAATTTGTAGTGTAGCCAACGTAAACATTATAAAATCTTGGTATTTAAGTCACTATCAAAATCATACAGGTATTCAACATTTTTAACAGGAACAGTAGTGTATTTAAAACTGTATATTGGGGTCTGCATAAAAAAGTTCTCTGCCTCTTCAAAACGAAAAATAAATTAGATGATCATAAAATTGATGTCTTAGATATGTGTAATTATTTACATTATTAATATTTCATTATACAATATATATTTTTTAATAATATAATAATAATTATTTTTATTTTGCACACCAACATTACAAGATCCTATTTACACTATTAGTGTTATTTAAGCACCGGGAAATTATGAGGTAATGAGTTTGTCCTATAGTCCTTAAAAATTAGTTGCGAACTTTTTTTCTGGTTGATTCGTAAGTTTCAAAAATAACATATAAAATTTAATTTATATCATTATATTTAGCGAAGTCCTTCACTTTTATGAAGAAATATCTGATTTCCCTGGAATCCACATGTGAAACTAAGAGGTTAAGGTTCATTAACCTACCCCAATTATTTTTTTTTTAATTATATTTATTATTTTATGAAAATATTTTTAGGGTGGAGAAAAATTAATTATTAACTTTTTAATTATTAACAAAAAATTTTATTTGTTTTGCACCTCTATTATAACACCTACCTAAATTNCTACACGACCGCTACACTCCGCCGCTGTTGTCATCGTGTATTACGTTTACTTCGATTATTTTATTTTTTCCTTACTGTATATACATTTATTTTCTTTTAGTGTTTATACGTCTATTTACGTGTTATAATTTTGTTTAATAAAGTCTACCGCCATTAAAATAATTGTGTGTTGTAAGATATAACCCACACTCGTATATACTTTTAGCCTATAAGTAATTGACCTAAATATATATAATAATATGTATTTTGTATAATAAAATATATAATCAACTAAACTCATGCATTTTTAAAACAATAAAATTACATTATTCGCTGTAGTAAAACACTTTCGGAAATGAAGTTATTAAGGGTATCAAACTCTCAAAAATATATATGTATATGTTAAGGAAGGGTAAAATTAAAAGCACTCAAAAATTTCACTCTATTAGTATAAAATAACTCCTCAAATTCAAATTTTATGTTCATATAACTGCTTGCACACAATTACAAAAATTAGCTAGATAACTAAATGGTTCAATTTTTTTTCTTAAATTTTAAAAAGTATATATATATATATATATTATATTCGTTTTATACTCTTGAGGATTTTTAACTGATATGTTTTCAGTGACAACAAAAAAAATTAATTACTAGTCTATGAAATAAAAAAACTATTAATCGAATTTACAATTTTTAATTAATAATTACCAAAATAAAATTTTAGTACGTTGGATTTCTTTCTATACCTTTTATACTTATATTTAGCCTGCCTTTTTCGAGCTCTATCAAATGGTGAATTAATTTTGTAATAGCTCAAAATAAAATTAAATAACGAGGGGTTTTTACTTAGTATTTAAGTTTAGCAAGATGATGGTTTATTCTGGGTTATTACTTGTTTATTAAAATATGATATTTATATCTCTATTGGGGTTGTAGATTCCGAGGGTTTAGAACAATAAAGATAAAAAGATATAAAGAAAAAAATGTAGATCCCCTTTATTAAGGAATAAATATTAATTATTTGTTAAGAACCTTTAATATGACACTGAGCAATGGGGCGGTAATCTGATCATCGAAACCCTGTAATGTGTATTTTAAGGTGTCCCTTATTTTTTAAATTTTGGAAATTCTTCGGGCTCACCCCTCAAATTTGTGTGTATACATATAAAATGTGGCAGCAAAAAATTTCCGGCCAATCAGATAAGTTTAATCCGTGCCAATTTGGCATTGAAAATAGACCAAAAATGGTAGTCTTTTCGTTTTTAGCAATTAACTTGTAAATTAGCACTCTCACAAAAAAAATTATTGAAATTGAATTGTAAATTTATTAATTAAATTTACAATTCAATTTCAATAATTAAGAATTTAATTTATATAAAACAATTATTGTTTTATATAAATTAAATTCTAACAGTTTTTCTTCTATATCCATTAGTTTTGCTGAAAAATGCCAAATTACGTAATATTTCATAAAATTGTTAAAATAGGCATATTTACAAATATTTCATCATATCTGACGAACCATTTGTGTTACGACCTAATATTTCATACAAAAATTGTTTAAAATTAAATTTTACAAAATAAAAGTAATAAGTAAAAATGTCATTGAACCGATCGTTTTATTGCTACAGCTTAAATAGCTCGATCAAATTACGATTTTTACTAAATATATGAGTTTTATTGCTAGATTCTGTTAATTATCATCTGGTATATGATAAATAAGGTATACTCAAAGCAAAGTGTACCATATTTATCAGATGATATAATTATAATAAGTTCTTTTTCATCCATAGGATCTGGAAACGAAAAACCTTTTAATGTTTTAGCAAAACGGAATAAAAGGGGACAAACAAATTTCATAGTACCGAAACTTGTAGCTGAGTCAGATCGGTGTAAAATAAGTTCACAAGACGTAATTTATATTATTCAAGCAACAGTAGAAGCTTTATGCCATGAAGTTGATTTTTTTATTATAAATAAGTCTTCAGTACATAGATGTAGTGATGCTATGCGAATTGAACAGGCTATTTTAATAGACTATAGGTGCTTTGTGCCATATTTTTCGTATATTGAGCGCGAGACGCTTATTTTCTCAATAATACTGGTATTTTTGTTCATTATTGTTTTAAGCTTATTTTAAAAATTATTTTTAACTTTTTAGTTCGATGTGCTTTAAAAGCATGTTTTTTTATTTTTTTTTAACTATATTTATTTTGCATGCGTCTTCAGTAACTTATCTATTAATTTTTATCTATAATAAAAAATAATAACAATTAATTTTGTAAATTTTAATAAATATAAATATAGTTTAAAAAAACTAAAAAAACACGCTTTTAAACATGTCAAGAATATTAAAACTAAATTCGGTGTTCTTTTTGTATTTTTTTTACTAATTATTTAATTTGTAATATATCAAAAAGTATTTTATAATATTACACTTTTTAAGCTTCCAGGCGTACGATGTGGATTGAGAACTTTATCCCTAACTCACTGATAAAAACGTTGTCCTTAAAGATATTCAGACATGTCAGGATCACTTTGAAGATAAAATATTAAGTTGAATAACGTAAATTAATTTTTTTTTTTTCGAGGATATAAAAAATTTAAAAAATGATCTAACGTCCAATGCACAATACAAAAGATGTTTTTTATCATTAACTTGAACGACTATTATTTAATCTGCAATAGTTAAAAAGACTAATGTAGGTAGATTAAAAATAGGTAAAATAGTTTATCAATAAATAGTACATAAAAACTACTCAAATTTTGGGTAGTTTATGAAATTCCATTAATATACATTGATTTAGGTGTACACATGCATTACCAATTATTCGATACAATAATTATAGGAAAATATGCTGTACAATAATTTAACAACTTATATGTGGTGACACTGCATTAAGGCAGATTAGAGTTATCAGTAAATCAAAAAATACACCATCTGACCATATCCAATCTGTACCATTCTTCATATTAATATCAAATGTAAACAAATCTAGGAGCACGTGATTAATTTTATCATTTTACAATGGAAATTTCTGAAAAACTTTGTTTAAGCATATGTGGACAATAATTACTAGAATAGAATAAGACAAATTTTAATCCTATAAACTTATACTTTTATTTGATTAGAAAAACATGACTTCAGCCCCTTCGTTAAAGTGGGATGATGCAAATCTATCACTTCCAGTGCTTAAAACAATAAAAGAAAATTTCAAATTTGATTCTATGACTCCAATCCAGGTGTTTATAATATAACTTTAAATATCTTTATCAACTCATGTCATTCCATATGATTTTTAGGCAGAATCTATTAGAAATTTTCTAGAAAAAAAAAAAGATGTGGCTGCTGAAGCTGTGACAGGGAGTGGAAAAACTTTGGCATTCCTGGTTCCAATGTTAGAAATAATTCTGGTAAGTTGAATAGATATAGAAAATTATTTAGCAGGAAATGACAAGAAAATTAATGTAACGTTGATGTATTATAATTTAATATTTGCTTTGTAAGAATCATATTAAAGTTCATTATTTTAATTAAATTTTATACAAAAAAACATACTGTTTTGTTGAATAAATTTCAAAAAATTTATTTTTGTTCAAGCTTATATTATGAATAAACTTAAATAAAAAGTTGTCTAATTGAGTGTTCATTAATTAATCTAGATTTTATGTGTAAAATGATTATTTTTCAACAATTTTTGTTTATTTTTTAAGGAATGTGACTTAATCATTCACAGTCTTAATATCTATTAATTTTTTTCTATTTATAAAAGGCTTTATTGTTTAAACAGTAAAATTATCATTATCATTATAAACATAGTGTAGAACACTTGTTTATAAACACAAAAATAGTATAATATATAATTATAAAAAATTGCAATCAAAAATTATATATAAAATTTTACTTTAACTTCTATATCTTAAGCCCACCAATTTTACTATATTTAAATTTTTAGTTTCAATGTGAAGCAAAAAAGGTATTAATTTTACTATGATGTGTTTCTTTTTTGTGTATGTTACCACTTATTCTCAGCTCTCACTGGATCAATTTTGATGAATAATATGTCAAAAAATCATAAATCTTATCTTGTCGATGAAATTACCCTCAAAAATTGAAATAATTTTCCTTGTTCTCCGTAAAGAGAGGAAACCCTCAAATACCTACAAATTTAAAAATTGGTAATTTTTTAATTTTTTTTTAGTTAAAACGGTTATAACTTTTTGAATAATAGATGAAAAGAAACAAACAATTTTTTTATAGATACATTAGGTTTACCTATCATTTTTTTTGTAAATCTGACCGTTCATTTGCACATGGAGGATTCAAAATGTTAACATTTTCACAAAAAATTAACTTTTGAAAACATTCCAGAAATACTGACACTTTTATATATATCTTAAATTAAAGTGTATGTAATATATTTTACTATAAAAAAAAAAATTTTGAACTTAAGTTTATCTTCATGGTAATAATGTCTACCGTATTCAAAAATATGCTATTTTTGTAAAGAAATTCTCGGTTTTGTAGTTTATTTTAGAATACCTTACTAAAAAAGTACACCGATTTAATAATATAATTGACATAGCATATAATGTAATGTTGCCGAATCTATAACACTTATGTCTTTAATGCTTGGGTTCACATCCTCCTATGGCAATGAATTTTTTTGAGTTAAAAAACTTATTTGATTTTTGTTTAATTTTTTTTTAATAACTTCAGTAAATATCAAGGATCCTATCACTGTAGTGTCCCCTCGTGAAAATAAATTTCTTATTTATATTAAAATTATTTTATTATGTGATTTTTTTTTTTTTTTTGTGGCTGTCATTTATTTTCTTAGCTCTTGATCTACTTTTTTCAATGATACATCAAATGATGACAATTCATATCTGATTGAAGATATTACCCTAAAAAATTTACTTTATCAATTAATAAGTTTATTAGTCCACATTCTCCATGTTGAAAATTAAAATCATTCATTTCTTGTATTTTTAAAGTATTTATTGTCAAATTAAGTTTGATAATATTATAGATTTCAACTACAAAATTAAATCATTTTACTTTGCAATTCATTAATTTTTTTACTCTGTCTGTGTGTGCTACTACCAGTCTATAATATTCCAAATTTTTTGGTAACATGTTGCTGTATAAATAATTTCTAAAAAAAATAATTTTTAGTTTCACCTGAATTTAACAATGTATTTTTACAATTATAATCAAAATTAATAATACACTCAATTGAGTAGTTTTGTTTAATAACTTTTTGAATGTTTTTTTTAGTTAAAGTAAATAATTAAATTAATTCAGTTCTTTATATTTAAATTGTAAAATCTTATTAAACATATAAAAGTTATTTAGAAAATGATTAAGGGTATGGTTTTAGTGCGAAACGTGTGGTTGAAGAAAGAATCCTGGATTTCGCAGTATCGTATGATCTTGCTGTGGTAATTATTTATTTTAGAAAGCGCCAAGAAGATTCATAGATCACAGATTGATTATTTGATGTGTAAGAGAGAGAGAATTAAGCGAGTAAAAGATAGTAAAGTTATCCCAAACAAGAATGTAACTTCACAACATAGACTGATGGTAATGAAGTTGTTGTGCAGTTAGAAGAAAATATACAAAAACAGAAAGAACACAGGAGAAAAATCTAGGATCGGGTGATGGAAATTGAAAGGAGAAAATGAACAAGTGTTTTTAAAGAAGGTAAAAGAGAGGACAGCGTGGAATGTCATTGGAGACATAAATGATGTGTGGAATAGATTTGCTAGCTATGTAAAGAATACTACAAAAGAGATTGTTGGTGAGAGTAGGAGTAGAATGCCGTAAGACAAGGAAACTTGGTAGCTGGATGAGGACGTTCAAAAATCATAGAGGCTAAGAAAAAGCAGTTCAAAATATGACAGAAAGAGAATAGATTAGTTGGAGTATAAACTCTTGTGTAAAGAAGCCTAGTGTGTGGTTGGTGAAGCAAAATTTAAGAGGTAAGATTAGTTGTATAATAGTCTAGGAACATAGGAAGGCGAGAAATAAATCTATAGACTTGCAAAAGTAAGAGAAAAAAGGACTAAAGATTATCATTATGTAAGGTGTATAAAAAGTGCTGATAAGAGGGTGCTAACGAACGATGATGGTATGAAAAAAAGGGGAAAGAGTATTTTAAAAACTTACTGAATGAGGAGTATCCAAGAAAGATATTAGACATTAAAGGATATCTCATGGAATAGGGACTAGTAAACTTAATTAATGAACAAGAGGGTGTAGTAGGCTGTGGCATCAATGAAAAAGAATAAAGAAATAGGATTAGATGTATTGCCAGTAGAAATATAGAATATATAAGGTGGTGGTAGCATTAAAAATAAAGAAAGGTACATTAATATAATAGCAGATAACTACGATGGCACTTGTACCAAGGTTAAAAGTGTTGGAGGAGTTACAGAAAGTTTTAGGGTAAAAGTAGGAGTGAACCAAGGTTCTGCTTTAAGCCCTTAATTATTTTCTATAGTGATGGATGAAATTACTAGAGAAATAAAAGGAGAGGTTCTGTGGTATATGTTGTTTGCTGACTATATAGTGTTAATAGGAGAAAATAGAAAGATAATTAATCAAAGACTTGAGGTGTTGAGATCAGTGAATGCGATATGAGAACGGCTGATGTGGGAGGTCATGTCAAGTGGAAGTTTAGGATAAGGATGGCCATTCCTCAGTAGTTGGTATTAAGGCAAGGAAAAAGAAGAAGAGTATTTATTCATTATTAAACATTTAAATAAAAAAAACTACTTATCAAGATATAATTAAAGAAATAGGATTTGATGTTGCTTTTGTAATTATTCATCAATTTCTTAAAATAAAACACCATCTACAGATTTGCATTGAAATTTCAAAAAAATATTGAATTCTTGTTGAAATTTTTGTTCTATTAAAAAGAATTTTTTTTCTTACTTTGACATTACTTTAGAATAAATTTCCTTAATTGTAATAACAGTTTTAAAATACAGTAAAAATATTTTGAAAATGAAATATTTTAGAGTAGCACTTAGCAGAGATGAGAATGCATAGATGGATGAGTGAAGTGACTAGAGAAGATAGGATAAAGAACAAACATATTAGAGGGAGTATAGGTGTAGCATCAATTGTGGGTAAAATGAGAGAAAATAGACTTAGATGGTTTGGTCATGTTATGAAGAGAGAAGAATCGAAAAATGTAAAAACAGTTATAGAAATGAATGTTGAAGAAAGAAGAGATAGAGAAAGACCAAAAAAGAGATGGAGGGTTGTTATTGAATGCGATATGAGGATGGCTGCTGTGAGCGTAGAAAAAGAAGAAAAGTATTTATTCATATATTTATGAGATTTTTTTAAGTAGCACTTATTAAAACTTTTCTAAAATTGAAGAACCTTTTTACCCATTTTTAGCAATGATAGGTGGTTCAACTAGATTAAAATCAAGTTCTTTTGGCGAATTGATTATTAAAACCTTTACAGTGAATGCTGACAAATTTTATGGACAGACATACAAAAACATACACAAACCATCATAAAACCAATACCATTTTAGCTTTGCTTCAAAGCTAAAATACTTCAATTTAGAATGGTCATTTGACTCATACAAATCAATTTTCACCTTATACTACAATATCAAAAAACTAATTTATTTATTTAGAAACGAAGTGAACCTTGGAAAAAACATGAAATTGGAGGGCTTATTATATCTCCCACTAGAGAATTGGCTTCTCAAATTAGTCAAGTCCTTGCAGAATTTTTAAAAAATATTGATGGTTTAACTCAATTGCTGACACTTGGAGGCAATCCTATTGAACTCGATGTAAAAACACTTAACACAAATGGAGCTAATATATTAGTAGCAACACCAGGTCGCTTAGAAGACTTACTTACTAGAAAAATACCAAATTTAAATATTCATAAATCTTTGAAATCAGTAGTAAGTGAAGTTTATAGCATTTTTAGTAGTATATAATATCTAAAAGGTTAAAAAAACCATTTTTAATTAATTTTTTTTCAGGAAATGTTAGTATTAGATGAAGCTGATAAATTATTTGAATTAGGTTTTGAAAAATCAATTAATACAGTTTTACATTATTTACCAACACAAAGAAGAACTGGATTGTTCTCTGCTACTCAAACTAAACAAGTTGCAATGCTAGTAAAAGCAGGACTTCGTAATCCTATAATGATCGTAGTTAAAGAAAAACATTGCTTGAATCCAAAAAGGTGAATTTTTTTTAAATTATAGTTACAATATTATGTCATAATATATGTAAGGAAAATATATTTTTAATCATCATAAATTGATTATTAACACGTTCGCCCCGACGTGGCCACCGGTGGCGCACGGATCAAATTTCGGTCAAAAGTAAATATGTGTATAAAATNCGGATCAAATTTCGGTCAAAAGTAAATACGTGTATAAAATACTCCGCAATGCCATTTTATAGCGTACAATCACCATAGTAACCGTGTCCACCGGTGGCGCACGTCGGGGTTTTGAAAACTACTGCGTGTACCACCGGTGGTACACGTCGGGGTTTTGAAAAAGTTTAAAAATCGGAAAAGAATTTGTCGGGGCGAACGTGTTAAGTTATCTTATAATTTAATAGTATATATTGATAATTTATTATGCTATTATTTATGTCATTAGTTCAAAAAAATCAAACTACTTAAATTATTACTAGACTTGTTTTTATTGATTTTAGTCAGCAAATTGAAGCTATTTCTACTCCTGTGACATTAAAAAATTTTTATACAATATGCGAAGCTGATAAAAAGTTAGCTTATTTAGTTAACTTTTTAAAAACAAATGGATTAAACTTAAAATATATGTTATTCTTATCAACATGTGCATGTGTTGAATATTTTTCAATAGTTCTAAGAAGGTAAAATATTTTGAAAATATTATTCTTTTTATTTATTGATATGAATCTATTAAATTCCTTTAGTGTTTTAAATATTATGTGTCATGTCACACTTTTTTTCAAAAATACTTCTCCCGTACTATAGTGAAAATCATTAATACAATCTAAACATTAAATTTGCTTATTTTTTGTTTAATTCAGCTTAATACCAGAAATCAAATTATTTAGTTTACATGGAAAAATGAACAGTAAAAGGTATAAAACTTTCCAAGTATTTTGTCTAGCAGAAAGGGGTTAGTAATATTAAATTATCTGTTTTAATGTAAGTTTCATTAATCTATCATGTTATTCTTCTTATATATATATATATTATACAGGTATACATTTTTATTATAAGATAATATAAAAATTATAAAAAATATTATATAAAAATTATATTGTATAAAAAAATTTTAAATTATTAAAATTATAAAATAATTAAATTCCTTAATAACTTATTCAATAGAGATAAGATTATCAGTGCAAAAGTTGGTTAAACTTATTTGTGAAAAATCGATTTCAAATGATAAAAGAATGTTCTACTTAAATCAACTAATTCATAATTGTAGTATTTCTAATTCAAAGACTTGACTATTATCCTAAAAATTTTAAATTTGACTATAACAATGTGTTTTATTCATGTTTAAAATAAAATTTTGAAAGCAGGTTAGAATATTTTTTTTCCAATAATTTAAAGTATACTTTTTTAGAAGATTTAAAGGATATATTTTAATTTTGATGAAAAAAATTATCACTCCAATTTAACTTGATTTATTATTTTATTTATTTCTATTATTCCGCTAATTAAATGGATATGTCTTGTTGTAAAATTTACCCATTTCATTATTTTTAGGAATATTATTATGTACTGATGTAATGGCTCGAGGTGTTGATATACCTGAAGTTAACTGGGTTATTCAATATGATCCTCCTAGTAATGCATCTTCATTTGTTCACCGAGCAGGTAGAACTGCTCGTGTTGGTAAAAATGGGTCTTCTTTAATAATATTAATGCCTAATGAAGATGTATATACACACTTCATATTTTCAAACCAAAAAGTAAGAATTTTTATATAGGGTGATTCATTAAGGATAAGACACTTATTTTCTTGACACACTATTAAAAATTTTTAATTTTGTAAAGGAAAATATTGTTTGATTCAAAAAACTCTACAACAATATGTAGGTAAATAATTTTTTTTTCATCTCTTCGGGGTTACAATACTTATCATTAACTTTTTAAATGAAAACCACTATTTTTAAATTGATAATATGATAGAAAAATTGTACAAACATTTTTGTTTTTATAATTATTTTTACCGATATATCATTTGTTTTTTGAACATGTTCAAGTGTTTTTTAACCAAATTTCTATTGTTATTTTATTGTTTTGTATACAGAAGACTTTGATGACGAAGAATAGACATATACTCTTATATTTCAGACCAGTTAACTATCATATATTGTTGAACAACCAGTGAGAAAATTTTTTTGATAACTACCATAAAAATAATTCATGAATCATTGAAACAGATTATTGTTGCCTCCAGTATTATAAAAACCAAATTAGTGATAAATTTCTATTTTGAATTCAAAACTTTAAACAATTTTTAAAAATGAACAATTAATCTAAAAAAACAAAATTGTTTCTAAATTATTTTCTATTATACTATTAAGTTAAAAATAGAAGTCTAAAAATTTTATTTACCTATATATTATTGTAGAGTTTTTTGAATCAAACAATATTTTCCTTTACAAAAATTTAACATTTTCAATATTTCTGAGAAAATGAATGTCTTGTCCTTAATAAATCATCCTGTACTTTATCAAAAAAATTATAATAATTTTATAACTTATAAGGTAGTACTTGAATCTTTACCACCAATAGAAGTTAAAAATGTTGAAGAAGTTGTTCAAAGAGTACGTAAACGTCAACTTAAAGATAGAAATGTTTTTGACAAGGCAAATAAAGCATTTGTATCATATATCCAAGCGTACTCAAAACATGAATGCAATTTAATATTGCGTGTGAAAGGTTATAAAGAGTTTTTAAGTTTTTCATTCATTTTTTTTTTTTTAAAGTTTGCGTATAATGCATTAACATAAGTTATATAAATAAATAAATTTAATACAAAAATGTATGAACTTTTCTTAATATATTTTGTTTTAGATTTAGAATTTGGGAAACTTGCTACAGGTTTTGGGCTTCTTAGGCTTCCAAAAATGCCAGAACTGAAGAACAAGACCATTAATGATTTTATGCCCATTGATGTTGATTTTAACTCCATCAAATATCAGTATATATATATTTTATATATTACTAAAATAACAATATAACATTAATTATAATTAATTATTATTATATACTGAATAGATCAATAAAATGGGCAATTATATAGAATGTTCAGTAATAAGGAATTGGATTTTTATATCTCTCATTGTTTATAAAAATTGACCAGTTTCCTTACTTACTGAACACCTATATATAAACTCTATAAAACATTGTATTTGATAGGGAGATAGTATTTTAATGTTATATTTAAAGCATTTAATAATCATTAAAATTAGTGATGGGAAATATTGAATAGTAACTATCAAACTATTCGATAGTTGTCCACTATTCAAACTATTCGATAGTCATTCAAAAACTATTCGAATAGTAAAAATATTCGATAGTCTATTCGAATATTTTTTTAAAACTATTCGGTACCTCTATTCGAATAGTTTTTAAAATATTTGATAGTTTATGTTAAAAATAAAATATTCGGTTGTATAAAAAGTTCGAATAATTAATCAATAGTTTAAAATATTTGAAAATGCTCATTACTAATTATTTTTATTATTAATTGTATCATATTTATAATCTTAGTACCCTGAATAAACAGTTTTAAAACAATCCTATTTAGATCGTTAGTGTTATTAAAATAGCAAAACTATAAATACAACTATAATTTTACATAAGACCAATATTTTAGAAAATTTAACTTTACATATTTTTTTTTTTACGAAACATTTTGTTGTAAAATGATTATTTCGAAAATTAAGAATGATTTATATTCAAAAAATGAATTTTACCAAATTATTTTTTTATTTTAATTTTTTGAGCAAGTAAAAATAATTTTAGAAAATTTTTGTAAATACCATTTTAAAAGAAAATATTAAAATCTATAATTTAAATTCTATACATTAATTTTCAACCCATATTTATCAGTTTTTACCAATGACTCACAAACTAAAAATAAATAAAATGGTACTTTTTACTGTTATTAATTGTATAATAATTTATTTTAAGTATTCGCTAATTAACTTCTTATTATAATTAATTGTACTTCATACAAATTTTAATTAGAACTAATCGAATATTTTTAAAAACTATTCGATAGTCTATTCAGATAGTTTTAAAAACTATTTTATAGTTTAAAAACTATTCGATAGTTTATGCTAAAAACACCCTATTTGGTTGTACAAAAACAATTCGAATAGTTATTCGATATAATTGTTTGCCAATTTTAACAGTTCAGTTTTTTTCTGGAGGTAGGAGTGGGTTATAATAAGAATAAGAATATGTAAAACTACTCTATGGACACTTAATGTTTTTGAACAAAAGAAAATGGGGAAAAGACCACAAATTACACAAGTAATGCACAATTTATATGTTTTTTAGCTATTTTGTTATAGTAAGTTAAAAGTTTAAAAGTATCTTAAGAGGTGACTTTTGTTTTCTTATTTTAATGAAAGTCCTTTGTCATACAATTTTTAAATAATCCAAAAAAAAAAAAATAATCTTGCAAATAAAACTGTTAAACAAATGACAAACAGTGCTGCTGAATGCTAAGGTGGTGACTAAATAATGAATACTGCTTCACACCACATCTTAACCTTGTATTATAACTAATAAATTTAAAAAAACCTAAATATTGAATTTAAATTTTATCCTTAGTTAATATTTAATTCCTTTAGAAATAATGAAAGAGAAGAATCTCGACAGAAAAAGTTGAAAAACTATTTAGAAACGGGAATGTGGCCATGTCGAATAAAACACAAAAAAGGTCTTAAACAATCAGTTGCTTGGGCTGATGCTAAACAAAAAAAATTAGAAAGAAGAGAAAAACGAAAAAGAAAGAAAGAATTGCGTAAACAAATGGAATTGGAAGGAAAAGCCAAAATAAAAAAAAAACGTGAACAAGTTTTTACTGAAGATGAACTTAACGATTTAGCAAAAGATATTGCACTAATGAAAAAGTTAAAAAATAAGAAGGTTTGTAGTTTTTTTTCTAAAAAATTTAAGTTTTTGAAATTTCAATTATAAAATCCTTGACACTTTAATCAAGTTATTTATAATTGCTAAAATTTTAAAAATTATTAAGTTAAGAATTATAGCAATAGGTTTAAAGTAGCGGTACTCACTAAGATTTTTAAAAGCCCAACTATGAATTTTAAAAATTTCTTGCAGCTACATACTAAGGAAAAAGGTTTTATTCTCCTAATGTACCCTCTAGTAAATTTAGTTTTAATGTGAGCCATATAATATTTGTTATAAAGCTGCATATGGCCTATGAACTAAATAGTAAGTACAGCTGGCTATTATTTCTATCATAACACATTGTTTGTATACACCAACTGAAAATTCCATATACTAAACTAAGAATGTAAAATATTATAAACAAATTCTATTATCAAAATCTATTGGTTTGAACTTGTATATATCATATTTGCAGGGTGCTCTTCTAAGGAATTCAATAGAGGAAAGGATCTTTAGCCTTTTCCCCTTATCGATCTCTCCTTTCCTATCTATAACATATTGTTAAATATTTTGTAGGGTGATAATACCAGTGAATGAACCTACTAATTGACAAACACCACAAAGTTTTAACTTATAAAATATTTTCATTTAGTCCTACCTCAATATTACAATTTTTGATACATCAATAGCTATTCATTCAATGGAAATTATAAAATGAAATCATTCAGTATAATATTATAAATTAAAATTGTCATAGTTAATTATAAATATTTTTACATTGTTATTATAGAGAATTTTCCAATAAAGCACTCGTAGCTTTATGAGTGTGATATGAAAGTATAAATTAATAAATAGTTTTAAAATATGAAAAACTCTTAACTATTCATTCACTGGTGAAGTCATCTATATAATTTATATATGTATCATTGATCTTTTTTTTATTATTTTTTGTGAAAACTTTAAATGAAATAATCTATTTATACTTTGGGCATTAAAGTTAATGTTTGCCAATTGGCAACTTACAATAATATTTTATTTTAAAATTAATTAGTTAATCATTTTAAGTATTTTTAATTGCATTACCCTGATTTTACAAGTTCTTTTAATATTTTCTCGGCAGTTAGTTCACATTTAAAATAATTTATGTACAAAAATTTAAATGTTATGTTCGATTTAAAAAAAAAATTGTGTGTTTTCTATAAAAATATCAAATTTTTATATAGTTTTTAAAAATACTTGAAATAACTTTTTAAATATATTATTTATTAATTATTAATAACTTATAGTCTTCAAGAATTAGTAATTTTGTTTTAAATCTGTGACCAAAATTGAATAACCATCATTCCATTATATAATATACATAAAAAAATTCGTCGTTTTAAGAGTTTTTGGTAACTATACAAAAATTTGCAATAATTAATTTGTGAAAAAATTATTGACGATAACGCTAAAGACATATTGTGTCATGTGTTATTTAAAGCTATGAAAATCATAAATTCANGATAACGCTAAAGACATATTGTGTCATGTGTTATTTAAAGCTATGAAAATCATAAATGTGCACATCTTTAGACTTGAGGTAAAAAATAAAATATTTAAATGAACATTTTATTATTAAGTAATACATCTGAGTATTGAAAAATTTTAATGGAACAAACTCCCTAATGTATACCCTTTTAAGTAAATGGATAACGGCCGTGGTTAAATTACATAATTGCAAAGTAAATCAAATGCGATAAAAATTTTGTTCTCTGGGGATACCGTTGTAAAGATAGTACGAAAGCAATTTGATTGAAAACACTTAAAAAAAAGTGCAAGACAGTCTGAGAGATTTTTTATTGTATATATAAGAAGTTTTATCTCTAAAAATTAAATTTAACTCGTAATAATTTTATACAAATTCAAAAAAAAAAATTGGCAAAGAAAATGGTACGTTTAGCCGGAGTATGCTGAAATCAGGTGATCAACTTGTTTGTGTTTTTAATAGACTCTGGAATCAATTAATACACAAAATTAGTCTCAGAATTTATATGACCTACACCAATTAAAAGTAGCTTAATTCCCTCTCTCCAGCGATAAGTTAGCTAATAATTCTGTATTATGACTAATATTTCTGAAACTCATCGTCTGATAAAGCTAGATAAATTATATAAACTAAAAATGTTTAAATATTACTATTATATAGTTAAAAGATGTCATATCGTATTTCATGAAGACATTTTAGTTCTCAGTAATCACATAAATTAAAGTAAATTTTTTACTAATGTGTATTATTCATATTTCAGATTTCAAAACAACAGTTTGACGAAGAATTTGGAAATATTCACGCAGTTGATTAGTTTTAACATGTTATTATAATTCGTTTAAATAAAATTTTATACGTTTAAAAAAGTGTATATATAAATATTTTAATATTTTGAAGATGAGGTTAAATGGATTCTCTAACTTACAAGTGTTAATGATATCTATTAAATAATTTAAATAAAAATATTTTTTTGCTGAATTTTAAAGAGTTCAAAAAATAAAAATTTTCTATTATTAAATATTATATACATTAATCCATAATTGTTTATCGTTATCAGCACTTAAGCCTCTATCCCAACAAAAAATTTGACAGAATTTTTACTGCGCCTGTCCACTTGACCCAACCTATGGCTGAAGGAATCTAATCCATAAATTTTTATAATTTAAAAAATAGCTACCAAGTTTAAACTCAATTAGACTCCATTAACACGTAGTGAACTTAACGTTTCACGTGGAACTGATAATTTAATCGTCAAATAATTTCTTCTGTTGTTTTGGCAAAAAAATTGCAGACACTTTTTATCAGTATTTGTTCATCATCATCATACATTAAAGACAATCCCTTGTTGTTGAAGCCACTCTTTTCTGACGCCAAATTCTTCAGTGAAACAAAAAACGCACAGTTCACGAGTTCCAGTATATTTTTAAAATATTGCTTCCTTTGGCTTCTTCTTGGTTTCTTTCCATTTATTTTTCCTTCGAAGATGTTGATTATAAAGTCATTGTGTCGGATGATGTGTACGATTAACTATTTTTCTTGATTCAATCACCTTTATTAGCTGTCTTTCTTCGAGTACTTGCTCATTTCTTTTCTTGTGTTTATTATTTTTCTCCATATTTATAACTCTAATGCTTCTGTCTTATCAATAATCCATGTTTCACTGCCATATGAAAACTGTTTCGTACGAGGCAGCTATATTGTAGGATGGCTAATTGTGCATCGCACTAAAAAGCCGTATTACCTTAAGCCTGTTAAAATAGCTATTATTGGAGAGGGAGGTGCACCTGGGAGGCTAACCGTACATACAATAAGTAACGAGAATAGACAATAATTAAATAACAAATAACCACATATTAGAAGTTCTTTAAAGAGTATCTTAAATTTAAGGGGGGCTTTAATACTAATGGCCGGCGAAGAGACATAAAACAAAATAGTTTAACTCCATTAAAAAAATAATATAAAACTCAGCTGAATAGATGAAGTTGTTAATAGTGATGAGTGCACTATATGAGATCTTGTGGTAATAGTGTCGAACATCTGAGTATCGCGAGTTAGTATAGATCCAGCACGTAATGGCAGATGAAAACAGACAGCGGAAAAGCGACGACGGCAATGAAGTTATTTAGTGATGGTCATGGCCCAATCACTGATGGCTTCCAAGGGCACGAGAACTTAGAGTACAAAGGTGCAATAAATAAATAATAAGAAAAACGGCGTACAATGGCCGAACAATTTACCATTCAAGTGAAGGCGCTTGATACAAAAAAAAATATGACACAAAACAATTGACCCACAGACTTACGACGATGGACAAAAGCACACTCCAGACAAATGTTTTAACGAATACTTTACGCATGCTAATGCTCAGATATTTATTGATGAAAAGCTGATTCTTGTTTTGGAATTATTGCATTCCCAATGCTATTCTTCTTTTGATGTCTGGTGTTGATTTATTATTGAAAGCTATGATACTTCCAAGTTAACAGAATTTTCGGACCTGTTGTAATCATGTTGTCTTGTTTTTCATCAGATCTATGCTTAATTCAAAGAAAAAATTGAATTGATATAGCGACAAAGGGCATCTTGTCTCACTCCTCTCCTTATTCTTGCTTCTTTTGCCGATCCAATGATATTTATTTCTGTTGTTTGATCTTTATATAAATTGAGTATGAGCCGTCTATCTTTCCAATCAATTCCTTTTTCTCTTAATATCTTGAATAAGATTTTCCAATCCACTTTATCGAAAGCCTTTTCTAGATTTATGAATGTCGCTATAGTATTTTTATTCAGTGTAATTCACTCAAGGATTTGTTTCAGTACTAATATCGCTTCTTTTGTTCCTCGCTCTTTCCTAAATCCAAACTGATCTTCCGATATATTTTGTTTAATGTTCTTTCTCAATTTGTTTTTGATAATGTTTAGAAGAATTTTATAGCGTGAGAAAGGAGCGCTATAGTTTTCACATTCCGTTGCATTGTTTTTCTTCGGAACTGTTATAGTTCTACTCTTGACAAAATCCAGTGCTAGACTCCCACTATTATAGCTATCTTTAATGGTTTTAAACAATTAATATTTTGTCTTTTCTCCTACATTTTTCAGTAGTTCAGTCGGGATATCGTCTATTACTGTTACTTTTTTGTCACTCAGTTCGCCTAGGGACTTTTCGAATTCACTTATCAGTATTTCTAATCCTTTTCTACCTTCATTTACATCTATTTCATTTTCTATACACTCCTCTTCATTTTCGATTATATTTTATAATAAAAACAAATTTACTTTACTTTATACATGTATTTTTAACATGTAGTTATTATCATTATGAAATTTGAACAACTGTCTCCTCAGTACCCTCTTAATAGTTATTTAAACACCTCGAATGTTAAATAAGTGATGATTTTAATTTTTAAATTTGTTTATTAATCAAGTTATGAATATTTGTAGTATAAATAAATTTCAAAATATTTTTAGCAAAATCTATTAATCTCGAAAAGACTATATATCACTTTTTTATGATAATAACTAATATATAAATTTAGGTTTTGAAAATTCAATTTTATGCAATGGTGTATTAGTTAGAAACACAAAGGCAATACAATATTTGTTGACACATTTTTTTTCTCATTATCATTTCAAAATAAGAAAAAAAATTCATGGTAGCTTATTATTAAAAATATTATTTGTACTTCCCTATTAAGTATGAACTAAACCCCCTCAATGATTGGCAATGAGTTAAATACATCATGGTGCAATAGTATCGCAATATATTTTTATTATGTAAAGCAATATTAATTCAAAAAAAATATTAAGATTATTAATAAAAAACATTTTACTTCATGGAAGAAAGAATACATTGGTACCAGGTTGATGACGTAACGTCTGAACTACGCCATTTCACTAGAAGGCGGTCGTCGGCGTTCCTTTTTCGTCCCGCGATAACATAAACAAACATTTTTCCGTCCTCCAGGCCTTTCGGTTTTTAAGCAACTGTTTCTCTCAAATGCTGAGATCTGTACCATCTACGTATTCCGTATCATAGTAACAATTTAAACATTCACGACACATCTAAAATACTAGCAAAATAATGGGCGAAAATGACAAGTTAAACATCGACAACATCATATCGAGATTATTAGAAGGTATATGTTTCAATTTATCATAGTGTGAAAGAATCTGATAATTTTACATTTTTAACTGATTTGTGTTCTTTCAATATTAATGCTTTTTTAATTGTAACAGTACGCGGAGCTAGACCCGGTAAAAACGTACAGCTATCTGAAGGTGAAATTCGAGGTCTATGTTTGAAATCTAGAGAGATTTTCCTATCACAACCAATACTATTAGAACTAGAAGCGCCGTTAAAAATTTGTGGTTAGTGCAAATTAATTTGATATTTTTTCTATATATATATTTCAGCGAGTGATTATATTAACTTATTTATTGCTTAAAAAATAATAAAACCTGCATGGTTAATGAACAACTTGATGTCACAAACTTCACCATTTAGTACTTATCTGACATAAAATTTTTTTTATGTATGAATGAATATAATAATTCTTTTTGAAAGATAATTTACATTGTTCTTAAAATTTCTGTAATAATTTTTTTAAGTATGACTAAAATGGTATATTTTTTATTTTAATTTATTATGTTTAAGTTAATTAAATGTAATAAGTACCCTATTTCTTAAATATATTCTTAATAGTTTGAATATATGTTCATTTTAAACTTTTTTTTTAATTTTGTTATAAATATATTTTATCAACTATAGTTGAGATATTTATTAACTTCAGTAAATTATCATCTATATCTAGTGTTCTAAATGGAACTTTAATTAGTAGAACTGTGAAGTGTACCAGGACTTAAATTATATTGTATAATAAAGTAGTTGTCTATACATGGAATAACCATAAACCTATATCATTATTACGTTGTTAATTAATTTTTTTAGGTTAAAAAGAAAAAATTTAATGTTACCTCTTAATCTCAAAAACTTGATATACCAGTTAATATTTTATTACATTAATTGTATTAATTAGCAAATTTTTTGCTCTGTGTAAAAATGCATTGGTTATTTTTTAAATTTATTTTTTGTCATTTGTTATCATCATGATAGTGACAAATAAATAATTTTTAAATACTGGAAGAAATGTATTTTAAACTATAATAATGTTTTTATTATAACTTGAAAATTTAATTTTACATCTTAAGTCATAGCATTATAATATTGATAACTGGAAAGTCTAAATAATAATTGTATATATTTTTATTTTTATATATTATTATTTCAAAACATTAATTTACAATTTTTTTTTAATATTTCAAAATCTATTTATGAAACTTAAATTATTAATTATATTTATAATTATTAATGTTTGTACAATTTAAATTAATATTAGATTTTATTCTATTTTAGGAGATATTCATGGTCAGTATTATGACTTATTGCGACTATTTGAATATGGTAGTTTTCCACCAGAATCCAATTATTTATTCTTGGGAGATTATGTGGATCGTGGTAAACAATCTCTGGAAACTATATGTTTATTATTGGCATATAAAATAAAATATCCTGAAAATTTTTTCCTATTACGTGGTAACCATGAATGTGCTAGTATTAATAGAATATATGGTTTTTATGATGAATGTAAGTATACAATATGTAATTGTTTTATAAATTAATGGGATATTTATTGCATTTTTTTCCTCAATCTAAATTTTTAATATATTTGAAACTTAATTTAAACAGCAATTTATGTATCTTAATCTAAAAAGAAAATTATTAATAACCAAAATAATATTAAAAATTATATTAAGTCTAGCCACACCTTAATTATTTTGTATTTTATATAATTGAACATTACAATTAAATTTTTAGGCAAACGACGATATAATATAAAATTATGGAAAATTTTTACGGATTGCTTTAATTGTTTACCTGTGGCAGCAATAGTTGATGAAAAAATATTCTGTTGCCATGGTGGATTAAGTCCTGATTTGCAATCAATGGAACAAATTAGGCGAATTATGAGGCCAACAGATGTGCCTGATCAAGGATTATTATGTGATTTATTATGGTCTGACCCTGATAAAGTACGATTTTTTTTACTAGTTAAGATTTCGTTAATTTATGCACTCAATACAAGTTTAACAAATAAACAAGTTTTACAAATACAAGTTTATATTTAATGAATTTAATTATTTACTAGGATACTATGGGTTGGGGTGAAAATGACAGAGGTGTTTCATTCACATTTGGTGCTGAGGTTGTGACTAAATTTTTGCATAAACATGATTTTGATCTCATATGTAGAGCTCATCAGGTTGGTATTCTAATAATTTAGTAAAGTTTATTGGGTTGTAGATTTTAATCGTGTATTAAAAAGTTAGACCTATATTGTTATACTGTAAGTATTAATTTTTATATAAAAATCACAAGTTATTTCGCTGCAATTTAAACTGAATGGTACTCTCAAAAATGGTAGCAATTTAAATTACAATGACTTTGTAAACCTATTTTGATAAATAATGTATATTTATACACTGACATATATATACTATTTAATATCCTAAATTATACTGAATGTGTTGATAAAATACTTAGGTTGTAGAAGATGGCTATGAATTTTTTGCCAAAAGACAGTTAGTTACATTGTTTTCGGCACCTAATTACTGTGGAGAATTTGATAATGCTGGAGCAATGATGTCTGTAGATGAAACGTTAATGTGCTCTTTCCAGATATTAAAGGTAAATAACTATTACTTTTTATAGTAATATTTTAAGTTGCTATTGTGCAATAATGATTTGAACGAAAGAGTTAGTTTTTAATTATATGAAAAACATTATTCCATTGTTAATGAATATTGAAATCCCAATAAATTACGTTACTTATCATCTTCACAATAGCTTCTATTCTAATTTTTTGTTGTTACCCATTTGGGAATTAAAAGCAAACAGTGCAGCTGCACATCAATGCTAAGGCTGTAGCTGAATGATCCACTGCGTTACATCCACAAAATTGTGGAAATATAATTACAAAACTTATAGTAGTTAAAAATTAAATTAATAGACAGTATTTTAAACTTTTATTAGGTTTGAATTTATTTAATGTAAATGATCTTTTGAAAATGCTTCTCTTGTAAGCATAGTTAACTGCCTACAGAATCTTTTACAAATCCTTGTTTGTATATATCTGTTACATTTTATAAATGATATTCAAATATGACTGTTAGTTGTGATTGAGCTATTAATAACTATGTGAATTGATTTAATTTATTTTATGTTATGAAATTTAGGTTAAGTTATAACTTGCAGTACTATGATTTATGATTTAAAAATAAGTTTAATTGGAGATACTCAACTTAAATAATACTTTGATAATTTTTAGTGAGCCTGATGTTTTAATACATAATGTAATCAAAATAAGTTATTTGTATTAAAATATTTATAATGTTGAAGAGCATTTAATTAATTTTTAGCAAAAATAACTTAAATGCAATTATAAATATACATATTTTCATATATATGGATGATACTTAACAATATTATGTCAGCAACATTACTATATAAGTAAAATGTAAATTTTTATAAATTTACATTTATAATCAATACATTTTTTTTTATTGGTTGTAAAAAAATAAAAAAAATAGTAGATTTACAACTTAAATTGCTATTTGTAGCTATGATAGTAACCCTGTACTAATTAGCAGTAACCTCTACATTTATTTATAGATTAAAATCCTAAAACTAATTTGTGCATATTTATTAAAGTGATATTTTATCACTTAAAAAAGTAAATTAATATCACTTTGTCTTTTTAAGACTGATAGATTCAAGTACTGGAGACGCATAAAATTTTATGATGCTAATCAATCTTTTCCATTGTCTAATTAGTAAGTGTCAGTGGGGTGCAATTATTAATAAATTAATAAATGCGCTATCACCTATGATTGACATATAACTTATTATATATCATTAAAATTGCATTGCAATTCTATTTGATGTCATAAGCAACTAATTAAATTTAGAGTGTATTTCTTAACAGAATGAAAAATTATTAATATTAAGTACATATATTGTTTCCAGTATTAATAATTTGGCCATTATTACTTTCTTCCCTATTATCACTTATTGTAGTCTAAAAACGTATGTGAGGTATATTGGTTAATTTAATTTTAATTTCAAATATAGATTTTTTAATTGTCCATATCAATATTTACATAAATATCACAATTTCAAAAATATTTAATAATTTTAATATGATTATGTAATGATTAAAATAGAAGAGTACAAATACATTTTTCTTATAAAATTTTGTCTAGATGCACAAGTTTACACAATATCATATATTTGTATGGTATTCTACTGTGATCAAATTGAAAGGTGAATTTTTTTTATATTTTCAAAATCTTAATTTATTCTTCCAATTCTATATCATATCCTTCAAAGTAATCCTTTACCTCTGCAATACACTTATGCCAACAAATTTTCTAGTCATCATAGTACTTGGTAAAGTTCTCCTTCGAAATGGCCTACAAACCCTGCGATATCTCTTCAATTGAATTAGAAAGGTGTTTTTGGAGTGATCTCTAAAATTATCTGAACAGTCAGAAATCACACACAGCTAATAAATAAGGAAAATAAGCAGATTGTAGAACAATATTTGATGAACTTTTGGCTAAATGCTCATGAAGAACCAGTGCCATGTGATTGGGTTAAGATAACGCATTATCATGATACAGAAATTAAGAATTTTTGCCATAACTACTGCTTATCTTGTGAATAATTTCACACAAACGACTCATGACATTTAAATAATATTCCTTGTTAACAATTTGACCCGACAGAAGAAATTTAGAATGCTCTACGCCATGATAGTTGAAAAATTGTCAACATGATCTTGATTTTTGAGCGACTTTGTTGATCTTTTTTTCTTTTTTGGCTCACCTTTGGTACAATATTTGCTCGATTGATCGGTTTTTTCCAGTTATGATGCATTTCATTACGTCTTAATAGTTAGAAAGCATTATTTTACAGATGCTAACACAACAGTCTTTTTCATATAATCAGTGTTTTATGAACCATTCTAGATTTGACTATTCTCAAGGCCAATTCATGACTCAAATGATATGCCTGAACTATCAGCGATGTCTCTGATAGTCAATTAATGATTTCCAAACACCATTTTAGCTTCGATGCAAAGCTAAAAAGGTATTAATTTTACTATGATTCGTTTTTTTGTGTTTATTACCACTTTTTCTCAGCTCTCACCGAATTGATTTCTTTCAACTGTACGTCAAAAGATCACAAATCGTATTTAGTTGAAAACATTACCCTCAAAAATTGAAAAAAACTTCCCTCATTCCCTGTAAATAGGGGAAATCTCCAAAAAAATTACAAATTTAAAAATCGCTAATTTTGGAAATTTTTTTTCTTAAAACTGCCATAACTTTTTCAATAATGATTATATCAATATAATTAATTTTTTGATAGATACATTATGTCCTTACCTATCATATGATATATTTTTTTATAAATCGGACCCTTTACCTGCTGACAGGCGGGATTCAAAATGAGTACTTTTTTAAAAAAAATTATCTTTTTCAACTTAATTTTTGTAAGTGTACCGGAAAAACTGACACTTTTATATATACCTTAAATTAAAGCTAATGTAATATACTTTATTATGGGAAAAAAAATTTCGGATTGTATTTTGTCTTCACGGTGAAAACAATCATCAAAGTTAAATAAAAAAAATACGATTTTTGTAAAAAAATTCTTTTTTATATTTTTAACTTTGTAATGCTATAACTTTTTGAAAAATGTATGGATCAACATAATTTTGTTATGAGAAATAATATTTATATCCCTTCTTCATTCGACATACTTTATCTTAATCAGGATATAAATAAGGAAATAGTGAATCATGTAGCTTTTGGAATAATCCACCAATTTTTTAAAATTAAACACTATCTAAAGATTTTCATCAAATCCTTTTTTATGATAGTATTTTAATCACTGTCAGATATCATTATACTTAATCCAACTATGCCACATCACTAATGTGCTGTGACCCCCCTGTGCAGGGTTTTTTTTTTACTTACTTTATATGATATTTATCACATCAAGCAAGTCACATTCACATACGTTCCTATGTTTTTGCCTAATTTGATACCATATTCTTTGCTAAACTCGTGCCTGGCCTTGAACTCGTTGTACCACTTGTACAAACAAGTGTCTTTGAAGACATAATCTGAACCTCATAGGCTTTCTGTAACATCCTCAACATTGAAACTAATTCAGTCATGAAAAACTTAAATAATATATTTTTATAAATTTCAATTGCTTCATACACTATATTAGATCTTACTATGTGAATGTCTTTTAATGTTCTTTTCATTTCTTTAAAAATAAACTCATCCAATTGTTCAATATAAAAATTTGTTTAAGTCTGGCAACAGATTCAAACTAGTCCATATCTTTGTCTTTGAGTTATACCAATTTTATTTCTAAATTAATTTATATATAAGTTATATTTTGTTTATAACAGCATGATAACACTGATTAAGATGTTATTTTTGTCTGTACTTTTTTTTTTAATTATAACATTGTATTACTCAACAGTTATGGAATGATGTTTTTAATATATTAATATAAAATCATTTGTCAAATGTAAACACTATTTATTTTTGATAATTTGTTTATTTGTCCTTAGTGTAATATAATATAACAATAAATATATAGGTATTCATTAAGTAATATTTAGATTAAATTTTATAAATAGTTGAAATAATAGAAATCTTTTTTACCTTGCTTTTGAGAACACTGTATTTTTAGTTTCAAACAATAACTCATGTTTGTATGAATTGAAAAATACCCTTTGTTGTATCACAGTATTTTTACTTACAGATAAATTATTGTTATGAATAAATTTCTTAATGAATAATGAAATTTTATTTTATTTTAGCCGGCCGACAAGCGAAAATACATGTATGGAGGACTATCTTCCGGCAGACCAGTAACACCTCCTAGAGGTTCGGGTAAACAAGGAAAAAATAAAAAATAACCCTACTTGATGCAATATAAATTAATATATTTAGGAATGCAACATCAAAGAATTATTTTAAAATTTATGTGTTATAAAAAAAATTGTGAAAAAAACAAATGAAATTTTTTTATAGATAAAAATTGTATCGAGTAACTAGTTGAAATAATAATGTATTTATATCATTATGTACCTTTGAACTCCAAATTACCTAACGTAAATTTCAAGATCATATTTATTAACTTGTATACTTGGAGTATTTATAATAATTTAAAATTATTGATACATTGTATTTGCACTTATTTTTTTTTTTCAACTCGATCTTTTTATTTTCTAGTTTAAGTCTTTTAAGTTATATATATATTTTTTTTTTAACTTAGTTTTGTCCATACTATTAAATCTGCATAAAATTATATGAAAATGACGTTGCCATTTATTTGGGATTAATTATTCCAAATAAATAGAAACAATAAAATGATCAACCTAAGTAGTTTTAATTATTTTTTAATAACTTTTTGCAAAATTTTACATACATATTACACAAATAATATGTCAATAATAATTTCCAAGAGCTATATCAATATTTAATAGAATTATATTAAATATCAATGAAATTAAATTTGTTATTAACTTATTAAGTACCAATTCTGTAATCTTTTAATAAACCTATTTAACAATTTTTCATAGTAATTATGTTCACAATTCAAGTACAGTGTAGATAAATTAATGATACATTATTGTCATCGATATTATAAATTTATTTTAATTTAAAAGATTGATTTTTTTTTTTAATTTTGGAACCGTTAATTTTTACTGTTAGATTTTTGTAATTTAAAATTTTTTTATCCACTAATTACAATAATTAATATTTTAAAACAACTATTGATTCTAAGCAAATCTTTTGGTGACATAAGTACAAAAAATGATGGTATATATATTCTAAATACATAATTATTTACAAATTAATTGAAAAAAAAAACATTTGTTTATAAATTATTTGAAAAATTACAAATTTTAGTTTACTTTTTGAGTATATTAATATGGCAATGTAATTTGCAATTTATTTAATAAACTTGATTTATGTTCTTATTGATTGGAATAAATTCGTCAACTATGAAAGATAGATTTTTAAAACGTTAAGTATAAGATAATTTTTACTATATAACTATACTTGTACAAAGCTTAAAAATTTACTGAAACTTAAAGATAAAGAAAAAATTATATATGGATCCAATTTTTAACTTTGATGTGAAGCTGAAAAGGTATTAATTTTACCATGTGTTAATATTTTTTTTTGTCTCTACTTTTCTCAGCTCTCACTAAACTGATTTTTTTTCAACAATACGTTAAAAAATTTGTGATACTTCACAAATTGTATCTAATTAAAGGCATTACCATAAAAAGTTGAAAATTCTTCCCTCATCCCCTGTAAGTGGTAGAACTACTCAAAAAAATTACGACTTAAAATTGGTAATTTAAAATTTTAGTTGTTATAGAGGTGAGCAAGATCTGTCCATGCACCTGGACCTGTAGTTATTGTATGCACCTCCAGCCAAATTATTTTTATTCGATTTCTTCACATAAGTGTTAATATGCTATTTTCTAACTTATTTCTTAAAACTACAATAACTTTTTATATAAATACCTTGGGTACTTTCCTTTTGTTAGGTATATAATTTTTGAAAATTTGACCATTAACTCATTCACAGAGAGGATTCAAAGTAGCAACTTTTGCACAAAAATTTAATTTTTGAAAACATGGGATTACACATATTAAAAAGTAAATAGATTAATAAACAGAATATACTTTTTCATCAATTGAATATCCTAAGAGGAAAAGATTTAATCCTTCAAATACCAGTAGAAATTTTAATTAAAAATCATTAATAGCAATAATCAATCAACAAATTATCTTGAAGTCACAGTATTTTGGCTACTTCACCGCCATTACTATAAACATTTTTTCTTACAATTGTGTGTGAAAAATAGAGCAATAACGTGATTGGAAATATTCTTTAAATATAAAACTAGTGGTATCACTATAAAAACTTTAAATATACACAATGAAATATCCGACGACGATTGAGTCAATGATTTTTAAAGTGTGATATATATATAGTCATAATAGAAAAATTGTTAAAAAGAAAAATACCTTAAAACAGTTTTATTAAAATAAAATAGAAATATTATAATTATGCTAATGATAGATGTTTTTTATATAAATATGTCTTGTAAAGCAAATGGAGCATGTCTATTATGAATGTCGACAGCTCTTAAAGCAAAATAATACTTGTACCCTTTTGCAAAAGCTGCCAAATCACATGCCATTGGTAAAGGCTTTGCTTCCAAATCTCCCATTTTCTTCCACATAGATGAATCTGGTACGGCAGTAGTCTGCTGACAAGCGTATAATTCATATGACTTAATTTTGGCTATATTTTCATTTAATCTAACATCCCAAACTAATTGAACACTGTTATCATTTTTGTGCAACTCTAATTTAGGAGCAGGAGGAACATTTTTCCATGTGGGTTGGCTATTATATGGGAGTACTTTTGGAAATGGAGGTGGATATTTTAACTTAGTTAGTCTATGATCATTTAACATTAGATTTGGTCTCATTCTATTCGATATATCTTGAGTATTTGTGGGACTGTTGGAGGCGGATGGTATAACAACAAGTGTAATATTATTTGGGTAAGCTGGTTGTTTTGTAGAATTTTCAATATCTTGATTAGATGAATTAATTTTACTAGCACCATTTAGTAGTTTTGAATTAATATCACCATCACTTTGTTTAAAACTGTTTAAATCAATCATACATTTTGTTAGTGATATGTGGCTTTTATTTTTTATGAGCGATTCTGAGTTAAAAGCATTTTTATCATCAATATCTTCCATTATTTCTTCCTTTATAGTCAAATTATCAAATATCATATTAGGTTGACCACTTACTAACTTCTGATTTATATTATTTTTTTCATTTGTTCCTCCTTGTACTTCAATAATTTCTGGTAGATAATCATCAGAATCACTATCAATGTCTTGTTTTACAAAAACATTTCCGTTTTCCAACTGAGAACACACTATAGATTTATGAAAATTCTTTTGTATTATGGGTACATCAAAATTGTCATTAATACTAGAATTACATATTTGATAAAGATTAGATGAAGTTTTGTTAATAAAATTTGTATTATCTAATTCTTCATCCGTTATTGTTAAAACTTCTTTAAAATTTTTAGCAGCTAGCGTTGAATTAGTTTTCTTTTGATTAGCTAAAACAGACCTGAAAAAATACAAAACATATTTAGTTTAATAATAAAATAAAATTTGTATAAATAGAGTCTGTTGTTATAGAACAGACCATTCTTAAATAAATCAATCTATAATCTGATTTTAGAAAGTAATTATTATGCTTCTTAATCTACATAAATTGAAAGAAAATAGGAAAATCATAAATTTAATTTATCACCCCATTGAATATTTTTTTAATTGATTAAAATTTTTATCCCGATTAAAAATATATTAAATATACTTTTAAAAGTATTTATATACTTTATATGAAAAGTATTCATTAGAATAGCTTACTTTAAAAGTTAAAGCTTTAATAATGATTAACAAAAAAAAGTCAATATTTTTTCCAAGCTTTTAGAGAACTTATAATGATAATCTTAAAATAAAATACTGTAATCATAAGGACTAATTTAGAACAAAACATTTTTTTTTTATCGATTTTATGTTGACAATATTTATAAGTTTTACTTTTTAATATTAAAACTAGTCCCTAAAAATTTTTTTGAAAGCTATTACCTTTTCTAAATGCCCACTAAATAAGGCCCAAAATAGATGTAACCAAATATCATCAATATTAAATATTTAATATTAAATTTAATTATTAAGCATTGCGTACTTACTCAGTTTTACTGGAAATAACTTTAACACCAAGTTTTAATGTTTTTGTTATTTTAATAGCTCGAACTGATTCGTCAATTTTTAAATCTTCATTTAATTTATTAACTATATATCTTAATTCTAATAATTGATTTTCTGTATTTTTAATTTTGTCACGCCATCTTTTAATATCCAATAATTTTGCTCGTTCTATAATAGTTTCTAAATGTTTAGTGTTTATAATATACTTTGATACTTCTTGACTCACAATAGAATCTAAATTGCACATAGTTAACATAATTGTTTTACCATTGCAATTAACTTTTATACGAGGTTCACTAATATCGACCAATTTACGTTTTTTAAATTTTGAAGTATTTTCGAGATCATCTGTTACTACTATTTTGGATTTATTTCTAGTTTTTACATAATTATTTTCCATGTTAAATGATATAAATAATTAACAGCGTCATAGAACTTACTGAAGCAAAAAATTATTTAAATTCATTTTAGACTCTATAATAGCACATCAAATTGTATAAAGCTTATAATTGATGTTCGTGTGAAAATAGTTAATAAACACTAAAATAGCAGACTTTATTTAATATATCAAATTGTTTAAAATCATAACATTGAGCTCAGCTCTTCAGTCATAATATTATTTGATAATAATTAAATTATCACACAGATTATATCTTTGAACAAACAAAGCTTATCAATACTTGCCTGAAGATTAATGTGACCAACATAATATTAAGAAGTAATAATAATAACTAGTGATGGGAAATATCGAATAGTAACTATCGAACTATTCGATAGTCATTCAAAAACTATTCGAATAGTAAAAATATTCGATAGTTACACATATATTCGAATATTTATAAAAACTATTCGATAGTCTATTCGAATAGTTTTTAAAATATTTGATAGCCTATTCGAATAGTTTTTAAAATATTTGAAAATGCCCATCACTAATTTTTTTATTATTAATTGTATCCTATTTATAATCGTAGTACCCTGAATAAACAGTTTTAAACAATCTTATTTAGTCGTTAGTGTTATTAAAACAGCAAAACTATAAATCTGACTATAATTTTACATAAGACCAATGTTGTAAAAAATTTAACTTGACAAATTTTTTTTACGGAACATTTTATTGTAAAATTATTATTTTGAAAATTAAGAATAATTTATATTCAAAAAATGAATTTTAGCAAATCATTTTTTTGAGCAAGTAAAAATAATTTTAGAAAATTTTTGTGAGTATAATTTTATAAGAAAAAACCCAGCACAGGGGGGTCGCGGCACAATGGTGACGTGGCATAGATGTATCAAGTATAATGATATCTGACAGTGATTAAAATCACTATAAAAAAAAAACGCTTCGATGCAAATCTTTAGATAGTGTTTAATTTTAAAAAATTGGTGGATTATTCCAAAAGCTTCATAAACTGCTAGTTCCTTATTAATATCCTGATTAAGATAAAGTATGTCGAATGAAAAAGGGATTATTAAAAAATAGTATTTCCCATAAAAAAATAATATTGATCAATACACTTTTCAATAAGTTATAGCATTATAAAGTTAAAAATGTAAAAAATAAAATTGAGAATTTTCACACAATAATAGCATTTGGTAGCCATTTTCACCATGAAGATAAAATAAAGTCCGAAATTTTTTTTTTCCATGATAAAGTATATTACATTAGCTTTAATTTAAGATATATATAAAAGTGTCAGACCTTCCGGAACATTTTCAAAATTTAAGTTAAAAAAATTAATTTTTTGTGAAAAAGTTGTCATTTTAAATCCCCCCTTGTGGGCAGGTTAAGGGTTAAATTTATGAAAAAAATATACCAAATGAAAGGTAATGATATTATGCATCTATATAAAAAAGAATTATATTGATATGTTTATTTTTGAAAAAGTTATGGCACTTTTAAGTAAAAAAAATTGAAAAAATTTCGAAAATTAGCGATTTTTAAATTTGTAATTTTTTTGGAGGTTTCCCCCTTTTACGGGGAACGAGGGAATTTTTTTCAATTTTTAAGGGTAATGTCTTCGACTAGATACGATTTGTGATCTTTTGACGTATCATTGAAAGAAATCGGTTCGGTGAGAGCTGAGAAAAAGTGGTAACAGACACAAAAAAAAAAACACATCTTAGTAAAACCAATACCTTCTCAGCTTCGCATCGAAGCTAAAATATTAAAATCTATAATTTATATTCTATACATTGTTACGCTAAGTGTGTTAGTTTTAAAAATAATAATCAAAAACTATATAAAATTATCTTTTTGAGAGAATTTTCAACCCCGATTCGTACCTGAAGGGGGGAAGTTATGAAAACCAAATTTTACACAAATACCTTTCATATAATAAAAAAACAAAATTGGCGGGTATGAAGATCGACAATGAAAGTTAATAAAATAAGAGCCATCCCAATATATACCTGCGACTCACCCCAGTTCATTTTTTAAAATGCTATAACTTCTGAAATACTAGTCCAAAAGTTGTTATCGATTAGTCATTTTATTAATAATATTATTATCTAACCTATAAATTAGTTAATTATGTATATTGCCATTTGGATAAATAAAGTTGATACACTTACAAGGTATAAGGGAAGAACCTAAAACGAATTTAATAATGAATTAATTAAAAATAATATATAACTTACACTATTTAAATTTTTTTTTTCAAAATTATTGTTATTTTACGAGTAATCAAGTGGTTCATATATCACTCTGTATATTTATATTTTTCATAATATCATTATAGCTTATATCATCATAATCTGATGTTCTATATTACATCAAAATATCATCAACATTTTTTTATTATTTATAAGAAATTTTATTATTAAATATTTTAACTAAAGATGTAGTAATGTTATGTAAGCAAAGTAATTGAGTACTTAATATTAAAATAAATTTTCGTGAAATTATCACAAAATTGTTTTATTAAAATTAACATTCATAATAAAATTAGAAACACAAAAAAAATATTTTTTTAATTAACATTATTTATCGATTAACAAAATGAAAAACACTACAAATAAAACATCAAAACAGAATAAAATAAATAATTTTTTTTTATAATACTGTAACAAAATAAATAATAAATAAAAATAAAAAATGATATGATTATTTTAAGAATAAAATAGTAATTATTTTTCTAAATTTTAATTTTAAAAAATTAATTTTTCTACGTTTTCAGGTAATAATCTTTTACGTCTGATGCTAAATATTTGACCGGCCTTGGAAAATATTCTTTCTAATGGTACGGACGTAGCCGGAATGCATGAGTATTTTAATGCAATTTCGGACAGTGCCCCAAACATTAGATTGTTATTCTTCCAAAATAATATTGGATTATCCTTTATATTTAAAAATTCTACATCAAAATATTGTCTACATAATGCTTTTGCTGTGATTGAGAAAGTAGTTTTAGAACGAAGCGTAGAGACAGTTGTTTCTAGAAAATTAAGTAGATTTTCTTCAGGTATTGAATTCCACTTGGTATTAGATTCTAAAATCGTACTCTCTGGTATAACTTGTTCAGTTCTCAAAGGAGCTAAATTAAAAAGTTAATTTTCATTAAATTAAATATAATAATAATAAATTGTAAATTTATTTTTTTAAGATTGATTTATTTGAAATTTTTATTTTAACCTAAGAAGCGTTTTATAATTTGAAAAAAATGCGTGTTTTATGAATTGTATTTTATATCTTTCGACACTATTAACATATTTTATAATGACCACGATTGAAAGTAATCATATTTATATTTGAGAATTTAACTCAAAAATTTAACTAATTTAGTAATAATATATATTTACATAAAATTTACCATGATTTTCTAGATATTCAGCAAGATCTTTTTGTAATTCTTGTTCAGATTCATTAGCATTATCAATAGATGTAGAAGCTGCTTTTTTAAATCGAGGATCTAATATTGTCGCCTTTGCATACAAATGTGATGGATATTTTCCCTTTATATTTCCAAACCGTTTTGTTGTTTGTTCTAGTAAATTTTTCNAGTTTGAGAACGAAGCGTAGAGACAGTTGTTTCTAAAAAAAATTTTTTCAAATAGTTTCCCGGGGATGTTGCTGGATTTTTATTTCCAACTGTTAATAGTAAACCTTTAAGACAAAAATTAAAAGATATCATGAAGTATTTGATAATAATATTAATATTATTAAATTTGTATTCATCATATAAAAACTTTATACATACCTCTTATAAGTGGTATAACTTTTCCTAAAGTTGGTCGTTTTTCTGATGATAGTTGTACAGTCAAACTTTCATATGGTTTCAGAAGTGTAACATTAATAACTTTCATTAATAACTTTCCACTGTTCATTTGTTGGCATATTAGGACAACGTGGTAAAGACATGGAAACTAGCATTTAGGGTTCTTTAATCATTAAAAAACGTTCTACCTTAATAAGTGTACTGTTCCAGCAACTTGCAATATCTTATTTTACTTTTAAAATAGGACAATTAAGTTGTTCTTGTTTATCGCGAGAAAGTCTACTCGATACTTCGCTATGTTTGAAATGTCCAACAATAGATCGACACATTTTTATTAGTTTCTTAACTTCTATTTCATCAGAACGAGAAGCTGTAGTAGTGTCATTATTAAAATCATCAATATCTTCGCATTTAAAATAATTTTTTACGGCATTGTTTAATTTATGAGCAGCGTACGGAATATGATCAAACCCAAGTAATCTAATTGCAGCTTTTATATTCGCACCAGAATCTGTTACAATCGCAATGACTTTTACTTCGATAGCCCAATCACTTATGATATCTGTTAAAATTGTAGACAAATATTGTGCTGTATGACTAGATTCTAGTTTTTTTTGTAGCTAAAACATACGCCTTTAAGTTAAAGTTCACATCGAAAAAATGTGCAGTCACTGTAATAAAAGAAATAGTATTTATAGAAGTCCAAATATCTGAAGTAAGCGCGACATATTTTATAGATGATAACATAGATTGAACCATTTCACGTGTAGAGTTATAAAGATTAGGTATGAGTGTTGTTGCTATAATTTTCCTGCTTGGCAACTTATATCGCGAATCGAGAAGATTAATTAGTTTTTTAAATCCACTATTTTCTACAATCGATAACGGTTGCATGTCTTCTGCAATCATTTCGACAACAGCTTTATTAAATTCATCAACATTGCTCTCTGATGGTTAGCTGAACCTATAAATCAATATCATTTTTTTCTTTTATTTAAAAGTAATTTTACATAGTAACTTGTATAAATAACACTATTACCTATTTGTTAGTATTAATTGTTTTGGTCTTCTTTGTTGAGTTCCTTGAATTTGTTTAGTTATTTGTTCACGCATATTTAAATTCGTAGTTAAAGAACCTTAAGAACACATTTAATAAATAAATACTTATAATTTTTTTTTAATTTATCTATTTAGTGGTATTTTTATAATATATTAATAAAAAAAATATTCAATGAGAGTTATATTGAAAAACTGGTTTAGAAAAGATACGGAAACAGTCAATAATAATCGCGTTGTCTTAGTATGATATTAAATGATTATTAGATTAATTAGTGATTATTAAAAATGTTATTTTATTTTACTTGTTGAGGGCGATGACTGTTCGTTAAAAACATTGATTTCATCCCGTTCTTCATTTTGAGACGATAATCTATTTGATTCCAACGCCGTTGTATGTTTTCGGCGTAAATGATCCCCAACATTTGATGTATTGTTAGCATATTTTATTTTAAATTTACACAATTTACATATAACTTGATTAGGAAAGTTGGGAGCCTTATCCACAAAATTCCATACGTTCGATATATTTTTTTTGTGCATTTTATAGAGAAAATAAATTTTACACTAAACTGTATGGTACAACAACACTTTTAAATGTTCAATGATTAACCGACTAATAAAAATAGCTTATATAATTTTTAAAGAGGGGCAGTATTTATTGTTGCCGCCACTTTTAAAAACGTAAAAATTTAAAACGCGCTGTCCTCTTTATCGGTGTTATGCCTTTATATGACAAAAGAGCAGGTAATGCTAGACTAAGAACAGTATACAAGGTATTAAGTGTAAAATAAGACTTTAGTATTTACGAATACTTCTGTTGCGCATAGAACAAACCTCTCCGATAAAACTGAAAATATATCATTAGTCATCGGAAAAAAGAACTACTTTTTAATTTTCAACCCATATTTATCAGTTTTTACCAACGACTCACAAACTAAAAATAAATAAAAAAAATGGTACTTTTTACTGCTATTAATTGTATAATAATTTATTTTAAGTATTCGTTCATTATCTTCTTATTATAATTAAGTGTCCTTAGTAAAAATTTTAGTTAGAACTAATCAAATATTTTTTGAAACCATTCGCTAGCCCATTCGAATATTTTTAAAAACTATTCGACAGTTTATGCTAAAAACACACTATTCGGTTGTATAAAAACAATTCGAATAGTTATTCGATAGTTTAAAATATTCGAAAATGCCCATCACTAATAATAACTGTATGGCGTTGAAAACTTCAATTTTTATTTTTAAAAATAAGTGATTCAAGAAGTTTGTTTAACTTATGGACTGGCACTGTCGAAGGAAAGGAATTACTCCCCTTCATGGAATTAGCAGCTACTCAAAATAATATGGTGATAGCTGACTGGTAAATTTTTGTTAGTAAAATTTAATAATCTAAACAAAAATTTTTTTTATCCATTTCGTTACGTTATCGTATCAGTATTTAATAGACAATAGTATGTATAAATAAAACTGTAATTTTATACACTAGGCAGATAAAACAACTAGAGATATTCTGAGTATTATGTATTAAATAAAAACTGAGTACAAAAATATTTACAAACCGAGTCCTGGTAAAAAACAGTCTTCTTAAAAACAACTCTGCTTATTTTTAAAAATTACAAATTACATAGGTATGTTTGGAAGATTTTCCGTCTAGTTTTTTTGATACTTGTTAGTATTTTAAATAATGGATCAATAATATTGATCTTTTATTTATATTCAAGGAATCGTTTTTTTAAAGAATTCGTTCAACAGAGTACTTTAGCAACTAGTCAATTTTACTAGTGTTTTAGAACGACTTGTAACATATTATCCCTACCCACTCATTAAATTAAAAAATTTGTTCATCCTGCATGAAAATGTGTAAAACTGCCCGCAAGACCACCTTTAACCAATTACGGTTGGATAAAAGCATAACTGTTAACTACTCACAATATTCGCTGGTTTTAAGACTGACTAACCGTTTTGCGTTTTCAAAGCTCAAATTATAATTAAAAGCAGATAAATTTAAGAATATTTAGATAGTCATAATCGACAAGTTAATGATTATTACAACTAAAGCGCCATAGAAGACATAAAAAACTATTAATTTATTGCATTAATGTGAGAGGAACTACTTAGATAAGTGTGTAATTCAAAGTTTTTTACACCCCACGTTTCTATCTCTTAATCGCGAGAACATATGGTATACAATAAAGGGTTAAATTATTTTATATTGTGTTTGTTCATAACAAACATAGTAAATAGTTAAAAAGCATTTATGCAAAATAATAGTAGACTCTAAATTAAAAACAAATATAATTCAGAAAAATATCGTATATTTAAATAATTTTTAAAAAAATTACATAGACTTTAATGGCATTAATCCTAAAATTTCCATACCAGAACTTAAAACACTTTTAGCCCGATAAAATAATAGTAGTCTTTGTTCAGCATATACAACAGATGAATTTTTAACATTCAAAATTTTTAATGCTTTATTTATACAGTTACATAACCTGAACAAATAATTTACTAGAATACAAGCTTCCAAACTATTTTTGGTTTCATTTAAAATATTTTCATATCTGTAATGAATATTTGTTTATAAATACAAAATTATAATTAAGTATCCATTATTACTGATAACATACCGACATATTTCTATGATTAATTCAATAGCTATAGGATCTTTTAGATACTCAGCATTTACTTGAAAAGGTAGAGCTAAATTTGAATTTACTTCAATTAAACTCTCTAAACGACAATGAGTGTATTGTAATTTTATACCTGTATCTCCGTTTACCTTAAATAAAGTTTGTTTTTTAATTTAAATAATATTATTTTATGATAATGGTGTTAAATTCTATTAGAAATCTGTATTTAAATAACATTTGACAAAACTTAATGTAAATAAATTTTTTTAAATAATAGACAATAGAATTTCAAGTTCAGACAGAATTTTCTTCTTCTTCTTCTTCCTCGCCTTAATCCCAACTACTTGAGGTCGGCCACCCTTATCCTAAATTTCCACTTGATACGATCTTCCACATCCTCTACGCTCATATCAGCTGTCCTCATATTGCATTCATTAACATCTCTCCATCTACTTTTTGGTCTTCCTCTACCTCTTTTTCCTTCAACATTAATTTTTATAACTGTTCTTACAGCTTCCGATTCTTTTCTCCTCATAACATGACCAAACCATCTAAGTCTATTTTCTCTCATCTTATCCACAATTGACGCCATACCTATATTCCCTCTTATATGCTCGTTCCTTATTCTATCTTTTCTAGGCACTCCACTCATCCATCTAAGCATTCTCATCTCTGCTACACTCATTCTTTGTTCTACTTTCTTATCAACCGCCCAACACTCTGAACCATACATTATAGCTGGTCTCCCTACAGTCTTGTAGAATTTACCTTTCAGCTTTTTTGGAATTATATTATCGCATAAGACGCCAGACGCTTTTCTCCACTTCAACATCCCGCACTTAATTCTGTGTCTTACGTCCTCGTTAATACCACCACTCTTTTGCACAATTGACCCTAAATACTTAAAACTGTCCACCCCTCCAATCACGTCCTCACCTAATGTCACTGATCTACTCATTTCACCTCCCTCGTGTTTTCCTTTATCAAACTCGTACTCTATGTACTCTGTTTTACTCCTCTCCTTGTATTTCTCTAGTAATTTCATCCATCACTATAGAAAATAAGTAAGGGCTTAAAGCAGATTCTTGGTGCACTTCTACTCTTACCCGAAAACCTTCTGTTACTCCTCCTTCGCTTTTTACCCTGGTACAAGTGCCATCATACATATCTTCTATTATATTAATATACATTTTCGTACTCTTTTTCTCATTATTGCCCACTTAAAAACCTCTCTCGGTATTCGATCATAAGCTTTCTCTAAATCTATATATACCATACAAAGCTTTTTTTTTCCCCTAAACTTTTATATTAGTTGCCTCACACAAAATACTGGCTCCATTGTGCTTACCAGGCATAAATCTAAACTGGTTTTGAGATAATAATGTCTCATTTTAGATTCGATGCGAAGCTGAGAAGGTATTAATTTTACTATGATGTGTTTTATTTTATTTTTTTTTTGTGTCTGTTACTACTTTTTCTCAGCTCTTACCGAACCGATTTCGTTCAACGATACGTCAAAAGATCACAAATCGTATCTAGTCGAAGACATTACCCTCAAAATTTTGTCTTCATTTCCCGTAAATGGGGGAAATCTCCAAAAAAATTACAAATTTAAAAATCGCTAATTTTCGACATTTTTTCAATTTTTTTTTACTTAAAATTGCCATAACATTTTTAAAAATAACCGAATCAATATATTTTTTTTTTATAGATGTTTGATGTTTTTACCTATCATTTGGTATATTTTTTTTATAAATTTAACCCTTTACCAGCCTACAGGGGGGGGATTTAAAATGACAACTTTTTCACAAAAAATTAACTTTGTCAACTTAACTTTTGAAAGTGTTCCGGAAATACTGACACTTTTATATACAGGGTGGCCGCCACTCACTGACAACTTAAATAACTTTTAATCCAGTTAATATTTTTAGTTGATTTTTTTTTTTAATAATAGTTATACTTTAGGTCTATAGCTATATCTCAATAATTAATTTTTTTACATTTTATTAAAAATATTAATTATTTTTAAATTTTAAATAAAATGTAAAAAAAAAATCTAAGATAGCTATTTTGTAGAGTAGAATCTAAGAAAAATTTTAGTAAAAAAATATCTTATTAATATTCAGTAGTAAATATTCTGTAGCGTTTTGAAGTTTGTGAAA